AATTATTATTTTTTATAATATAATAAATATTAATATAATATAAGATAATAAACTTTATTATTATTTAAATAAATTATATTTATTATTAAATTAATTAAGTTAATTTTTTTATACCACGGATTATATATAGGAATATAATTAAAAAGCCGACGCGTAACTTTACTTTCGAAAAGTTTAATACGTGGATTTTTTATAATAATAAAATTTAAAAAATTATTAATATTTTTTAAAATAAATAGTTTATAAATAAAATTTTAAAAATATATTTATTTAAGTAAAAATGAATAAAATTTTTTTATAGGGAAAATAAGTTATAGTTAATTATAAATTATATTAATATAAGTAATATTAAATTTATTATATATAGTTAATATATTAAAGATCCGGATTTAAATAGTATATTATTTATTATATAAATTTATATATAAACTTAAATATAATTCCCGCTAAGGCTTTAAAAATTTAACATTTGATATAATTATTTTTCGATTAAATTATTTTTAATTTAAATAAAATTTATATTTTAAGTAAATTAAATGAAAGTTTTATTTAAATATTTAATTACATGTTTTGCATGTGTGGTTTAAGAAAATTAGTTTAGTTTAAAGTTAAAATTAATATTAAAATAATAATTTTAAAAATTTTAATAAAGTTATTATAATTAAAATAAAGGTTTAAATTTAATTATAAATAATTTAATTAAATTAAGGCTTTTTAAGGTGTAATTTTATTTATTTAATTAAACTTTAAATGTGATTTTAAATGATATGTTTTATAAAGCTTTTAAAACCGTATTAATTAAGAAAGAATTAATTAAAATTAAATAGTTTTTAAAATAAACGATAGAAAAATTAAGGTTTTAAGAGTATTTAAATTTATATTTAAATTTATATAATATTATATATATTATTTAAATCGTAGTTTTTAGTTATAACTAAATATAGTAAATTTAACACGGGCTATATAGTAAATTTAATATTATTTTAAGTTTAATATTAATAATTAAAAAATTTTTTATTATTAAAATTATAAGGTTATAAAAAATTAAAGCATGATAATAATATTAAATTTATACCTTTATAAAAACATTTAATTACATTTTATATATTAATATATATTAATAATAATAAGGGTAAATTTATACGGTTATAATTTTAATTAAATTTAATTTATATTAAACTTTAATTATTAAAATATATAACTACTATTTTAAAGTTTTTAAATTAATAATATATTATTTATTATATAAATTTATAAATAAATATAAGTATATTTTTAATTAACTTTATATATTAAATTTTAATATCTTAACCTTTAAATAAGCGTTTTATTTTAATAAATTACCTTTAAATTAAAAATATTTTATTTTAATTAAATTATAATTTAAAGGTTTAAAACCCTTGTAGTTATAATTTTTTAAATGTAAGTTTATAAGTGTTAATTTAATTAAAAGTTAAATGTTTATCGGTGCGGGGTTTTTAAGATTTTAAGGATTTTAATATTAATATATTATAATTTAATTAAAAAATTAAATTTAAACTTAAATAACGTTATTAAACCTAAAGTTTAAATAATGGAATATATTTTATATAATAAGTATTTAAATGCGATTTTAAATTATATGTTTTATAAAGATTGGTAATATATTTTAGATAAAAAATAATTAATTAAATATAGGGGAAGGTTTGATATAAGTAATTATGGAGTTTAGGTTTAAGAAATACTTTAAATTATACGTAGATTTATATAGTAATATATGTATTATTCGAACCGTAATTTTTCTTTATAGTTTATAAATAAAGTAGATTTAGCACGGATTATATAATAAATTTAACGTTATTTTTTTTATTAATTTATATAGGTAATTTATAAATGAATTTTTTAATTTTAAATTAATAATATTTTTACACGATATTAATTTAAATTAAATTAAGTAAAAGTAAATGTTTAATAATTAAAAAAGGGAAAATTTTTATAAAAGTTTAATTATTAGTAAGTTTTTATTATATGTATTATTTAATTATTATTTAATTATTATTTAATAATGAATATAAAGGTTTTTAAGTTAATAATAATATTTATAATAAAAATAAACTTAGTGTAATTAAAGGTATGAAATAACGGTTTATTTTAATATGTTTAATTTATAGTTAAGTATTGTTAAATTAATATTAATTTAATATTTAGATTTTATTATTATTTAAAACGTTTAAAATCCGTATTTAAAGTTTAATTATTTTCACGGTATATTAAAATAAATAAAATAATGTTATTAAATTATTACTTATAATAAATAAGTTTAATTTTTAATTAAAACGTTATTAGTTAAATTTTAGAAGGTATTTATTTAACCTTAATATTAAGTTATTGTTAAATTAATATTAATCGTTTTATTAAAATATTAAATGCGTGTTAAAAGCGGTTGGAACATTTAAGGTATTACCGTTAAATAAAATGTGCGTAAAAATGTTTACAAATTTATAATTATATTAATATTAACGCGTTATAATTAATAGGCGTTCCGAATAATTTTATTTTTATTTTTAAATATAACAAAAAAATATAAGCTTAGTTAAAGTTAATATTATATTAAATAATAATTAATTTTAAATAAATATATAATGAAAATAATTTTTAATTTTAATTTAATATATGGTTAAAAGTTTAATAAAAATAATAATATAAATTTAATATAAGTTAAATTATAATGTTTTTTTAATAATTTTAATTTTAGTAATATTAATGTAATTTTTACGTTAATATAGGTTTATTTAATATATTTAATAATAATGGATTATATATTAAGTTAAGGTTAATATATAAAATAATTTAATTAAATTTAGTTATATTTATTTTATTTTTAAAAATTATTATAAATAATTAATATATTTATTATTAAATTATTATTAAATAAAATTAAACTTAAATTAATATAATTTTATAATGTTTTACGTAAATTCGTTTTAATTTAAAATTAACGAAATACATTATTTATAAACGAATTAAAATAAATTATTCCGAAACTTTAATTTAAAATATTTAATTAATATTATTTAATTATGGTTTATGTAACTATAAAGTTAAAAATATTAATTATATTATTAATAAATTAAAAAATATTATATAAATTAAATTAATAATTAAAGTTTAATTATTTTAATTAATAATTTAAATTATAATAATAAAAAATTTACGTTATATTAAGAAATATAATTTTATTACTTAATAAATAAAATATTTATTAAATGGTTTATTTAATTTATATTTTATTATAAAAAGTGAAAGTGTATTTTAAAATAAAATAAAGGAAATGTTATTATTTTTATATTATTTTAATATTATAAAGTTAAAAAATTTTATTAATAATGAAAATTTTAATGTTAAAGAAAACGAATAAGAAGGTAATAGTTTTTTTGCGTTTATTTTAAATGATTTGTTATTTAATATAGGGGTATTAAATTTAAATGTATCCTAATTAACGTTAAATTTTAACGAAATATTAATTAATGCCCTTTTATTTTTACGTTATTTTATTTTTTTATTTATACCCGCTATAATTAAGCCCGTATCGAAAAAAAATAAAGAAACTTAAGTTATAAATAATAAGTTTAATAAAATTATTTTAAATTTATCGGGTATAAAAAAAGGAAATAGTTAAAAAATTAAATTTTAAAATTAAAATAATACGCTAAATTAATTTAATTTACCGGATTAACTTAATGTTAATATATAAGTTAAAAGAAATAATAATAAAAATAAAGTTATATTAAATAATATAAAAGGTTTTTTAATTTCGAAAGGTTAATAAAATATGCCGAAAAAAAGCTTAATTAAAATATAATTTAAAATAATATAATAATAAATTAATTTAAAAAAATTATTTACCCTTATTATATTTCGTTATAAATTATAAAAATGTAATTAATCTTAAAAAAAATAAGATTTTAATCGGTTTAATTTATATAATATTAACCGAATAAAGTTATTATTTTAAAATTTAATATAATTATTATAAAATATTAAGTTAAATTTATATTATATAATAATTAATTATTAATTTATTTTTCATTAATTATTTCGGTTATATAAACTTTTTAAATCGCACTTTATAAATTAAATTCTTTTTATATAATAAAGAAAATAATAAATAATAATTAAGTAATAATTAAATAATAATTAAATAATAGTTAAGTAATGGTTAAATAATAGTTAAATAATAATTAAATAATGGTTAAATAATAATTAAATAATAATTAAGCGATAATTAAATAATAATTTTAAATTAATATTAAATAATTATTATTAAATTTAAAATTAACTATAGTTTAATTATTATTTAATTATTATTAACTTTATTTTATAAGAAATTTCTTTATAACCGTTACACTTTAACTTTTATTAATATTTTATAACGGCACTTTTAAAATTATTATTAATATAGTTAAAGTTTTTAAATTGAATTAAAAAAAAAGAAACGTTTTAAGGCTTTGATGGTTTAAGTCAAATGGCCTGCCGTCACCTACAAGGGACCGAGCGCATCTTCTAATGGATCCTGCATCTGAGCGTTAATCCAATTAATCGGGAGGAAAGGGAAAGGAAATGGGAAGGGAAGGGAAAAAAGAACATGTATCATTTTCTGAGTGAAAAAATCTATCTACATACAGTACCATCATACCTTATTTTCTCTCACCACATCACCACCAATTAGACGGGATATGCGGACAGGCATGATGATGAATTAATAGCGACAAACATTGGAACATTAAAACAAGCTTAGGACACTAACAACCCCTCCAAGCTGCTAAGCACAAGCTTAAAAGGCTACTTATCAATATCTTAAGATTTTTAGCCTTATTAATTCAACCAGGTTGTTGCTACCCTGTCCGAATGAAGAGGCATTAGCAGCAGCAGCAGCAACAGCAACAGCAGCAGCAGCGCATTGTTGTCGTTGCGGTTGCCAGTGCCAATTAATTCTTGTCAACGCCGTCAAAGAATTTACACTATTACATTGTAACACCCAACACCCGAATATCCCTTCCACCTTTCAATCTTTCGCCTTCACACAAATCTCAACAACCACATGAAAATTCGATCCTTGCCAAACACGAATCAACACATATGACATTGCTTCGCGTCGCTAACGTGTCGTCCTCACACATTCTGCTGACGACATCGGCTCGCAACAAATATAATACTACATATCCGCATTTTACCTACTCTTAGCTTGGTCCGATACATGATACTACCCGAGATTATATCCTACCTAGTTGGCTTCTAGTTGGCCGCCGACACAATGGCCGAAGACGATAATCGCATGGACCAGGGCTCTATCGAGGAGGCTGCACCGCATTCCGAAGTCGAGGTTGCTGCTCAGAATACTACCGTCGCAGACTCGGGCGCGGACTCGAGCGCGAGCGCAGGCTTAGGCACAGGCAATGAAACAGAAACAGAAATAGAAACAATCACGAACGCAGGCGCAAATACTCCCTTGCCCAAGAAAGAAAATATCCCTCCTATTCACCTTCGCACACCACCTGATGACAGTAGCTTTGTCGAAACTACACGCTTCGATAATGACGACAAGCATCTCGACTCTGTCACCGAAGAGCAGCAAGTTAGAGCTCACCTGGCTGAGAACCTCGAGTCAAGCTTTATACCTCCCATATCGCCAATCCAGGTCGGTAGTCCTGGTGCTGGCATTGACGATACTTACCTATTCGATAAGACTGCGAGGAAGCCTATAAGGAAACTCACACCGCCTCCGCCATCGTCACCGTCACCGTCCGAATCTACACTCAACCCACCACGTCCGCCTGAGGTGCAGACCCAACCAGATTCACATCCTGACCGCCATATCGATGCAGTACCTTCTGTGACTAGACCCAATTCAGATAACCCTACCACACCGATACATGAATCTTCTTCGCGACGTCAACCCGACGATTCCAACACCACCGAACTCGGCAACACCACTTCTTCTCTGGAGAATCTGTCTTCTCCTACCACCGCTGCCACCGCTCGCACCGTGTCCAGAGCGATATCCCGAGCTAGCAGAGTTGTCGACGAAGACCCGAAGAGTGAGCATGACGAATCGGCCTTGCCGCGCGAGAACCCAGCCCTTGATGTACCGTCAGAGGATTCCTCTGCTGATTCTTCCGCAATTCACCAAACGTCCGACCAAAACTCGAGCAAACTACCTACCGATGCTGCTGGACATACGCCGGGGAACCCTCTAAAGACTGGTAAGCGTCCCAAGTACCTTCGTAGTAGGAATGCGAGTCAGCGCTCTTCCACCTCTTCCTTCGCCTCCAACGAGGATGTCGACAGCGACGCCACCGTTGGCTTGGGTGCCGACTATGCCCTCCAATCCGGAGGAGCTCTGCCAGCATTTGGCATGTCGCGAAGTATCGGCCAGAGTCTATCTCGCTCTGTAAGTATCGGGAGCATGGCCTCTGGCTTCGATGAAGTTCCGGACCCCATCCGACCAGATGCTTTGGATCCCTTAGAAGAAGTTGAGAGTCCCATGCCTGACCGCCGCGCTGACCCCCTTGCGACTCCGAAGGCGAAAAGGAACTCTCTTATGGCACCTACCGATACTGTTATCGCCAGGCACGTCCGGAACGTTGAAGTGCCCGAGTCCCTGGCGAAGGAGTATAAGAATAAGGGTGGGCTGACAACACCGATGCGCGAGCCCTATAGGAAAGTGACCAACTACACGCCCGCGCCTAGTACTACTACGACCGGACGTAGCGGCAAGAATCTAACACTCAAGGAGCAATCCAGCACCATCGAGCGGCTGTCTAAGGAGAACTTTGATCTCAAGCTAAAGGTTATGTTCCTCTCTGACCGCCTAGACAAACTCTCTGAAGAAGGTATTAAGGAAATGATCTCGGAGAATGTTGAGCTAAGGACTTCCTTGGCAATTATTCAGCGGGATAACAAAGTCCTCAGGCGACGTGTTAAGGAGCTGGAGAAACAGCTTCGCGATCGTAACGAAGAAGACCGTCCCAGCACTGCTAGGAGCGGATACTCCTCGGATGGCGCGACGACCCCAGCATTCGATCCCGATGCCCAAGAACGGGAGGAAGAGTTGATATACCTGAGAGAGCGGGTGGAGGAATACGAAACCGAGATCGAGAAGCTCCGCAACGAGAACATGACTAACCAGGTGGAGAAGAGGAGGCTGGCAGAGACCGTTAAGACCATGGGAGACCGCGTCGGTGAGCGCGTTGGTGAGGGTCTTGGCCGCCAAGAGGAGGCTGATGTATGGAAAGACCTCCTCGAACAAGAAACAGCTCGTCGTGAACAATCCGACGACGAAAATCGAAAACTTCGAGACGAGATTTTCCGGATGAAGCAGGAAATTAATGGAACGGCTCCGCCGGGTGGCGGTATGCACCATACAACTAACATTTACAACATCACGCGAAAAGCTAGGCCATCGTCACCGTCGAGGTCACGACCTGTTTCTGGCCTCTCTGGAGAAATTGATCCTACTACCGTGTCCAGCCAGTCGGCAACTCTCGTCGAAGAACTCCGTCGGGAGAGTGAGCAACTACGTCATGAAAACGCCGAGTTGCGTAGAGAGGTCGGTGCGCAGACGTCTATGCTCACTTCGCGTAATCGCGAGAAAGAGAGACTGTACCAGGAGATTGAAGATCTCAAGTTGGCACAGCGTCGCGGAGGACCAGCACCTTCAACTATCGATAGTCTTCTTGATCGGTCAGCATCCCGCGCTGGTGGTCATGAGCGGTCGACTTCACGAGGCAGTGGTCGCACGCGACTTACCATGACTGTCGAAGAGGATCCCGACCGCGAGGAGTTAGAGAATAAGCTTGCTGAGCATCGTGACAAGATCAACGAGATAAAGTTTGAGAAGCAGGAACTTCAACGCGAATTACAGACGTGCATGCAGGAGCTAGACGCTAGCAGCGAGGCTAAAAGACAGCTTGAAGAACAGAATAGCCTTCTTGAAGAGGAGTACCAGAGATTAACGAATGACTTGATGCAAATCCAAGGAGAACGCGACGAGGTGCTACAGGAACATGCTGATCTAGAAAACGAATTCGATATTCTACGAAAGGAAGCCCAAGATGAGATCGATTCCTTGGAGGCTGAGAGTGACCAGAAGACCGACGAAATCCAACGGCTGCAGATTGAGCTACAAGATCGTTCCGAGAACTTTGACGCCCTCCAGGAAGAGATGCGACAGATGAGCGAGGCCCTTGTCCGGCTAGAGGACGAACAAGAGAAGAAGCTCAGGAGAATAGAGCAGCTCGAACAAGAGCTCTCCGAGTCAAATAAGGAATCCGAAGACCTTGAAGCTAAGCTTCTCGAATCGAATGATAAGGCCCAGCGACTTGGAGTTCAGCAAGAGTCCAGCCAGGGTGAGATCGCATTCCTGCGCGAGGAGCAAGAGGCGGACAAAATAAGAATTGGTGATCTCGAGGCTGCACTCGCCAATGCCGAGCAGACGATCAAAGAAGAGCGTGATCGAACTAAGGAGTTAGAACATCGCCTCGCCAATGAACGAAAACAACGCGAGATCGTGGCCACCCGCGAGAAGGAAGAAGTCCAGCATATCCTCAACGAGCTCAACCGCGAAGTCTCCACTTCTAAGGACGAGGCTAGGCGACTACGTAAGAACTTGACTAGTAGAGAAGTTGAGGCTACCGAGTGGAAAGAGAGACTCATGGAGCTAGAGAACAATCTGCGGGAGGCATTGGGAGACTTGAATGGAACCAGGTCTAGTCTACTCAAGGTACGTTGCCCCTCGAGAGATGAAGTGTAGCTTCTGGAAATATGTTGCTAACGATTGAATAGTCCATTGCTAAACTCCAGAGGGAGCTTGAGAATACTGTTCGCGAGCTTGATACTACTAAGAATTCCATGCTTGAGAAGGATCACATAATTAAGCAGCGCGATAGCCTTCTAGAGTCTCACGGCCTCGAATCGCGCAGACTAGCGGAGATGCTTGACAAGGAACGTCAAGCCCACCGTAACACAAAGAATCAGTTCGAGACATTCCAGCGTACGCATCAACATGTGTCGCGGACGGTCACAAGCCAAGATACGCGCATTCTAGAGCTCGAGACTAGCCGCGCCGCGGACAAGAAGAAGATCGCGCAGCTAGAGGCCTCTTTTAAGGAACAGCTCAACGAGCGCAATAACCTCTTGCTCGTTTTATGGACGCGTCTCTCGGCCTTATGCGGCACTGATTGGGCCCACGACAATAGCCTCATAAACGGGCGCGCCCTGCCTTCGCTAGAGTCCGTATCTACCATGCTACCCGGTTTCGCCAAGAACCTCATGGGCGCCGTTAAGACTATCGAGTCTATAGTAGGCAATTTCCAGTCACGTGTTAAATCGGTCGAGCGTGAGCTTTGGAAAGAATACCAGTCTCTTGAGAACAGCCTCGAAGCAAAGTCTAAGAAGCTCGAACGTCTTGAAACCATCGTCCGTACCGGTATCGCAGCCGGTAGTTTTGATGCGCATGCCAAAATTTCGCAACTAGAGACAGCTTACCGGGCTCTTAAGATCGAGAATGCTACTCTCCAGCGTGCCAACGACGCACGCACTCGTGGTTCCGGGTGGTCCGGCTCTAAGAAGGCTAGCAACAACGGTTCACACGAAGACCTTATCGAAGGGGGCAGCCCTGCGCCATCTGTCCCAACCGGACCGCACCGTCGAGACTCCAAGATCCCGCGTACTAAGACTGCCGGGTTGGAAGTGAATGAGAAGAGCAGGCCGGGCACCATGACTCGGAGCGCCTCTACTATGGGCGCTGTCGATTTGGAGCGGCTTGGCACTTCTAACGGCGAGAACAGCTCGGTGAAGAACGGACCGGATAATCCGTGGATGTTCAGACTACGAGAGCTTGAGCAAAAGCTCAAACAGGAAAGGGAAGCCAGACACATGGATCGAGCTGCGGCAAGGCAGCGAATACAGGATAGCGAGCGGCAAAACAACGAGCTCGCCGCCAAATTAGTACGTGCCGAGAGGAAGGGAAATGGGGAATAGTAGCTCGCTATACCAGCGAACTTTAACCCGCACGACACGAAGTGGGAATCATCACAGCTAATATCCAGTGCTGTAGGAAGAGGCATCGTTAAAAGGACACGGAGGCTTGTCGGATTTTACAGGACGTTAGGGCGTTCGATAACGAATATATCGTACCTTGTAGTTTATATTGACGCATGGGCGCGTGGCGTTCCTATGAAAAGCGCGTTTGAGTGGGAAATACGCATTCGTGGCGTTTTCTTCAGGTAGTTTTTACGGAGCATTTTTCTTTGTCCCTTTAGGAACCGAGGCGGATGGGAGGATGGATGGTAGTCAAAGTGTGTAACCTCGTTACTGTTTATTAAGGGTGGCCTAAAAAAAATGATCAATGATATTATTGCATGTCTATATCGACTGCCAACTTGTATACTTACCTACCTATGTGTAATCTCTATTTGGTGAATTGTGTCTGATAATGTAACTTATTATGCTTTATGCTATCAAACCCTCGATGTCATTGCCAACTATTTGAGAAAAGTATGATAGCAAAGTACTACTCGGAGAGTACATACCTACATATGCGGTGTTACTTGATCATAATAAGCCGTGTTTACCCATTCTGCCTTGCCACCATCGCCGATTTTAATGCTCCATGCCTGTAGGTAGGTAATCATGTTTCCGATCGAAAAGCAGGATGGACGGGCGTAACGACGAGATTGTTCCAATGCGGGCACGGAGAATCGCCAGCATTAAAACTGTTCTAGAGGAAGAAAATGGTCATACATGCTGTCGTCCCTTGACGAGGGTCTGAGGGATTGTAGATTTATATTGGGAGTTTTCGGCGGCGTTAGTTACCACAGAATATATCTACCTACTAGGTAGGTAAGTAGGTAGGTAGTTATAAAAGGTTATTAATCGATTCAAATGCGTTGGTAGTAGGTAGGTAATAGATTTCTCCTCTTCTATTGATTCTCATTAAGTCAAGCTTCCAGACTCCTAGGTACCTAGATTTTGGCCCCCAATCTGTGTACCATTGTGTGGGGAGAGATATACACACTGCCTGACCTCTAGGTCCTGCGAGTCCCTTGTAAGGCAACCAATTGACCCCGAATAGGTATAGACAGGTGGTGAGGTCGGTACGCGAACTACACCACATACATATAGGTATACATGCATGCAGCTGCGCCTCACTGGCACTTTGGTGCCTTGCTGCGGGAGGCCTATTGTCCCCCATCTTCCCCGACCCAAGATTCGGAAAGCGCAAAAGTTGACTCGCATTCAATCTGATCTGATCCCTTCGACTAGGGTGTGTGTGTGGTGAGAAAGCATCCTGCTGTTAGGAGATTTACTACCCAGCTTTCTTTCTAAGCCAGTCATCATATACTATATATCATATTTTTTTCATAGAAACCAACGTCATTTCAATCGCGGTTATTTTTCACTTGCTTTTTCCTTTTTAAGCGATGATCATTCAGTCAGTGCCGCAGTGGCACTCTGAATCATCACCTAGAATGAATGCCGATCGAAAACCGACGGCTGGCTTTGCGCCGGCGTCTGCTTCCACTTCCGGGCCCACGATGTCTTCCGCCCAGGCCGGGCAACCCGGCGCTCACGCCAGCGGAGCTTTCCAGTATGACAGTATGGATACGGCCAGCGGATGGAACGAAAACTTTAGCTTCGACGACCCGCCCTTGATCTATCCTATCGCGCGGCGGAATTCGTCGTGGATAGACGGCAGCAACGAGACTCTGTCCCTGGGCATGTATGGTACGAGCGACAAGTTGTCGGACCTAGAAATCGGCAACTTCTCGCACGTACCGATGCCCATAATCGGTCCTGACAACGGCAGCACTCTGACGTGCTCCCCTCCCTCGTCATATCAGGGCTCGGTTTGGTCTCCCACCCAAACAGATTTCACATCAGAACTCGCCGCCGCGGGAGTTCCCAGGTCAAATTTCCCCAGCCCCTTGCGGAACATGGCCAGCATATCGGTTAACGTAGAGGCCGCCGAGTACAAGTGCCCGAGGAAGAATTGCAGGTCGAAGTTCTCCAGGAAAGAGGACCTCGAACTCCACTCCCGCGTCGGGCACTCGCATATATGTCTCTGGGGAAACAATGGACCATGCGACAGTGCGGGATTCGCGACGAGAGAGGAGCTCAATTGGCACGTCAAGCGCGAGCACTTGCTGCTGTGTCCCGTCCCGGGTTGTACCGAGGGTACCTTCACGAACAAGGACTTTCTTGATTGCCATTTGAAAATTAGTCACAGCAGCGCGGCAGTTAGTGAGAATACCTCTACTCAGCCGATTAATCTTCTCGGAACAGCGGCTGGCGCTTCGGGAGAATCACCAACGAGCAGCCAGATGCAAGACTCTACCGCGACACCCAAGAAAGTTGAGGATAAGACGCTCAGAATGGAGATGTCTATTGGGACCTCGAAGAAACGCTATCGAGAACAGCTCAGAACGGTGCTTGAGAAGAGGATGAAACGGAGCAATGGTATGTATATGCTGACATGAATCCGATATAATGGCGGCTAACACTAGACCAAGGTGGCACGCCAAAAGCCGGTGAAAGTCCGGGATCCGCTGGAAGGCGTGCGTCTAAGCCCTTGGAGTCGGCAAGTTTTCCAATTATCTGGGAGCACAGCATCCTCCCGTTCCTCGTCGAGCTCATGCCGGAGTGGTGCGGTCCTGGCCACGTAATCAGCGTGATGCGCGGCCGGAAGCCCAATTCTCGGCGAGTTTGCATCATGACGAGACGACCCGTCTCGCGAGCCCGCAAAGTGGTCATCGCTTCGCACGTGCTGGACCTGCTCCCGGAAAGCTACCGCAACTTGATTACCTTCGTCTTCTCCGTCGGGAAAGTAGACCGGCTTGTGTGGTCTCGGGGTCTCAGCAAGGAGATGCCTGACGAGATCTGTGTTCCGCGAAATCCGTTTTGTTATATAAGTCCGTGCATGGGCGACAGCATTGGATCGACATCTGAGAACGGCGAAGAAATCACAGCAACACTAGGACCTTGCGTTACCATCGATGGCGGAAGTTTTTGGTTAGTCAATTTCCACCCGTTTATCGACGCAGGTAAAGGTCCGGTCTCCGTAGAGCAACCGTCTCCGGCGGACCGTGCAAGGTGTATAGCCGAGAGGCACGATAGTCTGACCAACGGCGATCTCGACTTCTGTATTGGGAACTTGACGGCAACGTCGGGCTTCGACTTGAAGACAACTCGAATATCTCACGATCCATATTGGGAAGAGTGCGATATGGACCCTCCACTAGTCGTCACGGACTGGGCGTTAGTATCTGCAAAAAATCAGCAAGCCAACATGTTGAGGAAGTTTCCTACCGCTAATCAGAGACGAGAAACTCCGGTAACATCAATAAGTACGGTTGTACCCGGCGCAACTGTATGCTCAACGGGACGTAGCTCGGGCTTCCAACGAGGCGAGGTCTGCGAGATACCTGCATACCTCGACGGTTGCGAGAATGGCACCGGTCGGGCATCTCGCGAGTGGTACATTGAAGAACCATCTCCTTACGACAACGATAACGGCTGGATTTCCGGTGGCATAGGGGTCGAAGGCGATAGTGGAGCCGCCATCATTGATTGCGAGACCAATTCCGTTGTCGGTCAGCTCTGGGGTCGGAATAAATACTACGGCCCAGGCCCAAGATACACTTACTTCACTCCTATCTTTGATATCTTCGATGACATCCAAGAGAAATGCTGTCAAGAACGTAGGCCTCAGTTGCCACAACACCGGAACGAGGCGGAAATGTGGTCAGTTTATCCGGTCTGTAAGCAGTGTTTCGATATTCGCGAGGGTAATAGTCGACGCAGCTCAAACGAATCGTTATTGTCAATGATCGGTATGCACGAAGGGAAAGCTGGAGAAATAGACAACGATCTTACATCCGTGTCAGAGTTAGCAACACCCAAAGACCAATCCCACTTAATCCGTCACATAGGACCTGACGTGGCGAGCCCATCATTCGGCGGAGTTGTGTCTCCAGCACCAATTCACTCTTTCTATAATAACACATACGCCCCATCTCCTGGCAATTCAGAGTTGAGAAGCCCCTACGCGCAGGCTCTGAATGACGAGGATCTATACGAAAAGCGCCCGAGCACGAATGAAGTTGCATTAGGTAAACGTCCAATCTTACCTACACCAATGGCGCGAAGCGGGAGCCAGCAGCAATTCAAGAAGCGAAGGGTAATGTAGTCGCAAAGTAAACGCCATGGATATCGATGCTACCCTTCCTGTCCTCTTTCGACAATGAATCTCTCTAGACCACGATATCTGATCACCCTGGAAATCCACCACGTGCCATCTTTTTTGCGCGTTGGTTTCGGCGGTTATGGTTGGCCCTAGATCCCTTGTTTGCTTCCTTGTGTCTTTGAGCATTCTTGGTTTCTGGTTCGCCTGACGGGCCGGAGACATTTCCTCCCCTTCCGCGGCCACCTCCTCTACCTCGTCCACGTCCACCTTGACCACCACGGCCGCGAGGCCCTCCTCTATTATTACCACTTTTGCCGTCGAATTCGGAATCTTCTGCCGCAGATTCTGCTGGGCTTGCACGCCAAGCAGTCGAGGCCAACGCAGGTTGGTCGCCACTAAATGCGCTATACTTCGCCTCCAACTGCCTCATCTGGTGTGGAGCTCTAGCCAACATCAGGGCCCATCCCTCAATAGCCTCATCAGTCATTCCCGTCTGCTGCTTTAGCTTGGATCTGGTTTGGCTCCGTCTTGTTGCCGCATCTCTATCAAAAACCTTCGAATCCGACTGGTAAGCTCTGAAAAGAGCCTCTTCATTCGCGTCCTTCATATCCTCTGCATTTGCATCGTCTACTACCAACCCGGCATCCGCGACATCATATGTGTCGTCCCTTTCGTCATCGTCAGCGTCGAACGCAGAAAGCGCGGAGAGAATAGCGGCCTTATTTGGAGCGGAGGATCGATCATTTAGGATATCATCAGCTGATTTTTCTGGGTTACGTTTTCCGAAGTGGAGGTTAGATAAATCCACTTCTAACTTGTCGAATTCGTCATCGTCAAATACGTTATGACGTATAGGAGCTTGTGGCGGTGTTGGCCGGGGAGCAATATCACGACTTTTCCTCCTGCTTCTCTCGGGAGACCTGTGAATGACTTAGTAAATATACTAGAGAATATAGTTAAGTGAACCAACAGCTCCTTAGTACGGTCTACAGTAGCCAGGTGAGGCGGAAGATCGTCCTCAAGCAGATGGGCAACAACCTGTTCGGTGTCGTCTCCGAATTCGTCTAATAGCTTAGAAATAAAGCCAGACCCCAGCTCCGGAAACAAGTCTTGTATCTGCGAGATCTGGCTCATACGATGCATCTTCATCTCTCCAGGTACATCATCGTCCTCCGTCATGATCCCCTTCCCTTTGTCAATCTTTCGCTTGACCAATTTTTTAGGTCTGATATTGCCACCTGGTTTTCGGAAGCCTTCCAACGCAGTAATGACCGACTTTCCTCGTGTTGTGTTTGAGCCAGAATCATCTAAGCGACGTTGTACCTGCTTGAGGATGGGAGTGATGGTGACCAATTCGGCTACCATAGAGTCATTCACGTTTAAAGGTCCAACTTTGTGACCTTCAGCTGCGGCTTTTAAAGAGTAGAGTTGGTCAATTAACATAGATAATTTAGGGGAATCCCCTTCGGTTAGTCCAACAAGACATAGGTAGGCTGTTGTCAATATAGCCTTTCTCAAAGGGGGGTTCATGATCTTGTAGCAGCTGATGAGCCCATCTAAGAAATCGCTCCCAGCTAGGAAGAAAGCAGCTATGTCGGGAGATGCATGGATAAGGTGGTTAAGTCTCTTCAAGCGAGACTCTAGGGCATTTAGGTCACCTTTGAGACCGGCGTCCAGAGAGACAATTAGAGACTTCTTCAAGGCATTTAGGGAGGTGGTCACTTGTAGGTTCTGAGAGACCTGACTGATCAAACTGGATGTCCTCTTTTTTGAGTACAAGCGGCAGAAATCAGATAGGGTCTCCCACTGAAGTAAAGGGGGAGGCGGCGAAGGTGTTCGCAAGAACCTAGCCATAAGAAGAAAGGATTGTCGAAGCAAAAGTTGCGCTGACTGTGAAGTGCCAAGCACAGCATTATTTGAGGCAGTCTCTCTCGTGAAAGAGACGAGGAAAGACGAGAGCGATTCATCCTTGGAGGATACAAGGGCAAATTGATCTCCGGACAGAGACAGATGAGCCTCTGCTAAGGCAACCCAGTTGGTTAAACAGGCTTCCCATTCATCTGGGACGATATGATCCCTCCATGGCGCTTCGGGAAAGGGCGCAAAAGGAGGTAAGGCCGCCATGATGTTTGGTCCAGGTAAGAGTCGTTAGGCGAAAAAAGATGAAGCGAAGAAAACGTCTCGAAAGATGATATTGACGAGACGTATGTATACTTTTTGGGACCTTTACATTCTTTACCTGGGTAATAAATACCTAGGTGACCACTTATAAGATCCACATCAATGGATCTTGGCCGGATGACTCTTTCTAAAGTTCGTTGTCTTTTGATGACATGAGCTATCTTGTTAATTGAATATATGGTTGGTACGTACCTGCCTGCCTGTAAGTGGTACAAACTTTAAACTGTAAGGCTAGGTACTTAGGTACATGTAAGATAACCCCACTGTAGCCCTTATCCGAGCCCACATTCGAAATTCTAACTAAGACCCTAGTATTAACTTTTTGTTTTCGCAAATCGTGAACTTTTCCTCCTTCAACCCCAAATCACCCACTTTACGTCGCCTTCATCACTTTGCCGCAACGTAAACGTTCGAGTCGTGAAGGTAGCTTCTCACCACACACAAATCACTCTCCATCATCCATCCATCCATCCATCTCGACCAAACAAATCTAGCCAAGATGTCGTACAACAAGGCAGAGAAGGACTACGGCGCGGAGCAGGCCAAGACGCACAAGATCCGCATCACCCTCACCTCGCGCAAGGTCGCCTCCCTCGAGAAGGTCTGCAGCGAGCTCATCGAGCGCGCCAAGAGCAAGGACCTCCGCGTCAAGGGCCCCGTCCGCCTGCCCACCAAGACCCTCAAGGTCACCACCCGAAAGACCCCCTGTGGTGAGGGTTCCAAGACCTGGGACTGCTACGAGCTGCGCATCCACAAGCGCCTGATTGAGTATGTTCACCCTCCCCCTTCTCTCTCTTTGCCCTACTTTTCGTGATTATATGCGATAATCCAAATCCAAATACAAGTACTAATACCTCCTAGCCTGAACGCCCCTACCGAGACCGTCAAGCAGATCATCGTCAACATCGAGGCCGGCGTCGAGGTCGAAGTCACCATCGCCGCTTAAACTGGGATATAGAAAAAAGGGCGAGAATAACGGAGTCTTGGATGGATTACACGGATATACAGATACCCATGTCATTCTTAGCCCGTATCCCGGAGGCGGCCCGCAACCGAATAGGTTCCGGAGCACGGCAGAGATGAATACAAACACAAGCCGAATTGCAAGATAAAACATTCTAATCATTTGCTTCTGCCGTAATTTGCGTGATCCAGTGCGATTCCGGGGTATCTAACTGTCATGTACAAAACGTGGCTCCTGTCGATTCCGGTCGTAAAGTCATTAACGCCATTCCTCCCCATCCCCTTGACCAATATATGCACGTCTATCGATTGCGTATCGTATCAATTTTCCCATTCATCGCTTCGTCAAACCCCCTTCAAAAAGTCCAAACGCAATCTTCCCTCATCGGCGGCACCTCCGGCATATCCCCGTCAAACCTGCCCGTGCTCTTCGTCTTCTCGTAGATCGCCTTGATCGTAGCATTATACAGCGAAGGATCCGGCTCGGTATCTGAGCTGTAAGGGGGCGGGCCGTTGGGGAAGAAGATCTTGCGCCAGGAACCGTCCGAGTTCCTCACCCCGGGCACCGGCGGCTCCGTGGGCGTGCCCAGCGGCCTCTCGTCCTCGTATTTGTCGCCTACCTTCCACTTGTAGACCACCTGCTGCCCGTTGAATGATATGATCTGGCCATTCATGGTCTTGTTGATGTAACTCTCCGGGGGCGGATGCTGTTTGGTACTGTTCGGTCCGTAGGGGTTGGCTCCGCCCACGGGGGCGGATTGGGGTTGCTGTGCTTGTTGCGCCTGCGCTTGCGGTTGCGCTTGTGTTTGAGCTTGCGCGAAAGGGTTCCCTGCTACGGTACCAAACCCTGTCGGCGGTTGCGTGTTAAATGGGTTCTTGGCTGGGACACCGAAGGGAGTGGCAGACGGCTTCGCAAAAGGATTACTAGCAGCTGGTGGTGGAGGAGCTGATGTATCCATAGACTGATCGTTCGGCTGCGGGCTCGTTACTTGGGCGAAGGGATTAGCGGCTACTGGTTGACTAAATGGACTGGGTCCTGAAGTCATTGCCGGCTGCCCGAAAGGGTTGGGAGCAGATGATGAAGATGATGTCGTAGCGAGAAAGGGGTTCGGTTTCTGTCCTAAGGCCGACGGTTGCCCGAACGCAGATTGACTTGTCTGGGCGAAACCACTCGGTCCGGAGGGTGTACTAGCGAAAGGATTGGGTTTCTGGCCTAGAGCTGAAGGCTGGCCGAACGCGGGAGCAGCTCCGCCCATTTGTGAGGGCTGGCCGAAGGCGGGTTTAGCCGCTCCCATGGCTGATGGCTGACCAAAGGCAGGAGTAGTCGATGGAGCACCGAACAGGTTAGGTTTCTGTCCCATTGTTGACGGTTGGCCGAATGCAGGCGCGGCACCGCCAAATTGGTTCTGCTTAGGGGCTGATGAAAATGGGGTTGAAGAAGAAGCAGAAGCAAGTGGATTTGAGAAGCCTGACTGAGGACCAGGAGCGGCCTCTCTTTCGAAAACACCGCTCGCGTTGTTGTTCTGGTTGCAGATATCTATACGATTGGGACGCCTTTTCTCCGCCGCAAGTACAAATTGGATAGCACCGTCGAGATTGCTAAGGGCGGTTTGATTTTGCTGTTCGGCCTGCTGGACGAGAGCCATGACCTCAGCTTCCTTTTATGATGGTTAATAAGATGAAACATATGACGGAATCCGGGTGTCTCATACTGCTTGTTGCGGATTGCTCGCACTTTTGATGTAAACCATCACCTCTTCAAGACTTTGTTCTCGTGGGTAGCCGCCAAACAATTGCTCCGGAGCATCCTTCCCAGGGCCGTAACACGATAGAAGCCATGGTGGTCTCTCGATCGTTAGGTCAGCCTTGATGGTATCTGCTGTGATTTTATATGGAATTTCCTGTGGCTTGTTTCCTCCGGAATTTAAGGCACTAAATCGATTGGTGTTCGAATTTGGAGCTCCGAATGGGTTCGACGAGGGTGCGTTTTCGCCTGGGTGATCGAAGCGGCAGGATGCTGCATTGATAGCTGTTAGTTTACTCTCCAAACAGAAGGCATATGTAGTAAACAATGGGAACCAATTGATCTTTTTACCTACCTCCGTTCCGACAATAGCCTTGTTGCCAGAATTTGCAAAGAGGTGCCATTTTGTAGATGTGCTAAATATGATGATAAAATGATGAACACCTTAAAAGATGGCAGCCTTGAAGTTTAGAACCTTGGAAATTTCAGCCTTGCAGATTACAGATTACAGTGAGCTCTATTAGTGGAGAATTACGGGAGGTATCCCTGCACGGCTCTAACGTACGGTTTAATGCAATTAAGCATAATTATCAATCAATGCATATTGCAACTATCCGGTATAAAGAATAGGATCGCTTTTCTTACTAATCCATGTCATGGCTTCCTTTCCTTTTCCAATGCTCTGACACAGGTTATCTTTCCAAATTACGACGTCAATACCATGATGATTTGTGTCTTTAAGACGTGGTAAAAGGCATGGCGCTCACAAAGAGTAAGTGAGAGACAATTCTAAGAAGGGGGATATCCGCATACTGCAACACCACAAATTTACAAAGATGGAACTATTCAGTTGTCCTTCTTTTCATTGGCTACGCGGAAACGACTAGCTACTACGGAATACCAACCAACGGACTAGATTATCCCACATCATCCTTGCGCGGTAGCTTGAGCCAGAGGCTCCAGCCCACTCGAGATATACGCCGGCGACCTCCAATCCGACCAGTCATGCGTCAAGAGCCCCCAGGTCTCATCGTAGTCCTGCGTGCCGGAGCGGATGTAGTAGCTGCCCGCGATGACCCAGATGAACCAACCGGCCTTCTGCGCCGAGAGGTAGCTGGCGATGCAAGTGGCGTACGTGCCTTGGTACGCGCTGCCGGTCATGTCGAACCCGAACTCGGTCAGCATGACGGGGAAGACGTTGACGGCCTTCGAGTCGCTCGCGTTCTGCGCCTGGAAGCCGCTGCTGTAGAGCGAGCTCTGCAGGCTGCTGCAGCTCGTCGCGCTGTTCTGGTAGTTGTGGATCTCCAGCACGAGCTTGTCCGTGTAGCCCGAGAAGTCGGCCGTGCTGAACGTGCCGGTCGACGGCGTCAGCGCCGTACCCTGCACGATCGGCGTGACGTACGTGTCGAAGTCCAGGCCCGAGAGGAAGATGAGCACGTCCGGGTTGGCCGAGTTGATGGCGCTCGTGCCCTTCTTGATGTTGGTGTACCAGTCACGCCAGTTGTACGACGAGCTCTCGAGCGATGAGTTGTCGTCCGGCGAGCGAAGCTCGTTGCGCAGAGACATAGAAGTCAGAGCCGGCCAGTTCTTCCCGTGGTTTGCCATGTACGTGAGACCTCTAACCCAGTTGTCCACATCTACATTTGCGTTAGCCAGAAAAGAAGAAGCCAAGGTTTGTAGGAAACACTTATGCACATACTGTAGTACGTATCTCCGAACCAAGCATTGCCATCGGTCGTCGAGCAGCACCAAGCTGCCTCGGACATATGGTTGTCTAAGTGGACGAAGACTTGCTGCTTAAGGCATTCCGCCGCAACGGCATCGAAGACCTGTAGGCGGGTGGTGCTGTCATTGAACGAAGGATTATTCGCGAGGAATTGAGCATAAACTTTAGGTCCGTTCGTCGAGCCAAGTGCGTTGGTGAATGACTCCTTCACGGTGGTATCCTGGCCATTGTTGGCGTAGATCTCGTCTATCATCTGGATGGCGTACGTCAAACGGATGGCGTTCATACCGGTGCTCTTGATCTTCGAAACGATAGTCTCGATAGATTGGTATCGCAGTCCATCCGGGATCATCACTTCACCATGGCCTGGCCAGTTAGCGCCGGCATAGACGACATTTCCTCCTTGCGTGTTTTTGATATCACGGCCGGACGTGACTAGCGGCCCGTAGGGCCAGCTAGCCCGGATCTCATTCTGTGCCTTGACTGGGGAAGCCCAAGACGAGGATTGGAATAAGCTGCCGCTAAAAGCGATCAAAGACACGATAGAAGAACGCATTATGACGAATCGCGTGCTTCTTACAGGGACGGTCATGTCACTCACTGCAAGGCACCAGATCCCACGGGAGACGGGGGCGGCAGGTTATATGCAATCTGCTAAGAGGATCCGTCACGGAAGCAATCCGTGAGGTACCATTGCCTACCTCAAATTAAAGGCTTAGGTATCATCCGAGGATATTGCTGGTGGTGCTCCAGAACATCATGAGAAACTAGGATGCGTGTACCTTCACAAGGCCGACGAACCAGGGCAAAATCAAGCTTGGAATCTTGGATAGCTCGTGTAAACATCCGTCCGAGCGGCCCGGATTTTCACCACCTCTCAGGTTGCGACTGATGGGGTATTTATCTCATGATCTTATCCTACGTAACATTCGCCCAAGGACGAAGACAGCATGAATGATCATTAAAGGTGGGGAGCTAGGACATTTCTTGTCAATGCTAAGACCAGAGTCGATGGAATCCCACCGCTTCACCCAGATAACCGGCATATCATCCCCACATTCGTACGTATTTCTCGGCCAGTGATCGCGTGGTTTCCGGAAGTGGAATTCTTGATCTGGGCTAGAACAGATTCGACCCATCGAACCCCAGCACAATCAATCGTCATATATCCAAGTACCGACCCAACCCTCTCAAGAAAAGTCCCTAACCAGCGCTTCTCGTTATAAGAGCGCCAATGAAAGAATTAGCCTAAGAATCCAATCCTTTAAGCCCTAATTTCTAAATATAATCGAAGCTACTTAAACTGTTTTCTAGGACCCTTACAGCACATGTCAATGGTGGAATAGAGCTCCAGCTGATAACTTGGCATTGCATACGACGTTGGTCGCTTAAAGGTAGAACGAATTGCCACCTATCACGACCTATTTCATCGACTGGTAGTTTGTCGCTAGCTAGGGATTATGAGGCAAAATAGCTTCACACATATGACCCGGTGGATCAGACCCAGAATTCAAAAAAGCCAAGGGTATGAACGGTACGTAATTTTATACCTACCATTTTTACCTTATGCCAGCTCTACTAGTCAATCAAAATCAGGTGTGTTTTGCCTCCTAATCCCTATCTGGCACCAACGGCCAGTTAGAGGGATAAACCAGTTTATACCCCAGTCTTATTATCCCGACCGGGAATATCAACCACCTAAATTCGCTTCCTGAACTCAACCATCGGTCCATCTTTCAAACTTGTGAATTGGTCGATGAGTTGAAATTCGTCCACGCGTCTCCGGCCCCATTCAAGATCTGGGTTGCCCTCCGCGGGGTCAAAGCCGGCCGACTTGCGCAAATCGTACAGATACAGCACTCTCGCCAACGTTGTCATCATCTCAATATATGCCAGACCCTTTCCGATACACCCCCGAGGTCCGATCGAGAAAGGGCAGAAAGCGCTCTGCGCTAGTGTTACGTCTTGTTCGGTAACGACGTTTCCGTCGTAGCCGCCGAAGCTCTTATATGAGCCCGCAATCCAGCGTTCCGGGACGTAGGAGAACGGCTGAGGATAGTACGCCGCATTGTGCTGAACGGTGTAGTGGGGGGTGCCGACAACAATTCCTTCGGGAATAAACTCGCCATCGATCGTAATGCCGCCCTTCAAAACTTCGCGAGGAAGGATCCCGCCTACGGAAGGGGACATGCGCATCGCCTCGTCGATGCATGCCCGGAGATAGTGGCACGAGTTTAGCGCCGGGCCCTGGCAGATCTCTTCTACGTCGCCGAATTTCGCCCGGACCTCGTCGCTCGCTTTTTGCAGCGAGGCCTGGTTACGGACGAGGTAGAACAATGTCGCCGCCATCGCCGTCGACGTCGTATCGCTTCCTGCTATGATACTAACAAAATTGTCAACCACGTGTCTGCGTCTGCGTTGATTATCGGTTTTAATACATACAGTAGGTTTGATTCTCCCCATAGCTCCGGCGTCGAGAATCCAATTCCGGTTTCGGGATCTCTTGCCTTTAGCAAGTGGTAGAAGAAGTCGCGCCGATCCGTGTCGTCGCCAAGCTTAGTGCGCTCCGTCAGCTGGGCTTTGCTGTACGCCATGTACTTCGCTCGGCCCGTAGCGATCCTGCGGAATAGGACCTTGTCGAGATGAAGCTTGCCAACGAGGGACATCGTTCCACACTAGTATGATTAGCAAGTCGATTTCTGTTTGGTGAACACCTGGTTACTTACGATTAGGTGTCTTGTGGTAGCAAGTGATACGAGCTCAAGCGCGTATCGGTTGTCAGGCCGTTCCAACATATGAAACGCCTTGCCGAAGCACAAGTCTCCGAGGATGTCCATGGCGAGATAGTTGCACCAGTCAGCCATGTTTTTAGCGACCGTCCATCCCTTCTGTTCGTCACTAGCGCCAAGTCCAATTTGCTCGCAGAAGGACCGCACATTTGCTAGGATATACTTCTCCATCTCCTTTACCGCCGAGTCGGAGAATCCCTGAGACAGGACCCTCCTCTTCCGAGCGTGTAGAGTTTTATCTCTCGTGTTGTGCGTGTTAGGTGCCGGGTGGACGAAGGCATCGTAGAATTCGGCCTTCCGCACATTAGATTTAAAGCCATATATGTCTTTCAAGGCAGTGTTTGAGTTGAAGGAGACGCTGTTTGGGCCGAATCGCACGACCTTGCCGTACTTCTCGTGCAATCGCCAAAACTCGAGATGTCGGTCTCCTTTCCAAGCATGATATAGCTGGTAGATGTCTGTGATCTTTGCTAGGAACGGACCGGGATATTTAGCCAAGGGATGGAAGAATAAACGGTATACTACAAGTCCGAAAGTCTAGTGGTAGATGTTGGTCAGCCGATCAAGTTCATGGTAAGGACATAGGTTTGTTATCTCACATAGACCAGCAGCAGCGCAGCCACGCCGGATGCGAGGTATGTTAAATTAACCCCGGATATCATTGTGAATATTTTCGTCGCTACATATATTGTTGCTCTTCTTAGAATAGGTAGGTATGTAACTAGGTCACGATGATAATATTATCACGTCTCCTTACCGCAGCACGGATTTTATAAGGTCATTATGTGCGTGCGGTCGTTATCATTTCCTACATCTTTTCTAAATTCTAAGTTCTCACCTGGCATAATATAAGAGTTCAAACATTGCAAATGATAAAGTTGGAAGTGAGATCTTCGGCTTTTCGCGGTAGGGTGGTTACACGTCGGTGTACCGAGACGACGGGTCTCTGACGTCGTATACTTTCCTAATCGGGAAGACCAAGAGCGGCGCGGTTAACGACGGAAGGCCCTGCGGACCCTTAGAGAAAAGGCCAGAGCCTGGAGAGCCTTGAGAGCCTCCTCATGCTTGACGCTTATTAGTTAACCTTATCCAACCCACCAACTCCACCACCTATCAGGCTTTCACTAATGTAAGCGCCCCGTCACGGGTACGGTGGAGGTGATAATTCCCGGCTACGGTTGGCCGTATGGGGTTGTTATTTGCCGAGTCATTGCTGTCCTAGCCGTGCAATACCGCTGCGGTGAGACACTTTTGATAATTCCGCATATAAAACCTGCTATTTTCCGCCCTCTGAGGCCCGCAAGTTAAACCCGGCGTTACGTGGGATTCTTGAGTATGAATATATTTATATAAGGTAATGCGAACTTACCTAGGTGTGTCCTCAATAATGAGTAACGGCAAAGACCTACTACTAGTCGTTGTATACTTACCTAAGTAAATGAAAAAAAGAAATGGTCAAGAACCGAGCGTCACATTACCGACGTGGCTCACGGGTGTTAGCTTGCGAGATACAACATCCATAGTTGTGTGACCCGATGGTTCCGAGACTTTATCATTTCGACTGAAGTCATCTACGCATCTCCATGATATCTCCAAATTTCCCTCGTGTTGCGCGGAATAGTAACCCTACGATTACTAACGCCCTCGAGGCGTATAGGTCTGTATGCCGATCTTGACGCTGTTCGCTCATAGATCCCACCGATATTGGTGGTATGTCGCTTGAAGCACAGAGCATCGAGATGTCAGGCTTACTCATGCCACAAAACCACGAATACTACAGACATAAAATATACAAATACTTGACCCAAGCAGCCAAGTGAACATCTCTTAAGTTGTGAAGTATGTCCGTTCATCTATCCCCTACGACCCTCAATTTTACAAATGGATTTGGGGTCTTAAGCCACCGCCCATGTCGATCATTTGTAGCGGTCGAAGTCGCCCCTAGATTCCATAAACATAAGGGGTCCATTATGTCTATTCAACTTAAGGAATTCTACTAGAGTAAACTAAACTTCGATAGGTGCATATGAAGTTTTTTGTGAAGGTATGATAGTCTAGGTTATCTAATACCAGGGGAGGTATATAAGCCAAGAGATCCTATACACCGCGAAATATCTTAGCACCCGACGCTAATTGCGACTAAAACTAGACTAAACTTGTATTTCTAGATCTCTCATATGTACACTAGTAGTAATGATGTGTATACTTAAACTCGTATTGCCTAAGATGAGGTGTGTTCAACTAAGACAAGTTCTGGCCAACCGATAGCGCTAACAGCACAAACCTGCGAAGTGAAGTCGTACATGAGCCGTTGGAGCCGTTGTTGTGGACCATGAACACAGTAACAATGCTACAGTCAAACAGATCAGCTCGGACTGTGCCGTCATCTGCTGTACCCCGGCCACTTGCCTATCAAGATGCAACGTCGAAGGTCCCTACGTAAGGATTTCAATTGGGCAGATTGGATCGTCAGGGGTCTCGTTGATGCGCGCCCATCTCCCACTGAAACATCGTGTATCATGGGCTGTGCCTCCTTCTGCTCCTTATAGTTACATACTTTCGGTACGCCTATCGTTTTCCCTCCAGTCACTCATTCACCCATTCATTCATTCATTCACTCATTCCATTCACTCCTTTCATGCGACGGCGCCATTCATCCCATCTCTCTCCAATCCTTCCTTAAACAGTTTGCTCGAAATCCAACTACTGTACTTTCCTTTTTTTCGTCCGAGCAAAACAAGCAAACACGGATCACGCCACGGGGTCACATTAGTTCGAGTTTTCGAGCCCGCGAGCTCGGCAACATCCGAGCCTTACTGAGCAAAATCATTCGGGTAATGAAGAGGACGATCGGGAAGCCAGAAAGACAGTCTTGGATTTCGCAATTGCATCGAGAGCGCCGTACACCTCGTAACACACCATGAGTCCCCTTCCAGCCGACCAGGCGGCGGCGACATCGCCGTCGGTCAAGCACGTCGCCCGATCAATCTTACACCTCCTGAGAACGCGCGACGACGACGCCAAATGCCACCCCCAGCCAAACATCGACCTGTGCGAGAAGCCCGAGGCGGCCAGTAATACGACCACCATCGTGCTCAGCGTCCTTGGGTAAATCTACCTACCTTCCTCACCTGATCCCGTCCTTGCCCAAGGAACCTTAAAGTCCAATTCCCAATTCCAAGTCCAAGCCCAAATATGTACTAACCAAACCCCCCTTCTTCCAGCGGCATCCTAGTAATCGGCACCATCTCAACCCTAATAGTCTTCCACCTACGGCGCCAGCGCCGCGACGCGCAAGAGTGGCCCAAGAGCCAGCAGGAGCTCGAAGACTACGGCATCGGGCCCATACCTTCCACCACCAAGACCAGCACCGCCGGCGGCGGCGCGCCCCCGCGCCCCAAGAACGCGTACCGACCCCCGCACGTAGAATCCGAAGGCGATAGAAATGGCAACAGCAATCATCTTTCGGCGCCGGGCGGAGCCCGCCGCGACTCGCTGAAGTCGCTGGCGCGCTCGATCCGCGGGAACCCGGCGTCGCGGGGCGACGACGTCGTCACGCATGACATGAAGCCTGTGGAGCCGGCTAGTCAGTTATAGTCACGCGTGTAGGAGAAGAAAAACGAAAAAGAAATGGCCAAAAAAAATGAAGGGGGGAAGGGGAGGAAGTGGGGAGGGAAGGAGGGAAGGAAGGAACAGGAGTAGGGGAAGACAAGAAGGGAGCAGAAGAAGGAGAGGAGAAAGATAATGATACCCCGTCGCAGACAATCTAGTAGAGGAAATCTACAATAGCAAAGGGGAGGAGTGGGAGGGCGGATGGGATCTGTAGGAGTAACCTAGCAAACCAAAGCAAAGAAGGAGAAGAAGACGAAGTTGCGTAGAGCAAGAACAAGAAACAATATAAAGCAAAAGCAGAACTGGTTCTGTCATATTTCCTCGAAAGCATTGGCGTTGATGATTTCCCCCTTTGTCTGTGAACTGCGAGGATAGCCTTTGCGTACACCCTGTTCTGTAGCGCATAGATGATTTACACTATTGCCTTATTTCGTTGCGGTTATGCGCTGCTGTATTGGGCTCTGTCCTATTGAGTTCGCTCAAATTACCCCATCTCTCCAGGTGACTTTAGTACCTAGGTAGGTAGGTAAATATACTACTGTCGACAAGGGCTAGAAGACTCCAGTTCAAGCCCATAGGTCTACTATAGTATCAAAGTCAAGATGTATGCATGTGTTCAAAGAATGAATGTTGTCCTGTTAAACTCCTGATTCACAACCTACGAGACGGGTAATATCCATAGCTGAAAGATAATATGCGTCTCTTGAGCATGTTTTGCATTGTACGTTGAGCCCACGCCACATATTCTACACATTTATACATCTCCTTTATGTTGGGCTAACTTTGTACATCCCATGCTGACCATCTAATTCCTGAACGCCGCGCTCCGATTAGGGCCTCGAGTGCTTGAGCCCGGTCTCCGCTTGCCACTGAGATCCATACGACCCATTTCCTAAATAATCGTTTCTTATTTAATGTACCTATCCTGTTTGAGCCGCTACTCTCCCGCTCGTCGAACTACCTGGACTATTGTTTACATAGGCGCGTATCCCGTATCCTCAACCTTCTAGCCCCGCGTAGGTACTTAGTTGGTTCAATAAGAATGTCCACTTCGGGCTCTTGAGACTCTGCAAAGCACCGAAGAGGCTCTCTCTAGTCGGAAGAGCATTCGGCGGTATGCTGGCTGGGTTGTTGGGGTCTCTCGCCTTCTCGCCCAGTCTCTTTAACGTAGATACGCCACAGGTAATTATATAGAGGATATCCATATCTTCCCGCGGTTGAGTTCTTGCATTGGTACCCGCTCGAGGTGTTGGTTCGGCCTGCGTGCAGAGCGTGCGAATAAGTCGGAAAAGATTCTGCGCAAATCCCTCCCCTGAGGAGAGCCAAGCTCGTGTTACCCCCGATTCGTATCCCGGGGCGAGCTGAGCAATAATGTCGGCAGCGAGCAAGCCTTGCATTAGCAACGCCTTACGCGCTTCGACAAATGACGGCAGGTTTGCCGGACGGCTTTCTTTATTTTGATCTGGAATCGGGGAGACGGCGAGGCCGAAGGTCCGCGTAAGGAGTTCGTGAGGAGAAGAGGTGGCGGCATCGGCAGCGAAGATTATTTTGTAATGTGTTCTGTTCGGTTCATCGCGTGCGAGTAGCTTCGCTAGGGAGTCGACGGCGTGTGGTAGGTAAAAGTGAACTGACGGTTCGTATGGTGAAAAGACAACTCGTTCGGTGGTTAAAGAAGGGGCCGGTGATGGCGCGAAAGCAAGCAGAAACTGAAGGAGACACAACGCTTGTTCCCGCCCGGGTATCTCGATAGATCCAGCAACATTAGATAGCAAAACTATGACATCTTTCATAAAATCGAGCGTATTCCTCGGAGCTCGCAGTAGATTCTCGTGCGTACCCAAAGACCGTACTACACCGCAAAGGAACTTGATCACTATCTCATCGGCAAGGACCACCTGGTTCACATCCATAAAGGAAAAATTCCGTAGGATCGTCGTGATCGCCAATAGGCGATCTGCGGCGTGTTCAAGCTCGTAGTCGCCGTCCCCGAATACGTGGGGCTTGTGTAGGCTCATAGCTTCAAGACGGCAACTTCTCACAACATCCTCGTAGGAAGTCAAATCTATCTCATCCGAGACTGGCTCCGCCTTTTCAGCCAGCAGATCGACTTGTTCTTCGGCGCAATCTATAAGGGACTCCACCAAATCATCACAGCCCCTTAGATCGATCGATAGAGTTGGTATGTACTCCGCCGCGCGTGTCACGGACCCGAGAGTGTCGAGAGCCAGCCGTACTTCCCCATGTATACCGCACTGGATACTTTTTGTAAGAGCATGAAGGTCGATATTACCAAGTTCTTGAGGTTGCGGCATGTTCGGCCTCCATTTCTCTAGCTCATTGCCCAGCTTGGCCATCGAGTCAAGGTCAAAGCCTCCGTATAGGTACATTTCTCGAGAACATGGGGAGTATTCTTCAGGATCTGACGCGAAGGGCCCGGGGAAAGGTAGCATTGCAGCACCATTCGCATGTGCAACATCGGCCTGCTGGCTTGGAGGCTGCACGGAGATACTACCACCCTTGCTTGCCGATGCCGGTGACTGTATCGTGAACTCGCCGGCCACTGGCCTAGCATCGATACTCCGTGACATGTTACTTCTCATGTGCCCTTGGCCCGCATTGGGTTGAGGTTGTTGGGCCATCCGAGGTTGTTGTGGAGTAGAAAATCCGTTGACGTTCGCTTGCTGCATTCCCGGCGTCATCTGCTTCACGGGTGTCTGCGCATGTGGTTGCGGCATTTGAGGGGGGATTTGTCCAGGTTGTATATGTTGACCAGGTGGCATCTGGCCCATCCTTTGTGGTACACCTTGGTTTGGTACACCAGGCATGCCTGCCGATCCGGTTGATTGCTGCTTTATGTGTTGGCTTCGTTGCTGCATTGCCCAGGCTTCCTCAAATTTCAACAAGTTTCGCTCATAAATTGATCTTACTTGATTCGAGGCCGACGGGATCTGCTGCGGATTGAAGCCAACCGAAGCGGCAACCTGCATCCAGAGATTATGGCTTGTTACATTCCGATATCCACCAAATTTGGAAACATTCTGAAAAAGTTGTAGGAGGTGTAATGGACGGCCTTCGATGTTGGGATTCGTCTCCAAGGGAAGTTGCTTCATGTTCATGAACGTCGTTAGGTTCTTGAGGAAGCCTTCAGGATTGGTTGCGCGCGCCATTTGCGATGGTTGCTGAGGGTGCATAGCGCCTGGGGGCATCTGGCCGTTCTGCATCGGCATCGGTTGCTTGGGCATCATACCTCGACCTTGAGCCATGTTCTGGGCTTGCATCTGCGCAGCCATCGACATACCGCCCTGCTGGAGCTGTTGCTGTAAGCGCATCTGGTACATCATCTTCTGTTGATCCATCGCACCACGTCCTTGCGCCGCTTGAGCTGCTTGTATTTGTTGCATTTGGTGCATCTGCTGGGGAGTGAGCATCTGGCCATGGTGCATTTGGGGCATATGTTGTGGCATTTGACCCATCGGTTGCGGCATCATGGATTGCGCCATGGGGTTCTGCGCGGATGGTGGCCGGGCGGGCGACGGAGTAGCTGCGAATGCGGGATTGAAGCCTTGAGGGAAGTTCTGTTGATTCATAAACATGCCTGGTTGAGGAGTATTACCATGATCTGATGGAACGGGTGAGGTCTGGGGGCCAAACTGTTGAGAAGCCGGAGAGAAGGGATGAGGCGACGCGGTATTGACGCGTTGTGGGACGCTTCCTGGTCTTAGCTGGTTGCCAGCCATTATTGGGGAAGGAGACGCGGTAGTTGAACCATTGGGTTGTAGATGAGGATAGTGTTGAGGCTGAGCGGGATTCTGTTGTTGCATGGCATTCGGTTGGAAGCCCGGGTATGGCGACTGTTGAGGCGTGTCGGCGCGCGAAGTCGGTAGCATGTTAGGATTTTGTCGCGGAGACGCGCCAATGCTGTCTTCTCTAGGACGAGGTCGTTTGGAAGGAATGACGGGGTTTGTTTGATATGCGGGATTCGAGAAGGAGGGCGAGGCATTGCGCATCGGGCTATTTTGCATCGCAGCCATGTGCTGATGGTTAAACTGGCCAGCAGCGACGGGATTGAACTGGCCAGCATTAGCCATGAAGGCGGAAGGGTCCATCATGCCTGCCGGCGCTCCGCCCATTCCTCCTCCCGGTCCCATGTTATTCGGGTCGTTCATATGTGGGAAGCCGTTGCCATTGTGATTTTGGACGGCAGCGGCCTCGTTCATCCAGGAGCTCATGACGGATGGAGTCGCAAATGGGAACCCATCTGACTATAATTCAGGCAATGTCAGTAATTAAAATGCATATAGAAATAACGACATGTGCATTGAGATGAGATAACAATAAATGAGTAATAGTAGTGTCACGGGCGACAGTGTCGCGATGGATTAAAAAAAGTTCGAGTCGCGTCGCGAGTCGATTAGGGAATTTTTTGGGTGGATGGGCTGTCGCGGTGCGATCGGTGGAAATGGAGTTGGTACGGTCGCAGATTGTCGGTGGTTGGGGGAAGATAGGGTGTTCAATGTTTAGAATAGAAGGGGGGCCATGGCTGCACGGGTACTCAGCGCGATCACATCAACCCTTGAAATCCCCAAATCACTAAATCCAAAAAAAGTCCAGTGCTGCGAGCGGAGTGCTTGCGCTGCGAATCACCGGCAGCACTGGACGAGCTTGGGTGAGGATTGAGGGCTTCAGGGAGGTAACAGGGGATAAATCCCTAATACTGTGCTGCTTGTAGTGCCATTTGCAGTGATGTAGTGCTGCACTGCGGGTACTGAAGGGGTTGTGTGTACTGTATGAAGGGTACTGTGAAGACTGTGTTTTATAATGCAGAGGTAACTATGCCCTGTATTGGAAAAGAAAGAATACTTAGGTACCTCGATGGCTACCAGTAAAAATGATAGCGATAGCAGTAATACCAAGCAACCCCTATGGAAAATACCAGGTACCTAAGCATGTATATGACAGGAAAGGGAACCTTGGCAGTTGGGCAGAGGAACAGTAGCGGCAATGTCAAAAAAATAAGAGGCAAAGGCCGCGCGCCCGCTTGGGAATGGGCAACATGGTAAAAGCCGAGCCAAAGTAGATACCCGGTAGGTACCTAGATAGATACGGAGGCCGTTTCTAAAATAATACGGGATGACGAGAAAGCGGGTGATGGGTGACGGGGTGGGTGACGGGTGACGAGCGACGGATGGAGTGCCGCATCAGGTGTCGGGCACCTTGTCGCTACTATGTATGGATGCTAGTGACGGGAGACCGATCGCTTCGATGCAGCATTGCGCATCAACCATCCGACGCTTGAAGGATGCCGACCGAAGTTGTGACGGGCAACGGACAACGGGCAACGGAGACGGCCCAAATGGTCTGAGTGGTAGCGTTGTTCGGACACACATACACACGCACATACGGCATTAGGGAAATACCCAAATACCTAAGACAGGATAGGATGGACGGATGGATGGGTGGGTGGTTAGACTGGATAGACTGTCCCAGGTGAAGAGGGAGATGACGATAACGATGATAATGATAATAACAACAACAATGATAACGGAATAATAGTAATAAAATAAGGACAATACTGGAATAGACAGAGAGAAAGGGATATAGAGATAGCAAAGCAATAACAGGGTCTGACCTACCTAAGCTAAAACTAATGGTTGATTGACGACACACCTCAGTTCCAAGTTCTCTTCTCTTGTTTGCTGCGGCGCGCGAGAGAGGGATAGAAGGGGTCGGGTGGGCGGTGGGCGGTTAGTAGGTAAGGCAAGAGGAAGACGCACTCCGGTCTATGGACCGTGTGCTTAGTGTAGAAGGCTTGCTGGACACGCGCTCCTCCCTTTTTTTTTTCTTCCCTTAGGAGCTGGGACTGGCGACTGGGACTGGACTGGGAGCTGTGGGATGGGATTGAAGGTCTGGGTAGGTCAAGAAATTTTTCTGGCTGATTGCTGGCCTCCTTCAATCCGAGAGGAGCAACAAGTACTACCTTGACCCACTCGAGCTAGACCAAGTCGGGTTTAGGATGCGAAACGATGAGAAATCCGAGAAATCCTGCGTCCGCCTATGCGCGATTAGGGCGTTGAGGGCGTTCAAGGAAAATAGAATGAGGAAAAAATCCAAAGAAGCTCAGTGGCCAGAGTGGAAAAGGAGACGGAGGATGTGGGGCAATGCAAAATCTGAATGCTCATTGGTCACAGAACCAAAGCTAATGGTCCCACTTCGGTGCCCACTTTAATGCACCGGAACGCATTGCTATTGGAAGAGATGAGAAAGCATCAGCTTGATACTGAGATATGTACCTTTGAGACAGGTTACATAGAAAATGAGTGGAAAAAAGGAAAAGGTGACTTTGTCGGATAACTTAAACTTTACCTAAGTAGATGTACCCAGGTAACCGCCAAATCAAGAACAGGTGATAAATCCGGTTACTATCCGGTCTCCACTAAATGTTTCATAAGCCAATCCGAATTGAATCTTCAATTCTTCATCAACTCTGTCCGATGTCTTCATTCAACATATGGTTACTCACCTAGGTCAGCTGGGTACTACCTGCCTAGCCACTTATCTGCCTAGATAGGTAGCTAGTTTATAGATGGCGCTTTAAGAAAACGTAAAAGGAGAAAAACGATCGGACAGGGTATATTGAACCCGGCAACAATGAGAATGCTATCCGGTCAGATCAGGTCAGAAACTGAAGCAAATGCTCACCTCGGCGTCTTTTGGCATCCCGATGGGAAAGGAGCCCGCCCGTGCCGTATCCATCAAGAAGCTCTAGACGAGGGGTTTTGCTGTGACTGAACGGGAAATAATCAATCGCTAGGGATTAGGGGGATGAAAAGAGCAATCAAATTAGGCCTTGATAAATCAGAGTGTACTCTCATCGTTAAGCCGTTGTCGTATATTGCCTCAGGTTGGGACAGCATTTCCATTCGTACGTCGAGCCTAAACAGGAATTTCAATCCAGACGCCAGCTCTTTCAAGTCCCAACACGCTTCTTGAGTATCCGATAGGAAGTCTGTCTTGATCGTCTTGGATTATCTTGGGCCACGCGCTCGCTTCCCGTCAATTATGACTCCTAGAAAATCCCAGATGCCAAGATAAGGAACTAAAGCGCTGATGCTCGGATGAAGGCTTAACCAATTGTTCAGCAAGACGACAGCAACAGCAAACCATTCCAATATTCCCGATGCCAACGGGTGCTCTAGTAGGCAGTAAGCTCCAACCCAGATCCAAAATTTGTATATCGGCCGCAGAAAGAATCGGGGGCTCCAGCCCAGGTCCATGCGAAGATGGTAAGGAGAAAGTTGACCGGAATGAGTTTCCAAATTTATCCCTTTCATCCCTCGAAGTTAGTTGTGCTCCCTCCGAGAGCTTGCCTTGCACGCCTAAACCTGGCGATTGCCACTCAGGACGTCCGAAGTTCGTGTAGCCCACACCACCGCAGCAGCTCAATGTTGCGTACAAATACTCATCATTTAGTAGCTTCATAACTAACGTTAGAAATGAAACCCCGGACGATGAGTATGCCTGTGCGGGAGTCAGATGGTATGTGAACCTGCGATGCTCATGGCCCATAGGTAATTAGCCGAGCGCGCCGTGAAAGGCATTTTTCAGCCAATTCTCCTCATCAAGAAGCGTGTGCTCAGATGTCGACTGTATATCTGTATGCAGGGCTAGGCATGTAAGGTCGACACATATGTATGATATGTATGATAATATGTATGCTGACATCCCACTCTGTATAAATGCATGTAAGTCGCAAGCGATCCCGCTTGTGATGGCTGCGTGTGGGACCAATAAGAATGCCCCGGTGATCCATTGCTACGGGTCGCAAGGGTCGACAAGAAATGCGGTGGTCCCTTGGTTGCCGGCCAAATGATGAAAGAGAATACTTTTTTCGGTAGGAAGAAGTGCCAGTGATTCGACCTGCAATTTTGCCTGCCGATCAATAGAGTAGGAACCCCCTCTTCTTTTCTTTCTTTCTCTCATTCTCGGACAGTATGAATGCTAGTGCACGAGTTTCCGTGCATTTTCCGTGCGGTTGTGCCACGGGGGATAAAATGGGAATCTCCATGCCGCAGGAATTTTGAAACCCTAGACGTAGGTACCATATGGGCTGTGAGTATAAGCGGCGTATGGTATTGCTAGACTCGGCCCTACTTCAGGTAGTTGAGCGAGTCGAAATTCCGATCCCAAGAATTGCTCATGCCCGGAGATATGTGGCAGCCCAGGGAAATACTCGTTAGTCCATACGAACTTACGTTAATTTCTGTAGAGATTGATGTGGTCGTCGCTGGGTGTTCTGATGGACTTGATCCTTGCAGCTTTACGGCGGAGACTTTGTCATCCTGGTCGAGAATCCATCGTTGGTCATGGCCGTTTGCGCAACGTTGGGCGCCCATCCATCTTGTACAGGGCCGTCCTCTTCAACCAGCTCCCGTCTCAAGGAGTTGATCATGAAAAGGGCGACGGCTTCGCGACTCTATCTTGTCGAGTAAGAATCGCGATAATGAATTAAATCCCCCGTATCCCCGACGCTCGGATTCTCTGGTCGATATGTCCTCATCGATAGTACAAAGGTACAATCGGTCGTTCCGCATCAATACCGTTTTGGGGTATTTTCATGTAAGTGGGAAGGAAGCTCATCGTTAGAACAGAACAACAACGACGGCACGATTTAAATTTTGAAATGCAAAACAAGAAGAAAAAATGGATGGGAGAGAGAGAAGGGGAAAAAGTGTGAGGAGAAAAGAGAGAGGGAAGAAGAGAGAAGAGAGAAAAGAGAAGACAGACGGTCACAAGGGAACGGGCAAGGGGTGGTAGATGGGCCTTCAGGTACAGTAGGGCGAGAGGGAAAACGGAGAGCAAGTGAGAAGACCTGAGGGAAAATCGGTTACAATGCCTACCTCCTACCTACTTACCTACATGTACATACCGTACCTCGATCGAATTGCTGTTACTGTTATTATTACCTTCAGAGCTAGGTACTTTACCTATTTACCTTGCTATTTATCTAGTATGTTATCATTCAGTCTTCCTAATATTTTTCCTTTGGTGACTTTTCCCTCTTTTCCGTCTCGCCATTTTCATCACTGGTTGATCATGTCTCGAGCTCCCAGCCTAGTACCGAAATTGTCCGCTAAGTGGTGCCCCATGTGCCAATGGGGACGGGCGTGCTTTGTGTAGTGCAAAGTCTGGGACGGGACAGCCGAATTCGTCAGAAGCTTCCTCCGCCGAGTCGTCATTTTTTTATTATTATTTCGGAATAGGATGCAGATAAGCTTCGTGCGTAAAGCCTCCATTAGTCAAAGACCAGCTCGATCTCGTATGCAACCCGGCTACAAAAGCTTCAGACTATCCCCCTTAGCCAGTCGAAACTTTGTTTCCGGCCACTAGAGTGAGCGTCATCTTACCCGTCATCTTGTCATTTTGTCACCCTTTGTGTCTCCAACGACGAGATTATTGAGACGGGTGTCGAAATCAACGAAACGACCCTCCAAGAAGGCAGGCAACGAATGACATAAATTGCGAGGTAGGGTATCTACCTGCCTTAAGACACCTTACATAGATGGGTTGGGAATTGCGGTAACGCACCAACTTGCCACTTGGCGATGAGAACTCGGGGCCTGGAATTTGACTTTTTATTTGACTCGACCCGGCTTCGCCTTGTAAACCTGGCGCTCTATCGACAACACCTACAGTACATCCATATTAAGACTTACATGCTTTTGCCCGACGCCGAGCGGATAGCGCTGAGGATTGTTCATCTCCATCGAGTCCTCCTATTGTACGTAGGTCGGCTGGCTCCACCGTCTCGCAGGCGCCCAGCTTGTGTACGGTACACATCCTGACATCGTAAATAGCACGTAACGGAACACTCGTGTGAATAAGCCGCTTCTAATGCCTACCTACCTGGTACATACATACATACCTAGGTACCGATATGAAAGGAGAGTCTAGAAAGCGATTATACATATCGCCTACTGGGCAAATATCCATTTGTTAGGTTCCACAGCTCACCAACTACTAGAGAAGGGAATTCACATGGTATGTTTGTCCGTACATTCAACGGACCTGGTCATCAGTCAATAGGTACCTACCTTATACGGGCAACAACCTTCTTGCCGTTGACGTAACAAAAGGTTCCCATGCACTACTACGTATTCGCCAAGACGACAGGCAAATGGATGAGGTTCGTAGGTGGGATGGAGGTGAGACAAATCGCCAATATGGCGGAACAACACGACCATGTGTGGCTTCCAGTCATCTAATCATCCATGAATAATCCTACTAGATATGTAAGAATCCCGGGCTATTATCAGATCATACCTAATGTAATGCCCGGGTGTTACAATGCAGCAATTGCTTTTTCTTTGTCGGGTCGAGTGAGATTCTCTTAGGTATCCGTGCGAAGCACACGATCCATTACTTTCTTTTATTCCCTTGGAGAAGCTGAGAGGGGACAATCTTACCCATGCCATGCCTCTTCTCGGTATTTGATATCCATGACTTAGGTATTTAGCAGTTTATGAAAAGTCAGGTCAATCCCCTCCAAGTTATTTGAGTATGAACCCATACTATCCACGCGCTTAAATATTTAGTGACGAGATTAACAAGGTTGGCGGGCTAGATATGTGCGCTATTGAGGAACCTCTTTTAGCCTGCATGATGAAGTTTGCAGTATTCACAAACCAACGGTAAACGCCCAACAATTTCGAGAGCTTTGATCGGCTATTACTGTGAGGTAGTGGAGGTCGTCTTCAGATCTCTTTTTCTTGCATAATGTCTACCCCAGAGCCTCTCCACAGCTACCCGAACCGCTCATACTGTAAGATGATCCCAATATCTCAATGACAAAGCGAAGCGCTAGTAGATATTCAAGGAATAAGATATCAAGTTTTATTTCTAATTCATACGATTTACTTTCTTATTATTATCACTATAAAGGTTGTAACTGGTGGATCGACCGGTTTCGTCGGAACAGAACTTGTCCGTCAAGCTCTTCTCTCATCCCGTTGTTACGTCAATCATCGCTTCTTAGCCAGCGTGAGAAATTCATACCTGCTAGCTCTATAAAACTAATAGGAGCGATGATTTCGAAAAGTATACAGGCAGCATCGAAAAAGAGCTAGAATTCGCGGATGCATGTATCTGATATGGCATTGCCATGCAATCCTTCTAGTTCCCAAATGCTCTGCTCGATAGATGACCAACAAGCAAACAGGACTGTCGCAGTGACGCCGTCCAAGCGCGAGACTACCTTGTTGGATGACGCATCTAAGATATCCCGCGACTATGCCACAACAGCCATCCAGACCCTTGCAAATCTTCGTCACAACGAAGACCAGCCGCTCCGCTTCGTCTACGTCAACAGTCATTTTGCAGCCCGCAGCCCAGCTAAGGTGTCTAAAGAATTGGTCACTTACGACTTAATCAACTATGGTTTAATGCAGGGTTGTATCTAAAAACGACCTATCAGTCCAAATGTCCCTTCTAACATCTCATCAGCGCTAATCTACGCATCATACCAATCTAGGGCGAGGCAGAATTACGGATCCTGAAATACGCGGAGTAGTCTAACGGTGCCGTGGAATCCTGCGCCGCTAAGCCCGGAATCGTCAACGCCCCTAGTAGAGAGAAAAGGGTTGTCTCCGAGGTCCCGAACATCGAGCTACGCGACCTCGCGTCGGCACTTCTAGGCCAGGCTGTAAACTAATTCGAGAAGGATATACTGAGGAACGATGATATGGCTCGGGTTATCCATAAGACTTTGGCTGAATAGCAACATGTATGGCGGCTTAGAAGCTATAGGGGCTATAGTATTTAGACACCTACGCAATTGCTCAAGTTCGTTCGTTTCTGGCTAATACCCAAAGCTTTGCTAAGGCTTCCATATTTACCTATATTAAAGTGTCATAACTTTCACAACGCAAGATAACTGTGAATAGAGAAGAATATTGGAATATAATAGATATAAGCTGCAAGAGTGCCATGAATATCAAGTACTCAAGGCTACCTAGGTATCCATTAGATTCCATTATATTTGAACGAAGATAGGCTGTGGAAGCAGTAAAGAGATTCTAGCTTCTACGTCTGATATCCCTGTTAACAGATAGTTCGAGACGAATAAAAGAACAAACATCGTCTTATTCAACAAAGGCTTTGTTATATATAATTACATATTACTAGAGGACTTGTCGTCTCTTATGGAATATCTAACCTAGCAATATATCTCCCAGAAGTGAAAATTTTCCTCAGTAATCGCTCTATTTAAACGCCATGTACCTAAGCTCACGATATCTAATCTCTTGCTTTGGTCGGTAGGTAGGTAGTTATTCCGACATGGGCCCTGGGTAAAATTTTTTTATTTCTCTTTTGTGGGATTGTTTGCAAACATTCAAGCTATAATAGTATACTCACACTATGTCACTAAACAGGTTTTCAGACCATGCCGCAAAGCCCGCCCTCGTGTGTGGTAACAGAGTTCATTATCATAATACATACTCGAACAACCGTACCATTCTGTTTGTATATAAACCTAAGAAAATAGAGGTATAGATTTCCTTATTTACTTCTCTCTTTCAGACACCTACATACAGCAATCAACACCCTTCAATCACCTTAAACGCACATTCTCAAGTTAGGGAAATCTCATATAATTACAAGACTTCCAACTCCACACAGAGAAAATGAAGACTTCTAGCATCCTTGCTTCTGCTCTCTTCTGGGCTGCCACATTTGCTGGCGCCATTGGTAGAGGCCCTTTTCGAACCTCCGCCGGTCTCCCAAGCGGCTACTCCTTATCAAATCTGACCTGGACCGGAAACATCACTGCTAACGGGCCCGAGATGTCATTCACCGGCCCCAGTTTCCAGGATATCGACGCCCAGATTCTCAAAGCCAACCCGGATTTCATGTGGCCTGACTCCAACAGCGTCGATCCCGCAACTCTCGAGAAGTCGGAGGCTCATTTAACCTGCGACCCCAACAACATCTGGTACGCCCAGGCGTTCCGGATCGAGGAAGGCATCGACTACCTCTCGAGCCGGACTGGTAAGTGCCACATGGACGCCGGTCCGAGGGTCTGCACGCGGATCTCTTGCTCATACAAGAGCGCGATCTGGTGGTGCAATGATAATTCGGAACCCATCGAGGAAAACTGTCTGCTTTGGTCGCATTACGCGGAAAACATCCTAGACGTATGCCGGTCCGGCGACGCCGCAGACAGAGTCAGGGGCCAAAAGTTTTCCTCGGCAAACTGGAACATCTTGGTAGGGTTCGATGACGACCATTGTTAGGTTGTTATTGGTCTGTCGTATAAGAAGCTTAGTAGATAGACAAGGTAGGTCTTGACCGAGCTCTCATACAGTGCTTAGATAGGTATCAGACAAATAAAGATTATACGACTTATTGAATATTGTAATTTGTGTGATGAAAGATTCCCCCTTTTTAGACGTATGAGTATGGTGGTCTGTGCTTGCTCAGACCTACTAGGCTTAACTGAGGTACTTTAATTGTGCCACACGTTTGCGAACTTAGACTTGACGACTAAAACAGTCATCCATACTGTTCATGTCACTTTTATTTCGTTCTCTGAATTCTAAGTGCTTTGTAGCGGCTTCAACTCCTCTGCTCGTCGGTAGTAATCAACTCAGGATGGTGAAAAGAAAAGCAAGCCAAGTCGAGGCCGCGCCGGACGTGACAAATCTAAGAAGGTCGACGCGTCGAAAACCACTAGCGTCAGAATCAACTATTGAGACCAGCCAGGCTAAATCGGTAGGAACAAGTGCGCCTCAACCTTCTAAGTCAAGAAAAGAGAGCGTATCTGAGAAGTTAGATTCGAAGAAGTCTTCGGTAAGGATACAAATTCCTTTTATTCATTTTATTGGTCTGCGAGCTTCTCAATCTAAGAATCGTCTTAGGAACCCCCGAAACCAAAGACAACGGCAAAGGCAAAGGCCAAAAATGCTACGCATCTAAGCTCGGGTTCAGAACCCGAGGCAGACAAGACATCCAATTCTTCGGAGATATCATATTGGCTTATGAAAGCTGAGCCCGAGACACGAATTGAGAGGGGCGTCGATGTTAAGTTCTCCATCGACGACCTAAAATCACGAACAGAGCCTGAACCTTGGGATGGTAAGATCTCATTTTCACCGAAACTTCTATTTGCTCGGCAAGGCGGCTTGCTACGCCTCTGCTCTATTTAACATACCTCGATGCTTATGACGTTTCCTAGGTATCCGTAATTATGTCGCCCGAAATAACCTCAGGGAGATGAAGAAGGGCGATATAGCATTCTTCTACCATTCGAATTGTAAGGAACCAGGTATCGTAGGTACCATGGAGATCGTGCAAGAACATTCCCCTGATCGTAAGTCCGCCCACCCCAGCCAAGTTTCGTAGGCAGCTCCTTACTATTGTCGCGAAGTGTCGGCGCACGATCCGAAGGCGGCGTATTATGACGCCAGCTCAAAACCTGATAACCCAAAATGGAGTGTTGTACACGTCGTGTTTCGCAGCAAGTTCAACCGGAAGATTGAGTTGAAGGATCTTCGTGACATGGGCAAACCGGGTCAGCCACTCGAGAACATGCAAATGCTAAAGCAGAGCCGGTTAAGCGTAAGTCGCGTGAGTCCCGCCGAGTTCGAATTTTTGATGGGCGTAGTAGAGGTACGGGGCGGCGAGACACTAGGGTCATGCTAAATGTGAGCGATTCTTACTCTAGTTGGGACGGATAGTGGGACTTTGGACAAGATCAAACGATTTCAAGCGCTAGGCAAATTGCGACACGTGTGTTCTAACACGGTTCGGATGCCCGGATCTAAATCGTCAGAAGCCAGTATCGGTTGCATCCATAACCTCGTTTTCTCGGCTAGCTGGCTACCGTTGGTAGTAGTGGACAAGGATGATTTGAGACGAACAAGTGCTTCTCGCAGAGCCTTAGGATATGAAGGGGTGTTTATATCGACGTTGATCAGTGGTTGTCGGACGTGGCAGAAGCAGGTTGCCGGGTCATTAGGATAGATTTCGGTCATACTATCCAAAACGTGCTGGACGATGCGAGCTTGCGCGGAAACGGTAGTGAAGCTAGCGAAGAGGTCGAAGAATTGTTCCGCTACTGAAGAATTGAAGAAGGGCTGCTTTTTGGCGATGTCGAATATAGCCAAAGGTATTGCACCATCCAAAGCGGGATTGCCTTCCAACTTTTTAGTCGTGTCTTCATCGAATACCTTTTTCCCGGGTGCATTTCCAGGATCCGGAATGATTTCTTGATCGTTTTCATCGGCCTCGTCGTCCTCGCTGTCTTCCCCGGCGAGCTTTATCTCATCGTCGCTTTGTTCGGCCTGTTCTTCAAGTGCTTTCTCGGCGCCACCCTTCTTCCCTTTCCTCGCATCCATCCGCCCCAACCACTCCATTTCGCACCTGGCGTATTCAAGCCATACTGTGGCATCTCTGGTGCAAAACCTGGCGCCACGCATGAAGAAACCCCTCGCAGCCTGCATATCGCCGTTGCTTGCCGATCTCTTACCAGCCATCACCCACAGTTCGGGCTTCGCTGGGTGCATCCTTAGTGCTCTACTCATTACTTTCCGGTACCGCTTAGTGGCTTTCATGTCTCTTGCATAAGCTAGATACGCCTTCCATAGCTCAATGCTCCCTGGGTGCCTATTCACAGCTCGTTCTAATATTCCAAATATTCTTCCTTGTCCAGTGTGTTTCGATGAAGTGCGAATTTGTAGACGGCGACATCGTTTCGCGCGGAGTGTCTCCAACGATTTCTCCCAAGTCGCATAATTCAACCAGTCGGAAGGTTTGTTTCCAGGCGATAGGACAAGATGTTCGAAATCGGTACGTTTCCGCACGAGCGAACGGATTTCGTCCGCAGTGAATATGCCTTTGGCTTCGAATTCGCGTAGTTGAGGAACGGCACGCTCAAGGTAGAACCTGGCTTTCTCGGGGACGCCAGCCATCTTGGAGGCAATGTACTGAATACAGCTCTAGATATTGGTCGAATTGGCGTATATAATAAACTCGCGACATCAAAACGTTGGCATTGGAATTGGAGCGGGCAAGTTTCGTAGCGCATCGTAAAATGTTGGAAAGTTTCGTTGAAGAGACTCAAGGATAAAAAAGATTTAGTGGGACTCTTCAACGATAAGATACTTAGGTACCTGATAGTGTCTAATCCGTATTCTAAGCTTGAGCGGGTCTGTTCTCGGTCCGTTGACATGCAATTAAGCAATACTTACTGCTGATTGGTGGGCTACAACTAGGCAGGTACAGCTTGGACCATCTTGGCTGCGGGGATTCGCTCCACGATGAAGCACGACACGCGATAACAGGGGTAGAAGCTGCCAATCGACCCATGTAAATTTTTTGGGTGATCGCGCCCGCAACCAACCGAGGAGTCCGGATCTCAAGGGAAGGAAGACACCCGACCAGAAATAAGCAACTTTACCTATGTGTAACAATTTTTAGAGCTTCTTTCTTCTTCTTCCACCTTTTACTCTCTCTATCATCTTTCCTCCATGTTCGCTCTGCCACTTATTTTTGGTGTCTTTTCTCTTTGAAGTATTTCAGTAATATCCGTTTGGTCCGCATGTGCTAGTTCTTAACTAGTTTTCCGCTATTTAGGTACGGGAATGCGACCATGTCGAAATACAAGGATAAAGAGAGTGGGACGACGATAGCCTCTCTAAATGCGAAATGGATTTCATGGGCTCATACCACTGTCGCATATAGTCAGTAATCCCCATGGCCTGCTTAGTAGTATAGCGGGCTAGGAGCCTATGAAGTTAGAGGTGACTTACAAGAAGGACCATCTGCTAATAACAATGGCGCTACTATAGCCGCTTTCCTGAGTGCCCTGTCTGTGGGCATCTACCTTCATTACCACAAGATTGTCCAGAACGAATTCTACGGTTATCCTGACGAATGGTTTCCTTCTGTCTCTGCTACTATCGGTGACCGATACCCGGAGCGCTCGTTTTTCCAGCTTTTCATAGCTATAACCTCAGGTCCTAGATTTGCTCTCGTCGCACTATGGTATCTTCTTACAGCGAAGCCTGGAAAGGCTCTCCCCAAATTTGTCGCTGGCGTGGGCCTCTTCAGGACCCTCACATGCGGGGGTTGGACGTTTATCACTTCGACCGACGATCATGACTGGCATGATATCCTTATGATTTCCTACCTCGTGGCCACGATTCCCTGGACGGCTGGCTGTATTGCGTTAAGTTTACCCAACCCGAAAGCAATTAAATATCGAAAATATCTCGCTACTGCGTTTTTCGGCACAATCCCTTTTATGGTATATTTCTTCATTCAACATAAGATTCATCGAATAGCAGGAGGTTAGTATATGCTACCTAACTCGAGATCTTGGAGAAGACGTATCTCACCAATCGCAGCTTACACTACTTATTCCTTCTTCGAATGGTCTCTTATCCTATTTGACGTCGCCTTTGATGCTGTTACTGCGCTCGACTTCGAAAATTTTGAGATTGTGATTAGGGATGTAAAAGGTTTGGGTAAGGGGTACGTACAATATCTCCCCAGATAGATCTGGCGCATCGTATATACTCGCTCGGGCTGGATGAGATTCTTGGATTATTCCTTATTTGAGCTTTGCGCTCTCGAGGTAATCGATAGTGTCGATTGTTGCGGATTGGTGATTTCGCTACCCACCATCTCACGTCGTCGCACCCATTACTGCGACTGGAGTCTTGCGGCCATCTGGATCTCCTATGAGTGAAATATTGCTATCATAAGCTTTTGTGGTATGGGCGGGATCTTTTACGGATGTTGACATCCTAGCAAAAAGACCTCGTTCTATCCTAGAACTCGATAGCTTGCCGAGCCAGTGTAGAAAATCTATCACATGCAGGACACAATAGACTTAGAAGGATTGGTCGCCATCCAGCTGCCCTCTTCATCATATCATAATGCGACTAAATCAAGAATCATAAGCCACACCAGCCCGAGCGATATCTGTTATAAAATATATAACTTACGCTATCGTATCATTATTCTGACTAGCTTTGCAGAACTAATATGTCGTCTAAGTCGACCGCCGTCACCGAGAAGGAAAAACAGAAGATTACAGCCGGTATATTCGACGTCAAGTTTTCCTGGGCCGAAATCTTCGATACGGCTGCTGAGGTCTATCATGGCTTCGTCTTTTGGTCGATGCTTACCAGCTTGGGCGTAGTCATTTGGTATTTTCCGCTTTGGCATATGGGTATTTCGGGCTACGAAGCTTTTGTCATGTCGACGATCTCACCCATGTTTCTTGGCATTAAACCGATCCGCTCATTGGTTATCCACAATCTGCGCGTGTGCCATTTCCTATCGCTTGCTGGGCTTCTTGCCTGGCAGGTCAAAGACCCGGCTTACAGACTTTTTACTGTAGGCTTCGGTGTTGCTATGTCATGCTTGTCATGGGCTGGCACTTTATATTCCGAGTCAATTCATGAAGCCAGGCTCGAGTCGAAAATACTGGCCTGGATCGTTGGTCTGGTAATGTCCTCGACAGCGAAGTTTGCTTGGCAAACTAACAACCCAATATGGCCAATTATGCACGCCGCCAACGGTGGCTATAACGAAATTGGATTAGCGTTGGCAGTTCTGGCAGCTCTGAGGTTTACCCGGAAAGCACCCTTAAATACAGGAGCGGCCGCAGATGAGAACCTGGGTGGCTCATCGTTTTTAGCTGCTCTAGGTATTGGCGGCGTATTCTTTGGTCTGCACTCTCTCCTTTCTGATACGAGTACTATGATTCTATGGGTATGGGAGGGTTACCCAGTACGAGGCCCTCTTGCCGCTCCCCACGGCTGGTTCACAGTGGCGGCGATGACGGCTGGATTATTGACGGGAGTTCGATATCCTAAACTTGTCAGTACTTGGTCGGTCTACGGCGTTGGGTCCGTTGGGGCTGCTATCCTCACTCTCTACCATAACTGGTTTGGCTACCTTGGTGCTCTTACTAGTGCCTTCTATTTAACAGCCATTTCATTTCCCCTTATTACCGTGGCGTCCAAGAAGAGTCCAGCGACAACTTTTGGTCTTGGGTTCTTCATATACAACTTCATGGTACTGTTTCACGTCTGGGTGGTTGCCTACGCTTTCGTTCCTGGCGGGCCTCTTGTTCGTGAGCATACGGATTGGATCATGACGACTATGATGGTACTTATCGGTGCCGGCGTTTTCAACCTGACGTCGGTGAATTCGCGTCGTGGCGAGACCCGTGCGCGACCATCTCGGTCACAACATCGCAAATATCACACTTTGGCGCTAGGCACCATCAACCTCTTCTTCATCGCCGCCGCACTCCGGCGCTTCCCTACAAACGATTATAAACCTTACCACGAAGATTCGAGGGTCATCACAGCTGGTATCTGGACCATTCACTTCTCTCTCGACAATGATATGTGGTCTTCTGAGTACCGGATGCGTGATCTTATTAAAGAGCTTGAAATTGATGTTGTCGGGCTGTTGGAGACAGATTTGCAACGCATCATCATGGGTAACAGGGATACAACCCAATTCCTCGCCGAAGACTTGGGTATGTACGTCGACTACGGCCCCGGACCGAATAAACACACCTGGGGTGCGGCGCTCTTGTCCAAGTTCCCGATCGTGAACTCGACGCATCATCTACTCCCATCGCCAGTGGGCGAACTTGCCCCGGCTATCCACGCGACACTTGACGCTTATGGTGAATTAGTAGATGTCTTTGTTTTCCATTCCGGACAGGAAGAAGACCCCGAAGATCGTCGCCTACAATCCGAATACCTTGCCAAGTTGATGGGCTCTTCATCGAGACCGTCGATACTACTCTCCTACCTAGTCACCAAACCCCTCCAAGGGAACTATAACACTTATGTTTCTGAGATTTCGGGCATGCATGATGTAGACCCGAGAGATTGGGACCGGTGGTGCGAGTACATCTTGTATAAGCGTCTACAGAGGGTGGGCTATGCAAGAGTGTCTCGAAGTACCATCACAGACACCGAATTGCAAGTGGCAAAATTTGTCGTCCCGAAGAGCGGGGAGGAAAAAGCACAGATTGCGGCGATAGAAAGCAACGCAGACCTGAGGAATCGCAAGGTCAACGAGCAGGAAGTCCCAGAGGGTTGGAGATTTCCTGCTCTGTTTAGGGGTAACGGCGTCAGGGGGCATCGATATCACGTTTTCAACGAGCCCTGGTATTATAAGCCATCATAAACGGATGAATGGCGACAAGCAAGGGTCACGAGACAAGGAAACGCGAATACGTGTTTATGTGTAAGGATAAAACGGTGGTGTATCAACAGGAAACGTTAGTCACTGGGGTTTAATTGTTAATTCTTGTACGTCTACATGTAGACTTGGGACGGCTCATCTTAAAGATGAGATTTTAATAAGTTGGTCGAAAGCCACTTCTTCATGATCCGCGGTTACAGTATCTACCTAGTCCGGTTGGAGACTAGGGAAAAGGAATAAAGTTATTTACGTTAGACTAATCCTTAACCTTGGAAGGTTATGTCCATCTGACTTGTAGCTAACCGCCCTGTTTAGATTTAACATCTTTTTAAGCAGTGTTAAAGACATCGTTTTATGGGATATCTGAGATATAGTCAGCTGTGGCTGGCTCCACTAGGGATGATACCTTCTATTTTTGTTGATCATTTCCTTTATGGGCGCTTACCGGCATTACTTGCAGCAGATCGCGGACGATTCCCGCCGTCTCGCCCGGTTCATCATCAAGATTGGAGTTGAAAGATCGACCTTCAATCTTCATGCCCTGCCTGCATGTGCCCCTCAACCCCTGAATACCACAGCTGACCACAGATACTATCGAAGTGATAAATAGTCACGTGTGCCTCAGTTGCGTATGTCGGTAGTCAGAATTGATCCGATTGATGCGTGTTTGAACCCACCTCCTTTGCAACCTATCATATGCATGTCTTGCCTAGATATGTACCCTTAATGTCTGTATGTCAAACCATAATGCGTAATGTTTAAAATTTCCCTTCCGACCTGAAGAAAAGCATTAATGCAAGGGGTCGTGTCACTCCGTATTGATGCTGTCAGACGTCGAATGCTGAGTCCGGCACGTCTCGAGCCGACCCTTTTCTTATTATCCACCCCCTTATCCTGTGGCGTCGTAATCCGAAAACATGACGCCTCCTAACATTAAAAGCCCTGTCAATGGAGGACCGCGCTGGTAGATCCTACCAATCATGTGGCCTTGCAGGAGCAATAAACTCCGACAACCCAAATGCCACCACAAACTTACCTTGAATTCTCTTCGTCAAGGCGGGCAGGGGACAACCCAAGGCGGGTGGCTTTTCCCCCTCGTATCCCCCCGTCCACAGGCTACGGGTTTGCAGTATATATGCTTATATCCTTGGCGAGATAACTCTCAGATGATCCAGATCGTGACAATTCGCGGACCTCTCGAAAGGGGGCGGAAATTAGTGTGTTCGGGCGCTTAAGTGTCGCATCGGATCGAAGGAGGGAAACGACCGAGGCGCTGCCGGGCTTTGGGTCGAGTATAAACGAACTGGGCTGCAGGAAACAAGTTGTCGCGCGTCTAACGGCACTCTCGAGATTGTGGGAAATGCGGACTATATAAGAGAGTTTCTGACTTCTGCGCTTGTGTTTGCGTTCTAAGCAAGGCGCCTCCATTAGTTTCCAGGGCTACGCTCTTTACTTTTCCGCCCTTACCTCTTATCACCTACGCTCGTTTGGTTGTCGAGTTATTGATGTTGGAACTTACACACTCTCGTTTCAAAAACACGCAGACATGTTGGCACCTCGGTGGACGATATTCTGCTTTTCGCTCTTTTCCGCAGCTTTCGGGGTGCAAATTCGGAGAGATGCGAGTCCTACCACTCAGTTGAACATGACGGCGGCGGCCGTGGATGCCATGATGATGTTGTATGATGAGACGACCGGTCTTTGGGACCCTAATAGTACGTTATCGTCTTGGTGGCAGAGCGGCGTGGCGCTTTGGGCCCTCTCGGAGTATATGATCAAATCGGGGTCGCGCGAGTATCTCGACCAGGCGGAGAATACGGTCCTGATCCAGAAGGCGCCGCTCTCCTGGTGGCCGGAAGGAGGCGGCGACTTCCGCGCCGACAGCACCGACGACACCGGCTGGTGGGCTCTCGCGATGCTCAGCATGTACGAGCTCACGGGCAACGAAATGTATCTCGATATCGCCAAGGAGGATGAAGCGTACATGTGGAGCTACTGGAACACGACGACGTGCAACGGCGGCCTGATCTGGAACATCCCGACGCTGAGCTACCACAACGCGATCAGCAACGAGCTCTTCCTCGAGCTGACGGCCAAGCTGCACAACCTGATCCCCAACGACACGGAGTACCTGAACCATGCGATGAAGGAGTGGGAGTGGTTCGCGGCGAGCGGCATGGTGAACCCGGAGGGCCTCGTCAACGACGGGCTCACGGAGGACACGGCGTGCATCAACAACGGCGCGACGACGTGGACGTACAACCAGGGCGTGGTGCTCGGCGGGCTCGTCGAGCTCTACAAGGCGACGGGCGAGACGTCGTACCTCGTCTCGGCGCGCTCGATCGCCGACGCGGCGACGAATAGCACGTTGCTGATACAGGACGGCGTCGTGACGGAGCCGTGTTCCAGTGAGACGGACTGCGAGCCTAACGGTACTAATTTCAAGGGCATCTTTATCCGCGAGCTCGCGAAGCTGAATGCTGTGCTTGATGACCACCCCTATGCGGATTTGATCGCGCAGAACGCGGAGGTGGCGTATAATAACGCAAGGAACGCGTCTGATTTCTATGGGTTCCTGTGGATGGGGCCGTTTGATACTGTGACGATCGGGACGCAGGAGGCCGCTGTGCAGTTGCTGACTGCGGCTTATTTGGGATGATAGGTGGTGTTTGGATATTTTACCTGCTTGGGTAGATGCCTACCTAGGTACCTAAGGATTAGAAGGGTTAGGTGAGAGGAGAGTTCAAATTTGGCATGAGACATGTTGTTTAAAGAGCATACGACTGCATGGAGTACGTTGGATGTCGTTATACCCATATTCGCTTTGTGTATCATATATAGGTACCTAGGGTTTGGGTTGTAGGGAGCTGGTGAATACAACCCCTTTAAGTTCAAATGGTGATGTCTAGAAGATACCGTAGCTGTTGATTCTGTGGACTTTCACCTTCTATATCATGAAAATTATGAGATGTGTCACCGTGTACCACATATGTTCTATTACCCATCATTCCCTCTCGCCTTAGCCCTTTCTAACATTTCAATGATTCTAGAGTTCTGATGAGATCGAGCGATATCGAGGACTGTCTTGCCGGAGTTATTCTTCACGGTTATATTAGCACCATGTTTTAGTAGAGACTCGACGAGCTCTTCGTGACCCCATCCGGTATTGCGGATCATAATCTTTGTTTCTAATCCTCACTGCTTCGAGTAGAGTAGTTGCCTCACTAGAGAAAGGGCTGGCTAATTCCGGGCCGGATATGCTAGGGTTGACTTGATATTCTTGTAATGATTCAGGCATTGGAGGCTCTGGTATTAATTGGTCGAAATATCTGTTCAATGCAAACCCGACATCTGTCAGAAGCCTCCTCCGCGAGAGCTGATAGTCAGAGGTCTCCCCAGGGTTAGCTAGTAGCCCAGAAGGATCGGAATTTAGCCTATACGAGGCTACCCTGTTGGCAGTTGGCCCTTGGCTATAGATCAAAGAAGATGCGTGTATGTATACCGCATCTCCTGGAAGGGATTAATCAGAGCCCTTCGCGCAATAACGTTACTCTTTCCTAGCCTTTTGGTTCCGCCTCGTGACAAGAAATTCAAGGTCACAACACAGTAAAAACTCCAACTTAAGAATTACTTTCGATATAGTGTGGGATAGTCTCCCATTCATGCAGAAGACTTATTCAGAAGTGTAGGCACGTATATAAGTATTAATAACACTTTGCATCCCTTGATCCCCTGAACGTTCGCTTGTAATCCGAGCTGAGTTGTCGTATTGGCGAATCTAACTGTCGTGAAGCAATAGAAAGAACTGATGCATATGAAGTTTCGTTTTCTGAGCGTGCCAATTATATCGGAATTCATATCAGCCCATAGCCTCAAAGCCCACAATGCGTCATTGGGCGTGGTAGCATTTCAGCTGGATTAAAGGGGTCCTTAGCGATCGACTGGAACATAAGCCCATAGATCATCACCGAAATATTCGAGCTTGCATTCCACTTTTTCATCCTCCACGTCAGGAGATTTCGTATTCGACTTCTCTTGGTCTTGTAGAAGCCGTTCCCTTTCTTCCTGTCTCTGTTGCAATTCTTCCCCATCAAGGCAGGTACCCGCCGCCGCCGCTAGGATGGAGATGAAAACGAACACTCCGAGGGCAATACTGGCCATTATGGTGGTTAATAGAATTAGTTGAAAGATAAGAAGGGCCGTTGGGTCTAGTGTATAGTGATGGTTCGCAATCGGGACTGGATGACTTTGAAGATTGTGTTCGTAGGAAGCAGATGCGGTCTACTAAATACTGATGTATGTACGCGTTCTTAGCGCACCAGTGACCCCTTTTATAGACAATACAGCTGGGTAGTTAAGTTCGTGGCTTGATAAGCCTTAGATGTAGTCTTTAAATTACGAAGTTAGTATGTTCTTAAGGTTTGTTTTCTTATATTACGTTGGCAGGGCTTGAAAATTGTGTGAAGTTTAAAGCTTCCTTAATGTTAAGTATGAATGTTAATGCCTATTTTAAATATATAAGATTATAAAGAAGCTACATTCAAAAATTCGATTGGGTACGGTGCGGTGACATTGTAGATAATGTAGTGACTGCTAGTATTAGCCTTCGAGTACCTGCCTACATAGACATGAGTTCTAAGACGGAGTTGTACATCGTTCCCGTACGAAGCCGACATCTCCCTTACATTGAAAGACTACCAACCAAGTGTTTCCGGGAGTATATATTAAATAGGTACTGATAAGCCTTAATGTACTTCATTGAAGCTTAGTCTTTCCTCGTCACTCCTTGGCGGATGATCTTGTTAAGGAGCTTGTCATCGGCACTGTATTTGCAATGCGGTACAAATAGCGGTAGGTCTTACTTCATGACGAGGAGTCTAATGCCAGACTGTGTAGATGATCGAATGCTTTAGGGCTGACAGAGTCGATGCTAGAGTCAGCGGGAAACATCGCACATTCCAATAAAGAGACCGACCGTGAAAGATGTGCAAGGCTAATTATTGGAGGAAGAGTTGAATAGTGGAACTCTGTTATCGAAAGACTTGAAGTTGCCTTTGAAATTCCTACAGTAACCTAAATTATAATATGGAGGTGGATTTCACTAATTGCTGTGCGATCTTCGCTCCGCTTAGCGCTTCTAGTAACATCCAATCGGCTTTAATTTTCGGGCTAGTATGTGCATGTTGGATATAGTATAGAGTTTTCCCAAAATTTTCCATGATAGAATCGCTCATAAGTTGGCAATCCGAATTGGTGTAGTGGCTAACATTTGACGCTCTCATGGCATACTGTCCTAAGGTCCGTCAAGCCCGGGGTTCGATTCCCCGATTCGGAGTTTACTTTTTTTCCTTTCATTTCATAAACATTCAACCTATGTCCTTTAAATAATTAGATTTTATTGTGTCCATTGAATGGCTGCCATGTTGGGATTATTTAAGCATTCCAGAACGTAGTATGTGAATGCATGATTCCTTTCCCCCTTTCCCTTTCATTAATATTTTGACATCCTCAACACTAGAGAAAAAAGTGCAGTTGACATAACCCGTTGGCAGATAATGCCACGCAATGATATGAATTAATCCAGATGAATTATCTCGACACCATCAACTGATATGTAGTCTAATAGAACCTTGACGCCTACGCTATGCGATACCGACAGATTTGCATTTTTATTTGCACGGTCTGAGTTGGTCAAGCTTGCGCGCGACCTCCACTCCCTGTCTTGACACCTTCTAGCACAACCGCCCACGTACCAGCCTCGCCTGCGTATCCGGTCTGCCCCGTAGCAATTCTACGCATAAGAAGAGTGTCCTTGGCCACTGCTAGTCTCTTCCCTTCGCTGCCATCTAAGCATTCCTTAAACCATTGCTCTTCCTGAGCATCGAATGGCAGACTAGTCAAGTCAAGCGCTTTCTCCGCTGCCCCATCGTTGCGTGCAGACTCTAGTACGGATATGACGAGACGTTGGAATAGCTGGCGACGCATGAATTCGGCATGCGATCGTGAAAACTGAAAGGCGTCGACAACGCTAGATCGTGCGAGGGAGTCGAAGAGCAGCTCTAATGCAGCGGAAGACTGAATGATAGGTTGGACAGTATGGTAGTAGGCAAGTGGTAAGCTGTAGTCACCGTTCTTGGCGTGGCGGACTAGAACGGTGATGATGTCGTCTACGAAGTCGGGCTGTAGCGAGGGATGGGTGAGGTACTGCAATGCGAGATCGAATTGCAGTGCGTCCATATGCCACAAGCCCTTCATGAAGATCTTGTATTTTTTGGGTATACTGGCACGTTGCGAATAGGCTTCGGCTTGGTTGGATCCGTTTTGCTCGTCGATATCGAGGAGGATGTAATAGACTACTGAGAGCTTGTGGTGAACGGTGGCATTCTTGCTTTCGCAGATGTGCTCGTAAAGCTGCCGAAGAGCATCCTTGTTCTTAGGAGGATAGTGGCTGGTAGCTATTTGAGGGTGTACAGTTAGCATCTAGGTAGAATTTGAGAGCTCAGAAATAGTTTATTGGCAGCCTATACCTTTGGAGAGGTTCAGAGCTTTTAATACTCGGTCGATAAACAAGAAACCCTCAAGACTTCGGCGGGAGGCTTCGAGGTGTTGTACGAAGGCGCGATTGTAGGGAAACGGCTCCAGAGAGCCGAAGATGCGGTCAAATTGTGAGGGCTCAAGCATTTTGGCCATGGTTAAGTTTCAATTATAATCGTGTATTTCAAGATACCTAGATTATACGACTTGGGTTTGACCGTCATGAATGTGAAAGAAGTTAAGATGCAACCAGATACCTTGGTACATCGAAATGTCTTGAGATGCGCCGGTAATTCGTCGGAATAATTTCAAGGTCGGAAACCGCGTCTTTGCTGTACGACGCGGTGGATGATGTGCTGGCTTAGTAATAACTTTAATTTTGGCGGGGGTTGTGGGGTGAGGGTTGTTTATGTTTACTTCTACCCTGTACCTATTTGGTACCTGAATTTCCATATTTCATCATGATCAATTTATGCATCGGTGATAATTAACTTACGACGACAACATTTGCAACAACGACGACGACCTGCGACGAGAACGGGTGTGATGCCCGTGATATCCGTGCGATACCGTTTTAAGTCCTAGAAAACCAAACGTCACTTCAACAACTACGATAAAAATGTCCGCACGGCCAACTCGTCGCGCCGCCGCAGCGCGGCGTACCGCCATTATTGAATCGGAAGATGAAGAAGATGTCGGAAACACCACAAAAAGGATAAAGGAGGAAGAAAGTGAAGAAGAATTTGCCCCTGAGACTTCAACTGCCAAGGCTTCGCGCCGCCAAACGCAGAGTAGGAGGAAGTCTACAGCGCCGGCAACACCGCGCGCAAATCGCTCAAGGAAGAGCGTCGCTCCGCAAACACCCCTAGAATCCAGCGAGGTCACGGACCCGGATCAATCCGCTGCTACGGTCCTCAGCCCGGATTCAACGGTTAAGAAACCCGCCCCTAGGAAGCGAAAGAGTGTTGCGCCGCGCCAAGCTAGCAAAGAGGCTACTCCTGAAAGTCAGCCCGATAGCCAACCTCACATGCCGACACCTGCTCAATCTGAGGAACCGTCCGAGCTCCACGGTACACCCTTAGCTGATATCACCAGCCAGAGCGTCAACGAGCAACAGCAGTCCCCAGACGAGACCATTACTCAAGTCAAACCTATCCGGCCAATGGATACCATCCTAGAGAGGCCAATGGATATTGTCCTGAAGTCGCGTAAGATGGCAATGCCGACAGTTGAGGAGACGGGGCCGAAGGCTCGTATCGTCATTACATACCTGATTTTAACCAACTTCAAGAGTTACGCTGGTCGACAAGAAGTTGGGCCATTCCACTCCTCCTTCTCCTCGGTAGTAGGACCCAACGGTTCTGGAAAATCAAACGTTATCGACTCACTTCTTTTCGTCTTTGGATTCAGGGCTAGTAAGATGCGACAGGGCAAGATCTCGGCCTTGATCCATAATTCCGCGGCTTATCCAAACCTAGATCACTGTGAAGTGGCAGTCCATTTCCAGGAGGTTATGGACCTGGTTAGTCTTACGCAACACATCTCTCTGTAAAACTTCTATGCTAACTGTTTCTATAGCCTGGTGGCGGGACGGAAGTAATTCCTAACTCTCAGATCATCATATCGAGAAAAGCTTTCAAAAACAACTCGAGCAAATATTATATCAACGGTAGCGAGTCTAATTTCACCACAGTGACTGCTCTCCTCCGAGACCGGGGTATCGATCTTGACCACAAGCGTTTCCTCATTCTGCAGGGTGAAGTTGAGTCGATTGCTCAGATGAAACCCAAAGCTGCCAACGAGCATGAGGATGGTCTACTGGAGTATCTCGAAGACATCATTGGCACATCTAAGTACAAGACCCCTATCGAAGAGGCGGCAACGGAAGTCGAAACCCTCAATGAAATTTGCATGGAGAAGAGCGGACGTGTCCAGCACGTAGAGAAAGAGAAGAACAGCCTCGAAGATAAAAAGAACAAAGCTTTGGCCTACATTCGAGATGAAAATGATCTAACCCTCAAGCAGTCGGCCCTCTACCAATTGTACATCAGCGAATGCAACAACAACGTGAGCGTTACTGAAGAAGCCATCAGCCAGATGCAAGCACAGCTTGATGACGAGCTTGAGAAGCATCAGGGCAGTGAACAGGTTATCAAGCAGCTGCAAAAGGCGTACGCCAAGGGATCTAAAGATTTTGAGTCTCAGGAGAAGCATGTCCAAACCCTCGTTAAGGAATCCGCTAAATTCGAGCAAGAGAGGGTGAAGTTTGACGAAAAACGGAAATTCTTGACCGACAAGCAGAAGAAGCTTGAAAAGACGATTACCAATGCCGAAAACTCTACAGCAGAAGCCGAGGAAACCATTGAACAGTGCACCGAGGAGATTGCTTCGCGCGCGGAGGAGATCGCAGCCCTCGAACAGCGTGTGCAAAAAGAAGAAGTGGAACTTGCGAAGATACGAGATAGCCTCAAAGGTAAAACACAAGTGTTCTCGGATCAAATCGCTGCCAAGCAAAAATCTCTCGAACCTTGGAAGGAGAAAATCAACCAAAAACAATCAGCCATTGCTGTCGCCGAATCCGAGATGGCCATCCTCGAGGAGAAAGCTAACGCTGGCGCCGTTGCCCTCGAGGAGATGCAAACCAAGATTGCCCATATTGAAGAAGGTCGCACGGCCAAACTTGCGGAACTGAAAGAGTGCCAAGCTGAGAAGTCGAAATTGGAAAAGGAGGCCAAGAAGATTGAGGCCGATCTCGAGAGCTTGGCTCAGATGGAGCCAAAAGTTCGCTCTAAAGTGTCAAATGCTAGACAAAAGGCAGAAGAAGCGAGGTCCAGCCTCTCCCAGAACCAGAACCGAGGCAACGTGCTTACGGCATTGATGCGGATGAAGGAGTCCGGACGAATCGACAATTTTCACGGCCGCCTTGGAAATCTTGGTACTATCGATGAGAAGTACGACGTTGCTATTTCCACAGCATGTCCTTCTCTTAACAACTTCGTTACCGATACTTTAGAGGCCGGTCAACAATGCGTAGAATACCTCCGGAAGACTAACCTCGGGAGAGGCAACTTCATATGTCTGGACAAGCTTCGTGTACGCGATTTACAGCCTATACAGACTCCCGAAAACGCGCCACGACTATTTGATCTGATTAAGGCCAAAGAAGACAAGTTCCGGCCTGCATTCTATCACGCGCTAGAAGACACCCTTGTCGCCAAAGACTTAACTCAAGCGAGTCGGATTGCTTACGGCGCCAAGAGATGGCGGGTGGTCACACTTGATGGAGAGCTCATCGACACGAGTGGTACTATGTCCGGTGGTGGGAGCACCCTTAAAAGAGGCCTGATGTCGAGCAAGCTTGTGGCAGACACGACTAAGGAGCAAGTCGCCAAGCTTGAAAGCGATCGCGACTCTATCGAGGCAAATTTCCAGGAGTTCCAGGACCACCAACGAGAACTTGAGTCTCGTCTGAGATACCTGAAGGACCAGATCCCTCAACTTGACACGAAGATGCAGAAGATCGGCCTTGAGGTGCAAAGTGCCGAGAAGAATCTTGCGGATGCCCAGCGACGCGTTCAGGAGCTAAGCAAGGAACACCAACCGTCACAGTCTGACGACAACAGAGTGGCTGCGCTACAGAAGGAAATTGCCAAGCTGAACAAGGAAGTGACGAAACTCCATGCCGAAACAGAAGGTGTAGAAGCAGAGATCAAGGAATTGCAAGATAAGATCATGGAGATTGGTGGTGAGAAACTTCGTGCGCAGCGTGCAAAGGTCGATGCCATCAAGGAGGAAATTTCATCTAACAACGAGGAGACTTCTAACGCCGAAGTAAAGAGGGCAAAGGCAGAGAAGTCAAAGACGAAGCTCGAAAAAGACCACGCCAAGGCTACTAGGGAGTTAGAGGCTGCTGTCCGTGACCTCGAAAAGCTCGAGGAAGAGGTCGAGAATCAGGGTAGCAAATCCGAATCCTTGAACGCTCGTGTCGAGGAGGCAGAGGCGGAACTCGCAGACAAGAAAAAGGAATTGTCTACGCTGAAAGCCGAACTAGATGAGAAGACATCCGAACTTAACGAAACTCGAGCGGTCGAGATCGAGATGCGTAATAAGCTCGAGGAGAATCAAAGAGTTCTCGTCGAAAATCAGAAACGCCTGCGCTACTGGGATGAGAAACTCAACAAGCTCGTGCTCCAAAATGTCAGCGATATTAGCGGCCCGCCACCAGCCAAGAAATCGACCCAGCAAGAAGGCCAAGAAGACTCCACAGAGGACCAAGAGGAAGAACAGCAGGAGCAGGAGCAGGAACAAGAACAGGAACGGGGGCAGGAGCAGCAGCCTGAAGAACTTCCAAGGTTTACGGAGGACGAGTTAAAGGATATGGACAAGGATACTCTGAAGGCCGAGATCGCTGCGCTCGAAGAAAAGACGCAGAACGTCAACGTCGATGTCAGCGTCTTATCTGAATACCGCCGCAGAGTCGAAGAACACGCAGCTCGGTCATCTGACCTGGCGAGCGCTGTGCAGCAGCGCGATGCTGCGAAGAAGCGGTGCGATGATCTACGGCGCCTCAGATTAGAGGGCTTCATGGAAGGCTTCAGTACTATCTCTCTCCGGCTCAAGGAGATGTACCAGATGATCACGATGGGTGGTAACGCGGAGTTGGAACTTGTCGACAGTCTGGATCCCTTCAGCGAGGGTATTTTATTCTCCGTCATGCCGCCCAAGAAGAGCTGGAAGAATATCAGCAATCTCAGTGGTGGCGAGAAGACGTTGTCCAGTCTTGCGCTGGTGTTTGCTCTGCACCATTATAAGCCGACACCATTATACGTCATGGACGAGATCGACGCTGCCCTGGATTTCAGGAATGTGAGTATTTAGGTCTTTCTTTCCCCTCTATGTAAGATTCCTCTCGTGTCACAGATTGCTAACGGGAATATAATTAGGTGTCTATCGTGGCCAACTACATCAAGGAGCGTACCAAGAATGCTCAGTTCGTCGTCATCTCTTTACGAAACAATATGTTCGAGCTCGCCGCTCGGCTGGTTGGTGTCTACAAAGTCAATCATATGACCAAGAGTGTAACGATCGAGAACCGCGACTTTATTACCCGCGGAGTGCCAAGGCAGCAGCATAGTGGCGGTCAAACGGTGGGCTCGTGATGACGAACAAGGATGAGGGATTTGTTATTCTGAGCGGGCACTTGGCATTTGTATAATGAATGAAACGAACAGGCTATGATGCTTAGGATGCGGGATGAAATTACGTCTGGCCAGTCGCGTGCTTGATACAGGAGGCGTGTAACGAAGAACGAACGGATATCCAAAGACGGTCCTGGACGAGATCCATTTGAAATGAATATACCTATGTTTTGGTTACCTTTATTCCAATAAGGCTTTTGGTATTGAATATGCTTTCAAGATCGACGTATGGTTCTATTTGTAAGCGGTTAAACCAAGACAGGCTTCTACGATCCGGCTTCTGCCAAACCCATTCAGGGGCCGACGACACACTATAGCATCAAGTTACCTACCTAGTATCTGATATATCGCTCTTTTTTTTTAATGCACTCCCTGGCATTAGATAATGGGATATTCTCATTGGAACGATATTTCAGGGCGGATCATTGCTGACGTTATATATGATGACCTCTCTGTCAATACAGTAGAAAAGAATTAAGGAGGATAGAATGTTGTATTGTTGTTTGTTTTCTAAGCTCTAAAATCTCCTGCGGAGATTTTAAATACCTCCCACAGTGCAGGTAGCACTTTCCCAGCTTGTACACTCCATCTAGTACGGACACACAAGAGCCCGCCCCCGGGCGACTCTTTCCTTCAATATAAATCCCATTTTAACGGCAACAACAACGCAGGCCGAAACAGACTAGTCCTCGCACAACCCTAACAACCCACGAACACAGCTCCCACACGCCGGACAGGCTAAACACCCGCGGGCCACCGAAATAGGTCGGGTCCCTCCACTGCTCACCCAATCCCCGGGACAAAACCACAGCCGGAAGGGGAACAAACGCAAGGCTATACTGATGGGAAATCAGATATTGACGGGCCGAAACGGACGACGAAAACAGACGGCAACGGCAGCACGGCAGGCCGAACGGACGAGATATATTGATGATTTTTGATGGTGGGGAGAACGGTGCTCCCAGACAGACGACAGCGGGCGAGACAGGGCCCCTTTTGACGTTATTTTTTTGATAATAAATGGTTCAACAAACGAGTGACTGAACGAGTGACTGTATTGATAGAATGCTGTAACGATATTCCCATGCGTAGATTCCGGTGTGGGAGGCACCAGAAAAGAATTAAGGAGGATAGAATGTTGTATTGTTGTTTGTTTTCTAAGCTCTAAAATCTCCTGCGGAGATTTTAAATACCTCCCACAGTGCAGGTAGCACTTTCCCAGCTTGTACACTCCATCTACAGTATGGCTTAGTTATATCCATCTAGGATAACCATCAAAATATTGAGATGACTGTTAGTCTGATAGTAATAGGGAGGCCAAAGAATCGATCAACACTCTGCTGGGTTACTGTTCGTCGAATTATTAGACCCAGCATCAGACGGGGCCCCCTATTCATAGGTATTCTCGTGTGACACAGTACTCGTATATGTTTCGCACTGCCTCGCCCTCTCCGTCTATTGGCATTCCCCGCAACCGGACGCAAGAAAACAGCTTAGCTTATAAGCCTACAATAGCAACCCTTTACCATCCTCCAGGGCACGTGGTCTAGGGGTATGACGTCTGCTTCGCACTGATCCAAGTATAGAAATGACCTATAATCATAGCAATCATCCTATATGTATTGATCCACAGTGGTATGCTGAAGGTCCGGGGTTCAATTCCCCGCGTGTCCAATATTTTTGCTTTTTGGGCTTCTAACAAGCCATATAAATACCGTTGTATGTATGTAGTTAATATTTTTTGGTTGATATTTTATTTTCTTTCCATTTTGCTTGGTTTGCTAACGGTAAATAAAACATGCGCGAAATTGTGGGCGTCAGGGAGGTATTTAGGTCTCTGGCTCTTGCTTATTGATTAATCCTCAACAGAGCTGTCAAGCCATCATGCCCTTTAGATACACTTTGGTGCAATGGTTTGATGAAACCTCATGTGGGTAGAGGTGAAACCCATTGGTAAGTAGTCATTTTCTGGTAAATGAAGTCAGAGTATACCCATATGGATAGTGGAAGACGTAGTTGAGGCTAGAGCGCAGATCTATAACTTTGGGCCACTAGCGAGATAACGATCGTTCCGGCGTGTGTCAAGAGTGGCAAGTTAGAAGTCGCAACATGTCTTCTAGAATATTTTGAAAGCGTTATAACTTGGATTATCCCGACTTAGATGGACGAAATTGAGATTGTAGCCAACAGAGAGGGAAGCCTACCTTTAATACTACGGTTGAATGGTATACTCAAGTCTGAAGATCAAACCAGAGAATATGCTCATCCGAATTTCAGCTTACGAACTTTGAAGATAGGTGGTCACTCTAGTAGAATCATATGATACGCAGGACCAAAGACGAGATACGTTCGTTCATCATGGCAATATGACTTTTCATTCATAGAAGTCATTATCTGGAAAATCATGCCGAAAACCGTTTTTCATGCAAAGCGAAACCATTTCCGATGACCTGATTCATCCCAGACCCTGTTCATTCCCCGAGACACCGTAACGAAACCATTTAGGCAACCTTGGCAGTCTGCGTGGGAGTCACCTTCTTGCCATCCTTGTTGTACCGCACACGAGGGGGAGGTGCCCTGTTACGGCGACCTACACGCGATCGGACACTAGAGAATATAATTGTTAGCGGGTATTATTCGTCTGGGCGGGGCGGTGGGGATAGGGAGGAGCGAGATATGTCGCTTCGAGGTTCGACCAAGGCTCTTCTCAGGCGCATACGCAGCCCTAAAGAGCGCGTAGTCAAACTCCCGATGGGAGGACGTACCGGACGATCTTGCCGTGGATAGCGCAAGAGACACAGTACTGCAGCTTGAGGTACATCTTGGGAACCGTGTACTCGGCGAAGACGGAGGCATCCGAGATATCACCTGTGGTTTGGAAATGTTAGCCTAGGTAATTTGCATATGATGTCGCATGTTCGCGTATTTGATGTAGAATTGGAGGATACGGCGGGGAGAGGAAGAAATAGACGTACGGATGGCGGCAGACTCGACCATGTTGCGGATGGTGAAGCGCTTGATTGCCTTGTCCTTGGGAGTGCATCGCGAACAGTTGCTGCAGCGGATGGGCTTGGTGTGGCCGCGGCCCTTCTTGTTGCGGCCGTTGTTCTTTCTCTTCTTGACCATGGTGACGGTGTTCTGTTTGATTAAATGTTAGATCTCAAATTTCCGAATAATTGAGGGTCTCGTTTAAGAAGGGAGGAGAGTGTTGCACATACGAGTTGTGGTTGTTTGAAGTTGTCGAAGAGGAAGAAAGTGGTTCGTGGGTTGGAATTGAATGTAGAATTCTGGTGGGCAAAGTTTTGGATAACCAGGAATGTCTAGGAGTGCCCCACTGCACAGGAAAATGAACGGGCCAATAAGAAAAGAATTTGTATTTAACGGGTGCAAGTCGTACCTATGTACATGTACGATTGTAAGCAAGTGCCACAAGGGTTAGCGTATGAGAAAACCCTAGCACGTGATAAACTTTAACAATTCTACAGCCAAGTGGCACTGATTTGCCTGAGTTTTGCCAGGACCCACCACACTGCAGCGTAGCTTATTGAACTTCTTGCGGCTCCTCCTCCCACCTCGAACTTTTTCTTTCTCTTCACAAACCAACTCCATCTTCGTGGTGCTTAGGACGGCAATAGTAATATTGTCTAGGTATGTCTGATACTCATACAAATACCCCCACATTCACATACATCGTATTCCGATTGTCGATTTATCATGCCATCTTGGATTCTGCATGCGATCGCAAAATTAATCGCATCGCGGTGCTAAGGCGCATCTTGCACTCATCGCGAATATTCCCCAGATCGTCTTTCACACCACACAACAACACAGCCCAACAGCTTCCACTTGACCGTTCCCATTCAATCTCACTTTAATACACGGCTCTCTAATACAATTTCAACAATAGGCAACATGCAGATCTTCGTCAAGACCCTTACGGGCAAGACTATCACCCTCGAGGTGGAGTCTTCCGACACTATCGACAATGTCAAGTCTAAGATTCAGGACAAGGAGGGAATTCCCCCTGACCAGCAGCGGTTGATCTTCGCCGGCAAGCAACTCGAGGACGGCCGAACTCTTTCCGACTACAATATCCAGAAGGAGAGCACCCTTCACCTTGTCCTCCGCCTTCGTGGAGGTGCCAAGAAGCGCAAGAAGAAGGTGTACACTACCCCCAAGAAGATCAAGCACAAGCGCAAGAAGACCAAGTTAGCTGTTCTCAAGTACTACAAGGTCGATGGCGACGGCAAGATCGAGCGTCTTCGCCGCGAGTGCCCTGCCGACACCGTAAGTTCCATCATACATGTCTTCTTCCTTAACAGTCATCATTTATGCTAATGCAACTTGAATAGTGCGGTGCCGGTGTCTTCATGGCTGCCATGCAGGACCGACAGTACTGTGGCCGATGCCACCTCACCTATGTCTTCGACAAGCAGTAAACGCGTTCTGATACGGTTATACGAGTACATGGGTTTAGGATTCGGAGCATGGGAACGGGGCTTACGGTGTTATCATGATAGGACATAGATGACATGGCTCGGTTCAGATGAATAAACATCAAACAAATTCACACATACATTGATCCTATGTGACATGGTCCTGCATTGTCTGAATTCTCTCAAGAGATCTCTACATTGTCGTGCTGGTGTGTAACTTTAACGGCATTCAGACATGGTAAATCGGTTAGGAATCACCTACAGCTCCCGATTCTGCAATTCCTTGTCCAGTCTATTTGCCGGCATTGCTTCAAGCAACCAGAAGGACATCTTCCAACTACAATGAACGATCTAAGTTGATGGTGCTGATTTTTGCTTTTCATTCATGTTTAAGCACTACTAGCATCCTAAGAGCTACCTAGGGACGCATTCGCCGAACTTATTTACCATTTCTCGGGGATTACTTGACCTATCCCATACATCATAAGCCGTTAACCATTCTATTCTCGCATCCTCCCAGTTCCATTTCCGTTCCCATCCTTATTCCCGTTCCCGTCCCCATCCCCAACCCCGTATTTAGTTATTAGGAAACCCAGCCCTCAAGTTCTCATACTTGCTATGCGGATACGCGATGCAATTCGGCGTGCGGTCCAAGGCGCGCGGCCCACCGAACGCATCGACGACGTTCGCGATCAGGCTCTGGGGCCCGTCCTTGTCGGCGCTGCTCTCCCACCACATGGCGCCGCCCAGCCGCCGCTCCTGGCGCACGTAGTACGCCTTGCGCCGCGCCATGTCCACCGTGTCGTAGCTGACCAGCGTCCGCGTCGCCGGCGCGTAGCAGTAGCTCGCCCCGGCCTCGCGGTCGATGTGCTCCGTTGCCCCCGGAAGGGGGAGCTTCTTGTAGTCGTGCACCCCGTTCTCCCACGTGCCCTCGCCGACGCCCGAGTACGGGGCCCCCGGCCCGGAGGTCCCTTGGAACGCGCGCCCGTATAATGGCATGCCGAGTACGATCTTGGAGGGCGCGACGCCGCGCGAGATGTAGAAGTCCACTGCGGCGACGGTGCTGAAGGGCGTCGAGCGCGGGTTCGAGGTGCTTGGGAAGAGGTTCGCTTGGTGCCCTGACGTGGAGTCCCATGACCCGGCGAAGTCGTACGCCATCAGGTTCCAGAAGTCGAGGAGCCGGTCCATGCCGCCGATGTCGAGCTTGTTGTAGTTCTGCGCGCCGGCCGGGCATGCGACGGTTAGCTCGAAGTGGTACGGCGCCGGCAGGCTGCGGCTGTAATTATCCATGGCCTCGCGCACGGCGCGCAGAAGGGCGACGAAGTCCGAGGCTTCGGACGGGGATTGCGGGTACTCCCAGTCGACGTCGATGCCGTCGAAGCCGAGGTTCTTGATCAGCTCGACGCAGGAGTTCGCGAAGGCGGCGCGCCCCTGCGGCGTCGAGGCCGGCTGCTTGAAGTTACTGCTGTAGGTCCAGCCGCCGACGGACAAAAGCACCTTGAGGTTGCGGTTGCGCCGCTTGAGCAGGTTCAGCTGCTTCAGGCAGCCGTACAGGTTCGTGCCGACGTCGTTCCAGCTGTCCCCCTCCCAGTGGATGTCGGTGTCGGCCCAGGTGTCGGTCAGGTAGACCTCGCCCGAGTCCGGGCGCACGTTGGCGAAGGCGTATAAGATGTGGGTCAGCTTGTCGGCGGGCAGGTCCTGCGGCCGGTGCTTGCGCCCGTAGATGGCCCAGTTGACGAAGTAGGCTACGGTGCGGAATTGGTCTGGTCCGCCTCCCATTTTGGCTTCTGTTTCTGTTTTTGACTCTGTGCTTGGAGGGGGGGTCAAGTAGTCTGAAATAAGACGGCGGGGAGCTGTCAGGAGACTGGATGAGATGTGGCTCGAAAGTAGGGAGGGGTATAGATGTGTAAGTAGGAAGGCTACTACCAATACCGTCACGGGTAGGATGTAATGGAAAAGAGATCTGAGTGTGGGCATATACTAGGTTCTTATAAGTTTCTATCTGGAAAAAGTGATATGTAGCTTTCTTTTATCTCGAGATGAGCAGGTTCAGGTTCAGGTTGCCTTCAGGTCTCGCTGTGTGGCTTGGAGCTTGTGCGTACACCTGCGCAGAGTGGCGATGCACAACAGGTACTTCATACCTACGGAGCTTCGCTGTATCCCAATCAAGTTTGGCATTTATGCAAACAAGTAGGTCATTGCCAGATTCATTGGTCAAGTCAAGCTTGTCAGATCTCCCTCTGGATAGCACGGCAGCCAAGCAACTACTATGCAGTACACGAAAGGGACAGAGATACCTACCTAACTTGTAGCGTATGTGGGGTTTCCTTGGAGACCTCTGACGATTGAAAGAAATAGCCGAGACGCATGTAGATCTTGCGTAGTAGTGTGGCTCAAGCTGGGAATTGATCCAGTGTATGTGGCTGTGCAGGTGGCTTACCGTCATTAGGGTAATCTGGATTAGGTACGTACCTATTCCTCTCTGGCTGCTTCATCTTCGTGGTCGGATGTCCATCGCATTGCTAGAAAAGCTCCCGAATCTCCTTTATGAGACAGACCATTCAAAAGTTGGTCCTCCTTAGTAGTGGTATGGTGTGATTTCCGGAGCTTGTCATGCTCTTCGATTTGTTTCTTGAAGGGCTCGTCGCGACGGGGCTTAGGGCTAAGGCAAAGCGACAATAGCTTTCCGGATAGAGTCGATTGATTACCTCCACGTCTCTTCGTCTTTAAGGGTTCTATAGCCTGAGAAGGCTCTCCCTTACGCTTCTCACTTGCAATACCCCCGGCCGTTGGGATCGGGTACTTGTATGGGATGAATTTCTGCATGTGTTAGTTGAAAGCGAGGGTACTTCAGGGATCGGTAATTTGCTATGTTGGATACCTATTTTCCTGTCAAGGTAGAAGGCGACGAAATATCCGCATCAATTTGAAGGCCCTGAACTAAAACATTGGACCTCGTGCTCCACTACGCAGCCACGAACTTTACTATTCTCGCTACCATTGACCGCAGCATGGTGCTGTCTCTATCTCTAAATCAATGATGGAGACTGCCCAGGTGCCTTCCATACTCGGAAGATGCCACATGAATATGGGGAAAGTATGATCCTGCGTTCTAAGTTATTAAGTATCTGGCATCGAGACTTAAGTTCCTTGAAACTTAGATCTCCCCATATACAACATCAATATTAACCATTCTATGGTCCAAGAACTAATCCGGATACATATTCGCCATCGTCGACATACCCCTTCGGAATCATGGTGGCTGACTGGAACAATCTACCCGCCGAACTGAAGCTGCTCGTCTTTGACTTTCTTACCCCGTCGGTGCATTCCATAATCCCAAGGCATGAGGACGATCGTCATAATCATTACCTCTCTTCATATGCTGTCGTTTCCAAAAGCTGGCAAAGCTTCTTCGAGTGCAGCACTTTCTACGGCCTGGTACTACGCCAATCTGATCTCCCGGAATTCAAGAGAATAGTCACCGGTAAACGAAGATCGATGCTCCATTAGATCTGGTTACGCATAGAGCTTTCACAATACGATTGCAGCTGCTGTGATTTGGAGGAGACAGACGAGGAAGCCGAAACGAACAACAAGATTTTCACGACCTCGATGTGGAATTTATTTTCTACTCTGACTGGATGGGCATATACGAAGCAGGATTCAGCCTTCAGGTTAGGCCTGAGTCTGTTGTTGAGCGCCTATTCTCCGAGCGACCGAGAACACTACTTTCGAGATCATCGCTTCGATGATGACAACAAAACATATTACGATTCTCCTCGTGTATATCACCATGACCCACGTCATGGCTGGTACTTTGGCGAACAGGTCCGTCCATGCCTTGGCGCCAAAGAAAGATTATTCGGCAAGCCTCTCTCTTTCGACTTCCGCTATATCGGCGCAAGAGATCTACCATCCCTTCCGAAAGTAGGCTTCATAACAACTCTCATTATCCCGCGACAGTTCTATAGGCCTATTCCAAATATGGGGTTAATTCTCAGGAGCCTGCCAAAGTTGGAGACACTCAGATATGAGCCCTGGGATTCGATCACTAGTAATCGCTCGTGGCGTCATGAGGTCAATCTTTTAGAAATTTTAGATGCCTTGCCTCGGACAGTCACTAGATTTTCGGGATATAGGGATTCGAACGATGTTTTTAACACGAACGGTACCGTATTCCTGTTCCCAGATCCGGGGTTGAAGTTGTTTCACATAAGCCAAAGACTCAAGGAGCTCGATCTTTCATTTATTATAGACGCTAAATGGTTCTTCGCCCCCTTCGGTAAAAAGAAGAAAAACGTTTCATGGGACAATTTGGAAGGCCTCACGTTGACATCCGATTCATTGAGTTCCAAAGCACCCCCGAAAGAAGTCGATGAACTGCTTAGATCCGCTGCTCAAGCCGCTCTAAGAATGCCAAAGCTTCAAATGATGGAGTTATGGTTTGGTCAACGAGGCGAAGCTCGCATTTTTTGCTATACGCGTTTCAAAGACAATTCCTTGGTCGAATGGTGGGATACGAGTCTCCTCTCCGCGACTTTAAGACCAAATGTCAGAAAATCTTGGCAAATGGTCGCAGATAAATATGTCCGCGGCCATCTCGACTTCGAGGTACACAACATACTCCCTAGACATATCAAATCTCGGGGATCTATCCTTCCTTACTTGAAAAGGCGTGATAGGACTTTGACATCCGGATCCCTTCAGCAAATAATCTGGGAAACCACAGAATTAAGGCGTGTACGGCGTCACGCACCAGCGAATGCCGGTGCTCATACGGTTCAATGTTGACCATAGAACTTAATACATTATGATGTTCGTATGATTTTTGACGTTTATTTGATTTTTTTTCGCTCTCTTCGTGCATCTACGGAACTAGGCGCAATTTATGTTACTGAACGTGGACCAGTTGGGTATCTATCAAATGAACAGTAACGAGATATTCTGGGGAGATCAAGAGTATCATTCTTGGATTGACTGTCGCGCCTCTGATCCTCTGCTCTTCACATGACCTGAATATCTGAGTAGGTACCTATTCCATATCTCAAGCCCTTGGATTCGCACCAATAGTTCTACTCTTTGCTAGAGCTAACAAAAGGGGCTTAAAGAAAGTAGAACGTGCCGAAAATTAAAGCAAATGAATGAGTTAGCATGCTTTGCTCATAATAGATAAAATAACTAGTCCATGTAGTCATGTTAAATTCCGTTGTCTTCGCCTTTCTCGTCGTTAGGTTTTTGGCGTCGTGGTCTTACTACTGGGAAAAGGGGGAGAACTTCGGCAGAGCGTTGTGCTGTAAGCAAAATGGATCAACACTGTAAAACTAAAATCTCCATAATTCACATTGAACTATCAGATCTATAAGGAACATAGTATTTAATTGAATTCATATTGATCTAAGAAAGATCGGTTTTGTGACGTATGGTGATAAATTTGTCCATTAGGGTGGCCTATGAAGACTCGACCCCTTTACCATGTGACTCGTCTAACTAATAGTGCTAAACGCCATATTCTTCAACTTGTTCGCCGTTCTATTTTCCATTCTTTCGCTTGCGGCATGTATTCGAATATAGTCTTCAGTTCTTATTCGTCTAGTTGGTCAAGTTCAGCGTTGTCAAAGTGCTAGTCTTCATCGAAAAAAATTAAAAAAATGTGAAAAAAAAATCGGTGAAATTTCTCATCTCTTCTTTAAACACCTTCGCAGTGAAATCATATAGCAAGCAAAAGAAAGACATAGTATGAAGGAAGAAGGAAAAAGAAGTCAGTGCTGGTCTTTCCTCAACATCTCTCTAGGGTTTTCCATATTCGTTCGCCGTATACGTCGTTATTGTTGTTGTCGTCGACATCGCCTTCGTAGGAAATCATCTAGGTATAGGGCCTTCATCACGAGGTCCATTCTCAGCCAATTCCCTGGCTTTAGCCTCTTCTTCTTCAGCCCTCGTGGGCTGTCCTCCGAGTTGCTTTGTGTTCCTTCCTCCAAAGCCCCATCCGATTTGGCTCGCAACGTAAATTGAAGTGTTGAGCTAGAATTATTTAGCAAATAGATTATATTACCACACAGAAAACAGCCACTACTTACCTCTTCAGCCCACGCCCAAACCAATCCCGGGTTCTTCTGAAACAGCCGCCCGGAGGCCACGAGATCAAGGGGAGGGTCATTGTCCCCAGCACCACCCACAAGCAACTTCTCAGCCAACTTTCCGGTGGTGATACTTCCCACAGTCATGACAAGAAGCTTGTCACCAACCGCCTTCTTAATAGCCTTAGCGAAGGGCGCCTGGTACGCCAACCCCGGCTTTATCTTCTGCAGGGGGTGATTCCCACCGCTCGACACATCAATCACATCAACGCCCCTTTCGGCCAGAAGCCCCGCCAGACGCACCGCATCATCCGGTTTCCAACTGTCATCTCCATACCCCTCGACGTCCTCCAACCAATCCGTAGCACTGATGCGCACAAACAGGGGCATAGTCTCCGGCATCACGCTCCTCATCTCGCCAACAAGCTCCAAGAGCAACCTAACACGGTTCTCAAAACTACCCCCATACTCATCAGTTCTCTTATTACTCGCCGGCGACAAGAAACTATGCACCAGATACCCATGCGCGGAATGCAACTCCAGCACATCAAACCCGACATCCACAGCCCTCTTCGCAGCATCCCTCCAATCCCGCTTCAACTGCGCGATCTCCGCCACGCTGAACGCGCGCGGCAAGGGGTAGCCCTCCGCGTACGGGACGGGGCTCGCGGACAGCACGTCGTCGGGCCAGCCGCCGACGTCGGCGGTCGCGAGCGCGCCGCGGTGCAGGAACGGCGCTACGCAGGACGCCTTGCGGCCCGCGTGCGCGAGCTGGATGCCGATGCGCTGGCCCTGCGACCGCGCGAACGCGACGTGTTGGCGCAGCGGCGCCATCTGCGCGTCGGTCCAGAGACCGCTGTCCTCGGGCGTGATGCGCCCGCGCGCTTGGACTGCTGTCGCTTCGACGAAGGTGAGACCTGGCTGTTGGGGGGTTTGGTGTAAGTGTAAGTGGCTTGCTTACTTGTGCTAGTAGGTAGGGAACGGTGAAAGGGAGAGGGGGGGAGAGAACGTAGGTGGCGCGATGTAGGATGAGTTGGTGGAAAAAAAAGGAAAATAGGGGGGCAGGATGGAGGAGACTTACCCCGCGTTGCACGATGCCGCCCAGGTGAGTTGTGTGCCATAGCGTATGCAACCCATTTTCTGCTGAGTACTGGCACAGCGGCGAGACGACTATGCGGTTTTGAAAAGTGACGCCGCGGATTTTCAAGGGAGTGAAGAGCTTCGGGATGGGACTGCCGTCCGGTTGGGGGTCTACTGCCGTCCCGGCCGGCGGTTCTTGGGCCGGGGTGAAGAATGGGACGCCATCGGCTGGTTTGTTACGGATACTTGGGGGTTGTTCGCTAGGAGCCATTTTCGTGGTGATGTCTCGACTTAACCTGTAGCGAGCTAGATGTTGATTTTGGGAGTGAAAGGAGGTGAAGTCTTGATGTGTCGTTCGATTCGCCGCGGGGTTGGATATGGACCATGGTGGCCGGGTTATTGCAACACCGAATAAGACCGGTAACTGTCCGAAACTCGGTATCTATGGCGTGCCGCCAAGCTTGCCGAAATGACATCATAAAGATATGAGCCGCCTATGTTTCACTCAAGGCATGATATGAGCATTTGGCGAGATTCATCGAACGTCGTAAGACGTTACCGCCTCGGTAGTTATCGTTTTAGGTAATGTCGAATATATAACGCAAAAGCTTGATAGACTAATAAACTTCGTAGTGGGAAAATATACGCGAATGTTTTCATTAACTACAAGTACTTAACTGTTCCATTTTAAAATAATTATTCTTCATTTTCCTGGCAATTTGCCTAAGACTTTGTATGTTTCACATAAGGCTCCTAAGCCACTCCACCAAGCTATAGCTTCATTATCCTCACCACTTTTAACTTAGGATCCCCCCCCCACGCGTAGACAGAACACATATCGCCTCCACATAAACATCAATATTTACGATACACCTGGTCACACAGGAGACTTGGGATTTTTTTCTTCTTTTCCTTCCCATACGTACACATATATGCACGTACGTATACACATACACACGCACCACACATACACACATATATACCTACCTAGGCAAGGATTGCATCTTGCTGCCTTTCGACTTAGGGCATCTAGACCGGCGATCTACTCAAGTCTGCCCGAATACTTGAGATTGTACAACTTGATGCATCAAGTGGATTTGTCCATCTTAGAACTCTGCAGCTGCCGTACTCTCGGCTGTAAGATGTACGCCGCGAGACAAATGAGTTCGGCCATGCCGCTTATGAAACGGTGACGTCTCAGCGCGGCTTTCGAGGCCCTTATCTCGAATATAAGTAGAGTGCAGAGAACTGTGTGAGGAAAAGTGAATTAACAGCCAACCCCGAAACCTCTTCACTTGATTTCACTTCAGGTGTTTCCATCACGAACTTAGAACTTCAAGACACATCATCATGACACACAACGGCCGAGTGATCTCTTTACCTGAGGGAAAGGAAGGGAACCCTGCGATCAAGCTATCGGTTGCTTCCGAACCACTCATTAAGCCCGGCACATTACCACGTATCCTTGTGATTGGTGGTGGAGTGAGTGGTTTGATGACTGCGTGGATCCTCCTCGACAAAGGTTACCGGGTCACCGTCATCTCCAAGGAGTGGGCCTGGACTAAAGACTTCCAACGCTCGCGATTGACCTCCCAGATTGCCGGCGCTCTCTGGGAGTATCCCCCAGGAGGCTGTGGATTGACTGAAATCGAGTCTCCTGGAGGTGGCTGGGCTACCATCCATCACTACCGGGAATGGTCTCTGGAGAGTTACGACTTCTACAAGCAATTGGACTCGCTTCTCAGCGGCCGTCTCCGGACTGAGTTCGGCGTGGCTATCAAAAAACTCAACCAGTTCTTTTATCATGATCTGACTGCCCCCAACGAGGCCAATACTGAAGACATCGAAAAGCTTGAGGCGCTCAGGGCCGACTCTGATAGGGTAAGCAATCTGCAAGAGCAAAAGAATAAAGAGGATTTAGCGCCCCTTTTCGACAATATTCGAGTGCCCAAGGAGTGGCGCAAGAAGTTGAAGTACGGGTACACTCATGATGCGCCGATCATCAACACCGACAAAGCCATGGTGTACCTCATGGCGCTTGTCGAGAGCAAGGGCGCTGAATTGGAGACCAAAGAACTGGAAGGCAAGCTTCAAGACCAGGGTAGCGATCTCCTAGAGGAGTACAAGGCCCAAGCTATCATCAATGCGACGGGCCTGGGTGCAAAAGAGCTCGTGGGTGACACAGACGTCTACCCGGTTCGCGGCGCCATCAAACGTATCTCGAACGACAACACAAACCGGTTCGAGGCTATGAACGAAGCCTATCTTGTTCCCGCTCAGGTGGGAGATGATAAAGAGCCTACTAAGGTCGTATTCCTGGTTCCTCGAAACGACGAGACGTTGATCGTCGGTTCGATAATCCAGCGCAATAGTCATCAGTTGAACCTCCAGGAGAATTCTCCGGATGTGGAGGTCATGTGGGACAGGGCTTGCTCGTTCATGCCCGGTCTTGACGATGCCCCCACAGTTCCATGGTATCCTCTAGCCCAGGGTCTGCGCCCGTTCACGAAGAAGAATGTAAAGGTCAGGGCCGATGATATTCAGGTCAAGCCTCTCATACACAATTATGGCCACGGGGGATCAGGATGGACGTTGGCTGTCGGGTGTGCGCGCTCTGCGGTCAACCTCCTGGAGCTTATGTTGAGTGGAATGTCAGCTGTCGAGGCGAATGCAACACTTTATCCCGTGTAAAAATAAGGGAATGTATAGAAATGGCTTGGTGGATCATTCGTTACATTTTTAGTGTCCGACATCAGGACAGCCACAACCGGCTGTGGCTATGTGGCTCTGTGGCTTTACTTTTGAGTCCTCATTCTGATTGGCTCTGCGTTTCTTTATTCCCCTTTGGTGCACGGGCCGCATGCTATTTGCTAGCTCTACTGGTACGTACCAGGTACCTATTCGTCGACGAGACATACAGACATTCATTCAGTTCCTCAGCTATCACCAATTCATGCAGTAGGTAAGACTGCAATTTACTACACCTTGAAGTAGTGCGAGGACCTAAAGCCTCTAACGAATAGATCAATTGCCCAATTGCACTTGATCGCCTGCAAACATTGTTAAACAACCTAAAAATCAAGAACCCTAGACTTGCGCGACTATCTCTTTAACTGGCAGTTGCCTACAGCCAAAAATCAAGAGGCACGATACACAGGAGAAAGGAATTAGAAGGGATAAGATGTTGTATTTTGTTTAGAACTTTAGAGCCTGGATCTTCAGTTCGAAGATCTTAAGTACTAGTACAGTGCTAGTCGCACCTTCTTGCCAAGTACACTCCATCTACAGGTAAGTACCCACAAAGTTCGGTCAGGGAACTGTCGGTACAAGTGGCGCGAAGCACATGGGTTTGGCCCACTAGGTCACGTGGAGCTATATTTTGCCTCCGGGCTGTAGACAACTGCCAGTTAAAAAGACACCTACGCCTACCTCGGGACATACCTACCTAGGTATCCCGTCTATGCTTCATTCAAGGCATAATATGGGCATTGTTGGTGAAATACATCGAATATTGTAAGACGTTACCGTCTTGTAGTACTCACTTTAGTACTATCTTTCTAGCTAACGTTGAATCGTGTAACTCATAACCTCGGAAAATTCACAGGCCCATAAACTCATAATACGTATCTTTTTCCATAATAACCCCACGGTCCCAACGCCCTAATACCTCCATGCGAAAGACTTTTAACTCCTTATCCAGTTTCATCTTGAACGACTGTCACGTTGATCACATCTCCATCCTGGGTCGTTGCATATTGTTCCTGGATGGCAGTGGTGCTTCCTCTGACACCGTGCTGGTCTCGTACATGCTTGATTAGATTGTTGCAACTAGTAGTTGACTTGCCGCAAACTCCACAGAGTCGCGGCTTATATTCTTGCTTCAGTCTGTACTTCGAATTTGGATTGTGCTTGTCGAGATGCGATTGAATATTTCTATGTTCATTCTTGATAGCCGTACCGCAGCCGTTCATGAGGCAACGGAACATCCCATTTGTCATAACCTCGCCTTGGGCAGTCGGGTGATTGATAACGTTTCCGTTCGCATCCTGTCAAAGAGAATGTAAATTAGCTTCAATGTGAATAACAAAGACTTGATAACTTCCGTTGTTTTCGAGTATTGCATCGGTTTGTGCAATATACCGCTTTAATTCATAACGGCCATTGCAAATGCATCAATACATTATTTTAGCATTTTGACGTGGATAAAGTTTACGTAAATAATTATAAAAATAGCAACATGATCGAAAGTATACCTAATGAAACAATATCTAAACTTACCGGGTGGTTCTTGGCAGGGCGGCCGTCATTTCCATTCGGAACGGCGGCGTTTTGTTGGATGGGGCTGCCAGCAATAGGGTTGCTTGGAACGGCGTTACCAGGGACGACATGATGGGAAACGGCGGTACCAGGGTTGGGGTTTCCCTGAACAGAATTGTCAACGGCGGGTGTAGTAGCAAGATTTGCATTGCTATTAACAGTAACACTATTGGCACTAGTGTCGGCGATGGTGAGATTGGCGCGAAGAAGTTTGTTAACACGGCGGAATTCTTGCCGGAATTCTCGCCGCACTTCACGGCGGATGAGTTTTTTCATTAAATGGTAGTTCATCGTGAAGCGAGGTAAGGCTGTCCTGTATTATATACGTTATTAAGTATACTATGGATTAATAGGATATAATCATACTTATAATAAAGGATGGTAAAGTGTGTAGAGCTTGGAAAGAGAATAATTTGTTGAGGGTTCAAGTGATATTGGAAGAAATCGAATAATAAATGAGGGAATATATGAAAAAAAAAAGAATTGTTGGCGAGATAGTTTTGAAATAGTAAAGCAGGTTGTTGGTGAACTCTTGAATAATACCTACGAATGACCGGAGTTGTTGCCGAAGATACGGACTAATTTCCGCACGGAAAGAGCGGGTGGAAGTGATAGTTGACGATAGGGGATAGGGGAGTAGGTTTAATTGCCGAATAATGAAATAATTATTGAAAGAAAAGAGCAGTCCAAGGTTAACGGCGGATTAAATAGGTAGTTCATGAATATTAGATAAAATTATCGCCGATAGAAAAGATAGTTGACGGAAGGTAGGGGCAGTTGACGAGTGGAAGAAATATTTGACGGCGGAAGAAAAGGTTATTCAAGGAAAATTCTGTTCAGGAAGCTATGAAGCAATTGTCGGCGGTAAAAGTATTAGTCATTAATGTAATAGAATATCTATGGAAAAAAATAATATTAATGGAAAATACGGTTGGCGATTAGAGGAATGGGATTGGATGAGGGGGTCAAAGTTGAGGGACGGCGGAGGAATAGGAGTCATAGCGTAGTATAAAATGGCAAGAAGTGGGTTTGATAATGAAGCAAGGACCATTAGACAGTCAATATTGACAATAAAAAGGAAAGAGCACGTAAATAAGCGGCAATGGAAAGGAAAGTGCGGTGATAGTACGGATAATCTTGGGAACGTAAAGTTGTGATAATATCAAAGTAAATAGTCGCAATAAAGATAATTTTTCTTCGATTCTATAAATCGTAGTCTCGATAATAAAAACACGTCTTCGTACAATAATTCGTTTCAATTTTTTATATAATACAATAAGAAAAATTGTAAAATTTCAATCAAATTTCAAATGGGTTTACGTCGAATACAAAGCCTCGTCCATGTTTCGAGTACGTTTAAATATATTCAAACATTAAACAAAGGTCTTTGTTATGTTCAAGATTCCATTAGCCATTTCCGTCATATAAGAGGCCGGGGACTATGGATATTACATATTTAATCATTGCACAGAATTTCGGGGGACATTCTCTCGACATAGTGTATGAGTTTATCAGTAAAGTGGCAAGACTGTTAGATTAGAATGTCCCGCAATCCCCGACGAGGAGGTGGTGGAGCATTTAGTTCTCATAGTAAACAAATATTAATTTTAGTCTTTTCTTTATATGCTGTGAGACGTATTTGATTCCCAACTGAAGTACGTTTCTTGTTTCCATGGGCTTGAAGATACCTAGCTTCGGTGCTCATCTCCAGATTCCTAGTCATTCAAGTTACCATGCAATCCCAATGTTCTCGACTCGCCTTGTTCTATGGGCATTGAAGAAACTTGTACTATATTAAATCTCAGAAATGATACTTTGTGACAAGAGCATTCCTTGAAACACCTCGATGTTCAATATTAGCTTTGAGATTCCTGAATATTTCGGCATCGCGCCGGCAGTTTTCACAGAAAAACCTGGAGCTTATGTTATGGGGCATTTCCCGTTTTGGCCAAGTTCTGTTCTGTGATTGGTCCATTAGAAGGGCAGGTGCATTATGCGATTATCCGTAGAACCACGTGGCACAAAGCCCCTTCCAGGAGCATCTTTACGCAAATTATTAAGTAATTCATGATCAGATACTTACCCATAGGTACATATACATTGGGTTTTCGTACGGTCATATCTGATTATCAGGTATGTGAGAGGCAGCAGTTACTTAATACTTTTCTCCACTCCTATTACTGGCCGGCTTCAAGCCGGGTCACCTACCTGTCCATATTTAGTACCTTCATTTCAAGGCCTATTATGTCGTCTAGAATGGAATATATAGCGATATGGTGTATATACTGAAAATGGATGCATTCTTGTAGCTATTTGAATTTGAAGTTGGAGGTCGCTTCAGGGTGTCATGTGACATGTTTCTAATTGGCAGGGTCTGGAAGGTTGGATCTTAGGGTGTCACATGACAACCCCTGAGATCTCGCAACTTCGAACCTGTATCACTCCGGATAGATATCGCATCAAAATTAAATTTAGATCGTTATGTGTGTAACTGGAAGAGCTATCTAAGAATATAGATCCTGTAAGATTGCACGTAAACTCGACAGTAAATCATCTGTACCAACTAACTTTGGAGAATCGGCCCAAACAGGTACCTACCTACGTACTTCCTCGTTTGGAACCAACACCATGAAACAGTCAAGCTACCTTGTTAGAGAGCAGACCGTGGTCCTCCTTGATTATATCAGCCGCCTTCTCAGCAACTGTATAAACGGAAGTTTGCACGTTAGCGCGAGGAATGAGGGGCATGATGCTTGAGTCAACGATCCTCAACCCCTTAACACTGTACACTCTGAGCCGATCATCAACGACGCCGCCTTTCTCTCGTGGCAACATAGCACATGTGCCGACCAGGTGGTTATCCGTCAAGACGGACTCTCTGATATGCGCTTTGGCCTTTTCTAGCGTGTCCACTTTGGCTTCTCCTGGTTGTGCCCTTCGGCCCCCCGGTTTAAGATAATTAGAAAAGGGAGGTGTCTTGGCAATTATCTCGATAAGCATCAGATGGCGTGCGTACATTTCTATATCCAAAGGATGCGAGAGGTAGCGAGGGTCAATGACAGGCGGAGCGGATGGGTCAGAAGATGAGATGTGTGTATTACCGCGGGATAGTGGGTATTGAAGGGATGCACCAATGCTGACGTAGTTCCCGGGCTTGACATCCTTCGTCATACCGGCTTGCTTTGGTCCGTTGTGCAGATTAACTTGAGCTGGCAGCATGAACAAAGAACCGGTCGACTCTCCGGGGTTAGCAGATTGTAGAAGAGACTTGATATAGCCAAGGTTTTGTCTTTCATACTCGGACATAGAAGCAACATCTAGTCTTTCAACAAGCTCGTCCAAGGACCTCTGAAGCTGTGGCTCTAGCTTCTCCAGAATCTGGTTCATAATTGGCAGGAATGCGTACGATACAAGAGCAGCAGAAGCAAGAGGCCCGGTTTTGTGCTCTTGATACATCTGCATTGCAGCTTGTATCAATTCCGGCTCCTGCCGTAGGAGGATATCTCCTGTCATAACGCCTTCGGCAGCTTCGAAGCTCACGCCTGTCATAATGTGGTCCTGGAGATTCTCTCCCACGTTAGGGTTATTGACTTTTGTGGTGATGCCAAATTTGTTTAGCAAAGACTCGTCACCAATACCGGATAGCTCTAGGATCTTGGGTGATTGGAAGGCACCTGCTGCAAGAATGACCTCGCGACTGGCCTTAACTTCGTGCTCGATGCCGCTTTGTGTCTTGAAAGAGACGCCACGTGCGGTAGTCGTAATACCGTTAGCATTATTAAGTATGATCTTGCTCACAGTAGCATGTGTGATCACTTCAAGGTTGCTTCGGGAGCTTGCCGGCGCGTAGTACGCACTTGCCGCGTAACTACGCGTTTTTGTAACGGGGTCGATGGCAGCTGGAACACTCCACCCACCGATTCCACCGCCGCCAAACGGATTTCCAGTGAAGTTGATGCCTAGTTGCTTGAAGGTTTCGACCCATGCCTTCCCAAGCGGGTCTTCAACAGCACTGGAAAAGCTTGCCTTTACGGGGCCAGTGCCTCTAGTGGACTCGTCCATCCAGTCAAGGCCTAAGTGCTGTTGAACCGCTTCGTCGGGAGGGACAAGGGTGTGGAATTTGCGGAAGTAGGGCGCCACATCATCCCATCCCCAGCCAGGGTTACCGAGGGCCTCCCAAGCATCGAATCCGACCTTGGAAGGAGGTACGAAAACTTCAGCATTCACTGCACTTGAACCTCCTAGGACACGGCCTTGCGGTTGGCCAATTTGTCTATTATTCAGATTCTCCTAGAAGTCCGGTAGTTAGCCTATGCTCGGTAATGCAGTCTCATTTCGTCTTTCAGCAGTATGTATTACCTGTGGTACCGTAATGAAGTCCCAGTCCAGATCAGTCCCTAGAACAGACGACCCTAGTGTTGTTAATATTCAACATGACGAAATGAAGCGTTCAGACCACGAGGATGAGAACCAGTAATGAAGACGATCAAAGGCAGAAATAATAAAACGTACTACAATTGTCAGTATATATCATGAAGGTACATCGTTCTAATCCAAAAGCATGAACTTTACTGCTTACCACATTGCTGGGATAGCAACTCGAGGGTCTTGGAGGGCATTTGCGCCGGCTTCGATAACAAGCACTGAGACACTTGGGTTTTCAGTCAATCTTGCTGCCACTACAAGGCCTGCGGTGCCTCCTCCAATAATAACAAAATCATATTCCTTGCGAGTAGGCTCCATTTTCATATGAAAAGATGATAGTGAGAATTGTTGGTAGTTTTGTGAACAGAGCCGCTGCTACTCGTAGATGGAGAGGTCTGGGATAAGATGCGCACTGGATAGTTTTTAAGTAAAACTTCCTCCAAGCAAAGAGCAAGCAGTTGGTTCCACAACACAGTGTGCTTGAGCGTACAGCCTCGTCTCAAGTATTCTCTTCTAGTACCGGGAACTTAGGTGCCGATATAGGTACGTATGTGAGTTGAGGACCTACCCCTCTCCGATGTTCCTTAAGCCTGCAGCAACTGCATATATTGGTTCTATCTGTGCCAACTAATTCGCAGAACTAATTCTACGCCGTATTAGGGGTTCGCGTAGGAAACAAGGCTTAGATCTGTATTGCGTATCAATGGGGTTGCATTCAATTCGGTGTTACCTCTGTAGTAGCTTACACTTATGTAGGCATATAAAGATGACACCAACAGCGTACAACTATGCTAAGCGATCAAAAAAAAATGAGACCACCTAATAGTACCAACATACACGAACCAACATGTAGGAAGTGGATCAGGTACACATGGTAACTGCAAGGTAGGGGCCTACGATGTAGTAAGCCTCGTGGTAACTTGGATAGGACAAATCGATCTGTTCCAAGTTGTTATCTCTTTAAATTTCTTTCCGTTGAATACCTACCTAGGTACCTATGAAGTGACCTTTTCTTTAATAGGTAAATGTCTTGCTACCTATCCAAAATCGCCCCCTCCCCCAATAGTAGAGGCAGTTCTACTATGACTTGCATCTTCGCCAACAATTGTTTTTCTTTTTAACTATGGCTACCACGAGGACTGTAGATGATACGCAACATCCGCCGCTGGCACCTGGTGGCATTCAAGTTATCATCATATGTTCTGTATTCACCCCGATAGCGATTCTATTCGTTGCGCTTCGTTTGTGGGTTCGAAAGACAACTGGGCAAAAGCTCGTATTGCACGACTGGGCTATTCTTGCGGCGCTTATTTTCAACTGCGGACAATCTGCTCTCCTAATTTATGCATCGGTAACCTTGGGCATAGGACACCATACCTCAGACCTTGCCAGGGATTGGCCTCTTGTCGTTCCTCGCCTCCTGAAGGCCTATGTCGCAGCAGAGCCTTTGTGGATCAGTACCAATAGCCTAGTCAAAGTCAGCATCTTACATTTTTATATCAAAATATTCTCTGTTGAATATTTCCGGAAGATCTGTTATGTGGTAATGGGCTTGGTCGCTGCCTACTGGACATCAACTTTTGTTAGAATGTTTTTCCTCTGCACCCCTTTTCAGGCTATATGGGAGCCAACTTTACTCGAGACGGTTCCAGGGGCACATTGCCTCAACTTGTCTGCAGTATACCTATCGGTATCTATCATCAACCTAATCCTGGATCTGACTATATTCTTTCTCCCTATGCCGCTCCTCTCACGTTTGCATCTGCATATGAGAAAAAAGCTGATGCTTATTGGTATATTTGCTCTGGGTTTTTGGTAAGCCGTACCCGAAGTCCGTTGCTTCCTTTAAGACTGAACTAACCACCAAATAGCGTATGTGTAGTGACGGCTCTTCGCATTTGGTCGGTACTGCGGCTTTCCCTTGTCGACGCTTCGTATACTGTTACTTCGGATGCCGTTTGGTCAACCTTAGAGCCTTGCATCAGTATCGTAAACGCCTGCCTCCCACTCCTTCGTCCCCTGGGTTCTAAAATCTCGAAATCATTTGCATGGTCCACCGTATCAGAGAGGGTGAAAAACAGCTACAATAGGAGTGGCTCAGGGATGCCATCCGACGGACCAGCGACTAACCCTAGGCGTGAAGGGATTCGGGGAAATACACTGCACCACAAGTTCATGCCTTTAAGGGATGTATCCAATATCTCAAATGTTGAAGCAGGTTTAATTTCTTCGTCGGCTGAGCACCAGGCCTCTATACCCCTTGAACCATTAGGGAGGGGCGCAACTGCGAGGCAACCTATAACACACGTCGATGGAAACATCAAAGTTACAGTTGGTTGGCAGGTCCAACACGAACAAAGGGAATTTAGGTAGAAGCATTCAATGAGATTTGGATGAATTATAGACTCTAAAGTATCTAGGTGGCTACATATTTATTTGGTATATTAATGGTGAGCTTCTTAGACGTCTAAAATACTAGCTTCATGAGTAAACTTGTGAATTGGTTACTAGAGCAAGTGTATTGGACACTTACACTAGGATAATTGCTGCTGACAGTTGTAAAATAGGTACCTAGGGAAGCCTGAGCACTGAACGGGGTCCTTGTAACCGAGTCAAGTATGATGGATGACAAATCCACCGTAATACAATAGATTACAGTTGTTCAAAGGCTAAATTTGCAGGGAGGTGATGACAGCAAAAGAGTGTGATATTAGGATAAATTCTAACTAAAAGCCCAGTAGACTTGGGAATTGTGTGATAACTAGGTATCTATACAGGCAGATAGCTATAGCTACCTGCCTGCCAATCTAAGATATGACATAGCCCTGTGCTGAAAACGGTTATAAGCACTTGGAAGAGGATGGCCGTGGCTGACTCAGGAAGCTCAAACCACCTAGTTAGCCAGTATTACCAATTCTCAGCCCCTTTCTGAACTAAACCTATACCTCATTTCTTGCAGTAGGCACGGAACGGGTATAAATAAAAGGAAGGCAGTATAATGAAACCAACCAAAAACACCACAACTTAAATGTGCCTTCATCTGAACAAACATCGCGATATCGTAAAGTCCGGACTCCAATCATAGTGCCCAGCCCAAGGAAGACGGCACACGTGAGGATATCACTCAACTGCCAGAAGCACAAACAGAACAAGGACCAAAATATAACACCCACAGCTACACTGATGCGACAGACCTCCTCGCCAAACACAAGGGGGATTGTCTTCCTGTTGCGTTTGCGATCACCGGCCATGTCCGGAAGGTCCTGAACTTGAAGCGTCGTAAAAACGATACTTGCAATGATTCCTAGCCAGATAAACGCCGTGGGAGTAAGAACTATTTCGTCACCCTTTGGAATCGATTTGCCACCATTTGCCGCAATAACTGTGGATGCGTGGGTAAAGACCGCAAACGCAACGCCATTCAACCCGTTGCGGACGATAAAATTATCATTTCCGCCTCCGAGGTCATTGTACATCCACGTCAAGATTAGCATGAGCATCGACTCCGTCACTCCCCCGACAAAAAGACTCATGCAGAGTCCAACTGGGATAAGTATAAGGAGGAATGACCGGGCTTCTTCTCGGTTCATCAGCCCTGACGGTATTGGTCGCCAGGCTCTATTGACCATGTCTTCTGCGATGCTCTCCTCGGTCCGCTGATTGGCAATATTAAACGATAGTAGGTTGACCCAATTCCACAACACGACGTAAGGAGTGTGATGGCAAATATTCGCGAACGATGGCTTGGGATTTGAGGTAAGCAGGCCGCCTGTTCCTGCTTGAAGCAGACCAACTATGGTATGAGGGAGTATTATGACTTTGAAGTCGCTGTATGTGAACAGAAAACATGACCGAATATAACGCAAGACTGTTGCCCTACAGTGACGCGTTAGCATCTCTTCTCTTGATCTAGTAGCACTGGCTGTTCGTAGCCCATGCTCACCATAGAGTTGTCTTTGTGATAGAGTACCATCCCATCTTATCAGAGCCTGCTTGTTTGAACGAGGGTTGCAGTATAATAGCAGTCCGAAAGAGGTAGTCGCGTATTTGATAATTTGTGTTATGATAAAATGAATTACCTTGTTATATGCTAGTCGACATAGAATTGTTTGCGGTGCATGGAACTGTTTTAATACCTCTACCTGTAATCCTATAATCTCCTCTTGTTTCTCTTTCCTTCCTTGGAAGAGCCTCGCTTCGTCATATGCAGTTAGGTTATGTCATCTCACTAGGTTACCCTACTTTACGTACCGCGTAATACTCTTCACTCCGCATATGATAGTCGCAAGAATGAGGCGCAAGGCGTTAGTTTGCTTCTAAGGTTGGCTGACCATTTACATTACCCATGTATAGTGTCGTGGAACCCCTGTCTTGGATGCATTGATAATACATAGTTTCGTCTGTAATTCACACAGCATTGTCGAGTTCAAGGAGATATTCGACTCTACATACCTGGCCCTCCACCTCCTATCCATTTACACTTGCTATTCTTCCAAATACGATAACTGCCACTTGTGTTATTAACTATGCTGTCAACTGATATCTATATCGAGCCGCTGACTGCTGCAGTGGTTGGCCTAGCAATGCACCATTTTGTCTTCATCAGGGGGGAATGGCATGTCAGAGCCCCCGTTGTTTTTCGTTTTTATCTAGCTTCCACTCTACTGTGGTGTATAGCATATTATCGAGCTTGCGACCGAAGCATTCAGACATGTTCTATCCACTATTTCTTCTCGCTATCAACTCACTATATCACACTCTTAGCGAGCATCGTCATATATCGCTGTTTCTTTCATCCCCTTCGACACTTCCCAGGGCCATACCTAGCGAAGGCTACTAAATTCTGGCATGTTTGGAAATGTCGGAATTCCAATAACCACTTGCTCCTTGAAAAGCTTCGTCACGAATATGGCAATTTCGTTAGAACAGGTGAGAAATTAATATGAAGTTGAATAAACCTCTTCAATTCGCCTTGCCCTTTCGTACAATGATAATTACCGTCCGGGCCAATAGGAATAATCTACTTACGAAGGTGTAGGCCCAAACGAAATCACTATTTTCCATCCTGCCGGACTGAACCTGATTAATAAGCCCGACTTGGTTGAACGAAGCGACTGGTATGACTTGGTACATCCTTCTTTCTCCCTGAACACGGTTCGTAACCAGTATTTCCATGACCGGCGCCGTAAGGTCTGGGAATTTGCTTTCACGAACGATGGTACGAGTCTTAATAAGCCCTAAGAGATGCGCGCTGACCAAGTAAAGCAATGAAAGGATACGAAGAAAGGATCCGTAGCTATGCAACCAAGGTCGATGATTCTATAAGGGGGTCAAATAGGAGCATTATTGACACAAATGCAATAATATACCGTTTCGCATACGACGTTATGCGTGATCTGGCTTTTGCTAAAACATCTAACGATACCGACCAAGAATGGCAGACATCAGTCAACACTATCCATACCGGCCTATCAATTCTAGGACCCTTATCGCCTGCTCCCTGGATTGCACTTCTATTCTTCTCGTTCACCAACCTCCAATTGGTGAGCGACTGGAACAACATGATGGCATACTGTAGAGAAAAAATGGCTGAGCGGCTAGCATTGGTAACGCCTAAGGGCCGCGATATCTCCTCGTGGCTGATCCAAGATGCAAAGTCACGCGGTCAGATCGACTCACCTGAAGAAATGCAATGGTTAAACGGGGACGCCTTCTCCATGATCCTGGCTGGGTCGGACACCACTGCGTCAACACTCATATTCACTTTTTGGCACTTGGCGAAGACACCTAGATATCAGAAACTTATTCATGATGAGATACTAAAGTTCGGCGTACTTTCTCCTCTGATTTCGGAAATGAGTTTCAAGGACTTCGAGAGACTCCCCTTTCTGAATGCATTCATCAATGAGACGCTACGACTACACCATCCCCTACCCACGGCTGGTTCCAGGATAGTACGCCAAAAAGGATTAATCATCGATAACGAGCATATTCCTCCCGGCACAAAAGTAGTAGCTCCAAGATGGAATTTTGGCCGGCATGAAGCCCATTATAAACGTGCCTGGGAGTTTTTACCTGAGCGATGGTTGAACGACTCAGACCTCATTTCAGATCGCCGCGCATTTACACCTTGGGCGGGCGGCAAATGGGCCTGCCTCGGGAAGCAAATTGCACTGTTCGAGCTACGATATCTCATATCCCTTCTAGTGCACCACTACAGCATCTCGCTACCGCCTGGCGACGACGGTTCTAGCGTTGAACGAGATTATAAAGATCAGGTGACAGCATTTCCGGGGAAGTTGAACTTAGTCTTCACAGCTAGGGGTTCCGAATAAGATTCAAGATTTCTATAATCATCTAGGCACTTACCAAAGTTGACTGAATAGTATCCCATCATTTATAATAATATGTTTACCTATCTGTATACCATTCTTAAAATTGATTCTGAGACCCGTATACCTTCAATGTTGATATACGTACGTACCTAAGTACCTACCATCATATCTAGTGGAGTGGATAGGTCACTTCAGTTTATTCTAATGTAAGATTTATTCTTGATAGTACATGGACAGATCAAATTACATGCGCTGCTCAAGGCTCAAGCCATCGTAACTAGAAAGGTCTTCTACTTCGGCAACTATTTTCGTCTTTTCCATACCTACCTACACGAAACTAAAATGAACCAAAGCTGTCAATACTACCTATGTTACAGTACGGATATCATGCGGACTCCCAACATCTAGGCCTCAAGCACTTCTCAAATCCAGCTGTCGAAAGGTCTCCCAACCTCCCATAAGATCGTTTCCCATTTTGGAAGATCAGGTTCGAATTGCGGCTGCATGCCGATACAAGGTTATTCATGACCAATAAGGCAACTTCGATAATACCAGGAAATTCGGGCATCGGGGAGGTGATGTTGGATTGAGACCTACTTCTCAGCTTGTTTCAAGCCTCACCTGCAAGGTGAGATCCTTTATCACATTTGGTCCATAAGGTAACATTACTAAAGTTCCAACTGGAACAATTCGGCCAATCATGATGACAACCACAATTCTCGGCCTGGAGTTCATGTGCAACATATGACGAATCCCTCGTCAATCTGGAACCAACTCTATGCCCGAATGTACCAACTAGTCTATTCGCTCCGAACTTAACGCACCACAAGAAGCCTACTGATACCTAAGCATCCAAAGCTTATCATAGACGCTGCAGGCTGCGTTGAGGGCACCAACCAACACAAAAGGCCTTTAATTCCTTCAAACAACACGCATCAATCAGCGAAGGGCCTCCAATGGCAGTGTTGGAACTTCGGATCTCAACGAATGCATTGCAGGTTTATAATCAATATTGCTCTCCTGATACACCAACTAGGTCCTGTTCAAAGAGGTATTAATGAGCAAGTGAACTTGCTACCGTAGCTTCGAGCGTCCTATACCTATTCCTTCATTGTAACATTTCCTTACCACCTTCTCTTAAAGCTAATACATTGACCTTCATAGACATAAGTTACTGCTACAAGTAGTCTCAGTATACAACTGCACTGTGCATTGAGAGTTGACAGGATTCTGGTACTACCGTTGGCATGAGGTGATACTCGGGGCTACTTTCCGAGGCGAGATTTAGGGGAACCGTGCTAGTATACGTACCCAGGTAATTATGTATCTAAATACAAACTGGTATATCTATTAGGTGTCAGTGCGGTGTAATCGAAAGCAACGTACACGATAATCCGTGGTGGATACTTAGTGTTCTTCCACAGATACTATCTCCGATCGCCACGTGAAAGTACCCATATCTAGGTATATACACTAGGGCACCAAGGTGGGATTTGGTGACTACATGAATTTTTGACTTTGGTGAACTGCACTTGATGATCTTTCGAGTGACTATTCCCTGGGGACTGCCTGGCGCATTAGTGTATCCACGTGAATATTTAGTAGGTGCTACGTACGCAGTATCAATAGGTATCCATAGCAAATCTCTTTCAAACACGCCAATAGAGAAAAGGACTAGTATATCCCTTTTCTGGAGATTTGTACGACTTGTTCTTTTCTTGTCCGGTTGAAAAATCCGGATCGGAGCCGAATCTCCACTTTTAACGGGGCCAAAACCCGGGCTTCCACGTACTCAGACGCTAGTCCTAATAAAGCAAGCTCAGGATTTAGACATTGGAGCGTGCACCTGCGTTGGCCGAACTTTTACCGCACTAGTACGTACTGCGGAAGTGGGGACCTAGCTTCTCCAAGACAAAAAATTTTGGATCTTTTTTTCAAGCTTCAACATTTTTTAACATTACACACGCTACCGAACAGTTATCTCTATGCGCAAGCCCGCGTGAGATCAACGCAGCAGACAAAATGACGCGCGTAGACTTCTTATTACATGAGTCCGCTGTCGGCTATGCCATCTTCAAGGTTGTTCACCAGCAGGACACTGTTGGTCTTCACCTGAAGGAGGTTCAAAAAGCTGGCCAGGACCTCTCCAAGTTCGGCAAAATGGTCCAATTGGTCAATTTTGCGCCTTGGAGGTACGATCAATCGACCTCTCTGGGTGTAACTGACAATAATCGCTGACGATATTAATCTTAGAAATGCTGCCGATGCACTCGAGAACATCAATCTAATCTCGGAGGGTATTCTTCCCGATTACCTCAAGTCCAATCTCGAATTGAACCTACCCCAATCCAAGAAAAGCAAGATCGTACTTGGTGTCGCCGACAAGAATTTAGCTGGGTCTATTAAGGCTGTCTTCCCTGGAGTTGAATGCGAGACCGGTGATACGTCTGAAGTCGTCGCTGACCTACTACGAGGCATCCGGCTCCACGCCGCCAAGTTGCTAAAGGGTCTCCAGGAGGGAGATGTAGAAAGAGCTCAGCTTGGTCTTGGCCATGCCTACTCTCGTGGAAAAGTCAAGTTCAATGTCCACAAGAACGATAATCATATCATCAGGGCCATTGCGACCCTGGACAATCTCGACAAAGGTATCAACCTATTCTCCCAGAAAGTGCGGGAGTGGTACGGATGGCACTTCCCTGAGCTTTACAGCATCGCTTCCGACAATCTTACCTACTCTCGTTTGGCTCTATTTATCGGCGACAAGTCGACTTTATCAGATGACAAGCTTCACGAGATTGCCGCGCTAGTTAATGAAGACGAAGAGAAGGCCCAGGAGATCATCAACAAGGCCAAGATCTCAATGGGACGCGAGTTGTCAGAAGTTGATATGAGCAACATTTCTACTTTCGCCGGCAAGGTCGTTAAGCTCGCCGAGTACCGAAGAACGCTCTACAGTTATTTGGTGGACAAGATGAGCACGGTTGCGCCAAACCTGGCTGCGCTTATTGGAGAGGTCGTCGCTGCTCGTCTCATCCAGAAGGCTGGCTCGCTGACGAACTTGTCCAAATACCCAGCTTCCACCCTCCAAATTCTCGGTGCCGAGAAAGCCTTGTTCCGAGCTTTGAAGACGAAGGGCAACACCCCTAAGTTTGGACTTATCTACCACAGCTCGTTTATCGGCCGAGCGAACCAGAAGGACAAGGGTCGCATCTCAAGATATCTTGCCAACAAGTGCAGTATCGCTAGCCGAATCGACAACTTTGCTGAGCAGCCGTCCAAGAAATTCGGCGACGCTTTAAGACAACAGGTCGAAGACCGACTGGAGTTTTACGCAACTGGCAAGAAGCCAACCAAGAACGCAGATGCGATGGTAAGCATACGTGTAGTAACTAATGTTGAAGTACTACCATATACTAATCCGTGTACAGGACCAGGCGATGGCCGACATTCTCGCCGATGGTCAGAGCATGGCCATCGACACGGAGATGATCGACGGCCCCCTGCCACCTACTGACGCCACGCCCAAGAAAGAGAAGAAGAAGGATAAGAAAGATAAGAAGGAGAAGAAGCGCAAGCATAGCGACGTGAACGGTACGGTGGAGCCAGAGGCGGCCGACGGCGAGAAGAAGAAGAAAAAGAAGAAGAAGCACGCTGATGAATGAAGGGGCATTTCATCCGCAGGGGCTGAAAGGTTCGACGTTGGTCCAGGCATCGGCTAGGCGTTCAGGATTCAGGTGTTGCTTTTTTTTTTAAAAGTCTTTGCTCTCTCTGGCTATGGTTGTGTATATGGCAGGCTCATACCCGTCCTTCTTATGCCGAACTGATAAGATGAAGTGAATATGAGTTTTTTAATCCAGTTAAATCACATAGTGTTGAGTTTCGTGATGTTTCGACCAACCCCTGATCTAACATGTTTGACTGAGGCTCACCGCACGGTCGTAATTGGGAGATATGTTGGCCATTAGTAAAGTGACTACGAATGTAAAACTTACGCCAACTAGAAAGTGTTACCAGTCATACATCTCAGAAGGATTTAGAATCAAGGTACGATGCCATAAGGTGCGATGAATTTGAGTTTCGCGTACTCCGTATCGAAAAAAAGTAACAAGTTATCAATTGCTCTGCGCCTACTACAAGCAACCGTATGTGTTCCGGATGGCTAGCGAGCTCAGATAATCTACCTAGCCACGAAAGTGGCGGTCCCAAACGACGATGGTAAAAAAGTTTCGCGCCCATAACGCCCTTGTAATGCCGTTGCGCGCCGTAACCCCCCTCCCCCTTGGCCAAGCTACATGCCTAGTTTCCTTCGCTTCCGAACTCTTTAGTCCATTCCGAATTTCGCTGGAGATCTTCTCCCGAAACCGTCGGCCTTGATGATTTGATGGCCTTGACGAAGTCCTTGAAGTCTACCAAGGGCTCGAGTAACGTTTCCGAATCAACATCGTCCCATGTCATCTCCTTTGCGCCGGGGTCACCAGGCGAGCAGGGGGTTACAAATGTTTTGCCATCCTTTTGTACCTATAATTTAGATATTAGCAACTGAGAAGGTTATATATGTAAGGGCATCGTGAATGTTACCTCTTTGAAGTGCGTAGCTTGCTGGATCTTCCGTATTGGCTGCATCAGGGCGTCTTGTACAGCAATGGTAATATCGCTTCCTGAATAACCCTCGGCCAGTGCTGCCAGTTTCCTGAAATCCTCGTTCTTCAGCGTAGTCGGCGTTTCTCCGACGGCGAGCTTGAACATGGTAGTTCTCGCACCGATATCCGGCAGGCTGATGTGTACTCTCCGTTGAAATCGTCTTCGAATAGCGGCATCTAACTGCCATGGGATGTTGGTCGCCCCTAATACTAGCACACCTGTCGAGTCGTTTCCAACACCGTCCATCTGCACCAACATCTCGGTCTTAATTCTTCGCGAAGCTTCCGATTCTCCCTCCCCTCGTGGGCCACAGAGGGCGTCGACTTCATCGATGAAGATAATAGAGGGTTTGTTTTCTCGCGCCATGGCAAATAGTTGCTTGACTAGTCTTTAGGACAAGAGAAAGTTAATTGTTGGTCTAAGTTCCTGGAGGAAATATTCAGAAGACGTACCTTTCACTCTCACCCATCCATTTACTCACCAAGTCACTACTGCTTACGCTGAAGAAGGTACTGTTTGCTTCTGTGGCTACGGCCTTCGCCAAATAACTCTTACCCGTACCAGGTGGCCCGTACAGTAAGATACCCTTCCACGGTTGGCGCTTTCCTTGAAATAGATTGGGGAACTTGATGGGCAATAGCACGGCCTCTTTTAACGCTTCCTTTGCTCCGTCCAGTCCAGCAACGTCGTCCCACTTGACATTCGGCCGGTCTTGTAGAATAGCACCAGCAAGGGCATTCCGAAGTTTCTTATTATCCTCGTCAACATCCTCGCCGTTCTGCTTTCCCTTCCCCGTTCCGCCGGTCGATGAACCGTTCGCCCCAACCAAGCCTGGTTTTTTACGTTTTGCATCCGCGTCGGCGAGATGGGCCTTCAGCTTCTCGGCGCGATCCATGTACTCGCCCGTCTTTTGGCGGATCATCTCCTTTGCCTTGGGGTTCTTCTCCCATTTTAGAGCTAGCATAAATAGCTCGAGGGACTGGTAGTATAATTGGTATGCCTTTTCATATTCGTTTCCGTTGTCGGCGTCTATGGCGCGTCTCACCGTCTCGATCGCTCGACCGAGGAAATCGGTGTTGGACATTTTTGATGACGATGGGGGGTGTGTTTCTAACTGCTTTGGTACAGCAGCTAATGGGTCGAATCCGGACAAGAGTTGGGGTGTGTGGAGATAAATGGAAAAGCTTGTCGGGATGTCGAAAAGCAATTGGAGTGGTGGTGAGAAATTCGGAGTGAAAAGTTGTTTTTGTTAAGTTTCCAAGCTTGGAAGTTGTTGAGCCTGTGATGCTAAACTGGCAGACTGGGCAGGAAAATGCAACTGCAACCCGCAACGAAGGTCCAGTCGATTAAGTTATTGCCGCCGACGTCTCATAGTAAGTGGTACTTTCAATTCTGCAAAATATCTATGGGGCAAGAAGTACCTCATACGAAGGTCCCTGTGATAACGTGGGCTAGGTCCACTATATTGCCTTATCCTAGAGGGGTATGTAATGGCGTTTACTTATCGATTGGTTGGCATGGCTACCAGCATTTAAGCCACAACTTCTCTTTAGCAGCCACAGGGAACTCTGAAGATATTCCAAGTCAAGGTTGGGTCAATTCGAAAGTTGACTATCCATTTCACAAATAGCTCGCTATTCTTACTTTGTGCACATCTTGATGACAAAGACTGCTCTCGCATCTTAATTGTCATACACACTATTTCAGTTCACGAAGCTCGATAGGATATCCCTGTACAACAAGCAACGACACAGACCATGGCAGAAGTTCAAGCTCGTCTCCAGAGTCTCTCTGAAGATTACACTAAGCTGCAACAAGAGTTACAAGCAGCTGTCCAATCACAGCAGAAACTTGAGGCTCAGAAACAAGAGAACTCGAACGTCCAGAAAGTCAGTTAACCGATATATATATCATATATCCAGCACTTACATGTCATATCTAGGAATTCGAACGTCTTAAGGATGGTGAAAACATTTACAAATTGGTCGGGCCGGTGTTATTGAAACAGGAGAAGGTCGAGGCTGAGAGCACAGTTAATGGACGGTTAGAGTTCATTGGCAAAGAACTGTAAGCTATGACCTTTCTCAGTTTATTCAGCTTAAACTAGATATTAACATATTCATCTTGGCAGTGAAAGGACAGAGGATCAGATCAAGGAGATCCAAGACAAGATTGAGAAGAAGAAGGGAGAAATCATCCAGACCCAAGCAGGATTACAAGCAGGAGCTGGTGCGCCTGGGAAAGTTGCTGCGAAGGGTTGAGAGTGAAGTGAGGCTGGTCAATTTGCAAATAAAAAACAACTTTCTTGCATAAGACTAATAAGGGATGATTAGACCCTAAGCATCAAGATATAAGCTTGTTGTCTAATAGTCTTTGCTAAAGGTTGAAATACCCTGCTACCTATGAAACCTAATAGGCAAGATTCGAGAATGAAATACCCCTTGCGAATGTCAAGCCACAAGGGAACAAACAGCCTTGAAGGGGTTTGACATGTCTGACATGTGCTGTTATTAAGGTTGTAGACTAGAAGCGTGACGTAATCATGGATGTACCCGACCTAACCCAAGCCGTCAAGGTAAGTACCCCGCGATCTGGTACCTGGACCCCTCCACCGTCCGCCTTTAAAGTTCTAAAGTGCCTGCCTTAAACATTCCAAGCCAGCGCTTAGAGCCGGTCACTTGGTCACAAAGCCGTGTGTCGCAAGTTATTCTTGAGTTGCTAAAAGTTTCCCTCAACATCAACATCTGACCATCCAACTTCGTCGCAAGCTACCACGCAATCTCTCTAGGCACCCACGAACCGAACAATCATATTATACCTACACGTCCGCCGATATGATCATTATCCATTGACTAGATCCGTCGCTGTCGTCGAATCGAATGAAGCTTCACGCCATTGATTACTTCCAATTCCTCTAGCTTGTTCGGCAACGGCCGGCACCCAACATCATGCGAAGATGGCACCGTCTGACCTGGCACCTTTGAATGCTACTCGTCCATTAAATATTAATGAAATCTCCAAGAGAGCAGAGGCATTCTCTTTTAATCCGGACATTCCATTAACGTCATGGCTGCGCACTGCAAATACCCTGAATCAAGAAGTAAGGGCATATTGTCACCTTTGTGTATATCTCCACTATGCAGCGCTGACTGTGTCTTCTTTATATATAGGGAAGAATCTACCTTCAAGATGGCAACTTTGGCCAGGCTTACTTTCTTTACTTCCGATACCTGCACTTACTGTTAAATTATCTCTCCTCACATCCTGATGCTAAAAGCCAGGAGGGGAAACGAGCCCTCAACGAGATTAACAAGTCTATCCCAGACATCGTAACAAATCTCGAAAAGATAAGACCTATCATCAGGCGAGAGTATGATGAGTGGAGCGCATCCGAAGCCAGAAGACAGCAACAACAGCGACGAGCTGACCGCATCAAATCCCCGTCGACATACGAAGAATACACTGTTCAAGATCCAGCTCTTTCCTCATCAAACCGAATACTCGATGCTGGCGACAACCAGGACTTGGCTGTGGAATTGGCTCGGAATGAGATTCGACGCAGAGATGCAAATAGAAAAGCAACTAGACGAACCAATGTCCCACCAGGAGAAGAGCAGACCAGGCGGACGGCAGGGTTTTGGGACAATTGGACTGATGACTTGGCCAATAGACAGGCTGAAGAGGAAGAGCTGTTCAGGAGACAGATGGAATCGACGAGAAGGGAGTTGGATCGAAGCGATATTCCCCAAAAGGAATCGCGCCTTCCTGTGACTCAAGGGCATTCAAGTTATCGATATCCGTCTATCACCAAGTCCCAACCAATACAATACGAAGCCTTGCAGCCATACCGCAAACCTTCGCCCAGCCCGCAACCTCCGCGTCCACCCAAAGAAGGTATTGCACAGGAGCTTGAACCTAGGCCAAGTTATATGCCCGATCCTCTCACGCCTGAACTCCCGGGTGAAGATCCAATATATCGTGAAAGGAACTTCCTACTCCCTACGCCCCCGCCTAAGGAACATGAAGACCCGCCGATACCCCCAAAGGTACTTGAAGATCCGCCACTACCTCCTAAAAAACAGCAACGACTCACGTTTAAGCCGGCGGCTTATCTCGAGAGTGGGGAACCCATCCGATCGATCTTCTTACCTAGTCAATTACGACGCCAGTTCTTATCCATTGCATCTGAGAACACCAAACGTGGGCTTGAGATGTGCGGAATACTGTGCGGAACCGCCGTTAACAATGCGCTATTCGTGCGTTGCCTACTTATCCCCGAGCAGAATTGTACTTCGGATACGTGTGAGACGGAGAACGAGGGAAGTATGTTCGAGTATTGTATGAATGAAGACCTACTTGTGCTTGGCTGGATTCACACTCATCCAACTCAAACTTGCTTCATGAGTTCCAGGGACTTGCATACGCAGGCTGGGTACCAGGTCATGCTACCGGAGAGCATTGCGATTGTGTGTGCTCCGAAGTTCCAACCTTCGTAAGTAATTTTCCCATCTTCCTTGGCCGAAAAAGGTCAAAATTGTCATGAGGTATCACATGATGAGGCTAACAATTCCGTTAGGTATGGCATCTTTCGTTTGACTCATCCACCGGGCTTGGATCACATTCTTAACTGCAAACAATCAGCTACATTCCACCCTCACAGCGTAGACAATCTATACACAAAGGCACAGCACCCACCCGGTCATGTCTACGAGACTGACAGGCTCGAATTCTACGTACATGATCTGCGTCCAGGTGCCCGCAACAATGCGGTACAACACAAGAACTTCTAGGATATGATTTCTAAGAGAATAGGTCGTGGTGCTCAAGCCTGCACGATGTTCGTGTGTGCTCTTCTTTGCCTGTGTCCTTGGTGTGCACAATGCTTGCTGAACCGGCAGACAATGAGCCGAGTTAGCACCAAGACCAAAGAAGATTGACTCAAAGGGTTTTACGTCTTCTACATTCAAGCTTCCCATTAAGCACTTGATTTACTGGGCATCGGCGGCCTTGGTACTGCATAGCATAGGCGCTCGGAGACTTCGGTTTGTTTGGGACTACAAGGTAGAATCATTGGCTGTGGTTGATCGCACTAGCAGCCTCGAGACTTGATTTTGCGAGGTTAGAGGGTAGATTCGGAAGAGGTAGTAGAAGGAAGTAATTCAATTACATTCCAACAGGATCTAATATATTGTGAAACGTTCACGTCTCCTAATGATTTGAGTAGAAGCACTTTGGATAAATTTGATTCACCACATGGGGGGACTGCCATTGTCATTGCTAATGGATGCAATTCTTCTAGATATGCTGTGTTGCCATATGCCTAACCCATTCCGATGCCTGAACCGTTGTTATGTTTGTTATTCGTACATACATACATTTCCCGCCGTTAGTCGCCATATAACCATATCAGTCCAGTCTAGTGTCAGAAGAAATTGCCACTACATCAAACAATATACGTAAAAATTCCATTTCCGTTTCGGTCGTTTCCAATACCTTTCCCTTCTCTCTCCCCCTTTACTCCTTTCTCTCGTTGGTATATTTCGGTATCGGTATCGGTATCAGTATCTCACGTCCACATCGAAAGACATCCCCTCATCCAGCCGTTCATCATCGGACTCGTCATCGTCGTCGTCGTCGTCGATAATCGGCCGGCGTACGCGTCGAGCACGGCCTCGAGCATCAGGACATGCCGTAGCGGCTATACTGCCACGGCCTTGGGCTGTCGGTGGCGGGACCAGCTCCGAAACATCGTGATGCCGAGCACGTTGTGCCAGCCCTTGCGCGAAGAGCCCGTTCGGGAAACGCTGGTCGTCGACTTGTTCCCGTTGTTGCCGTTGCCGGCCGCCCCGTTGGCACCGCCGTTGCCGCCGTTCCCGGCATCGTGGTGGCCCGCGGTCGCCGCTGAGGGTTTGAGGGAGCTGGCGCGCGTGGAGCTTCCGGAGTTCTCGTTGGGCTCGACGGCCGTTGCGGTCGGGGACTGGGGGGGCTCGTCTGCTCCTGAGGAGGTAGGTTTTCCGGCGGCGTTGGCGGCGGTAGAGTCTAAGGCCTCAGACTCGTTAGTGGTCTGCGCTGCTGGATCTGTTGCGGCCTTGGACTCGTCCGTCACCTGAGCTTGCTGGGCTGCTTCTACGGCCTGGAATTGGTCCGCGGCGGGCGCCTCCACGAGGATGGACGGCACGGCTTCCGGTTCCGGCTCCGGCTCCGGCTCGAGCTTGAGGGCCGACGTGCGCGCCGTGATGGCGGCGAGCTGGTCTAGCGCCAGGTCCCATTCTACGACGTGTTCGTTGCGTAATCGGGCGAATACCCTGGTGGTGTATTAGTTTAGCATCCATAAGTACATGTTGAAGTGACGGTGAAAGCGAGAATACTTACCTCTTCAGCGTCGCGTGTAGCGAGAAATCGCCCAGGAGCGTGATCTCTTGCTTCTCGAGCCAGAAGACGAAGTTCTTCTTCCAGTTGTCGATCTCGGGGCTGAGGGCGGCGTCGAGCAGTTGCGCGGCGGCGACCGTCTGGTCCGCGGCGATCATTTCCCGCAGGGTCTCGAAGATGTAGCGGCCTAGCGTCGCCTGTTGGATCTGGCTCCGGACCTCGGCGTCTTCGATCGAGGCCGCGATCCGCTCCTCGAGGAAAACGCCGGGGGTCGTGCTTAGGCCGGCTCCGAGAACCATGCCGATGACGGGACCGCGGATGGCGCGGCCGATGAAGGCGCCGAGGACGGTGCCGATCGTGACGGTGGCGGAGTTTGTGGAGGCTGCGATGTTTCGGTAGAGACGCTCGCTCTCTTTCTCATCCGTCACGCGGTGCAGACCGGCGATAGCGGAGCCTACGAGGGGAATCTGTTCGGCGATGGCGGCCGCCCAGTTGTCTTTGCTGGAGTTCTCCTCACTAGAAGAAACGGTTAACCCGGGCTCATTCCAAGTCGTGTATTTCCTGATGGCGTATGATAAGACGGTGGAGGCACATGATTTCAAGGTGGGTATTTGCAATGGAGGCATTTTCATGGCTAGTATTGTGGGAGAGTAAACGTACGGTCTGAGGAAGGATAGCTTTCCATTCCGGTTTACGACGATTTCAGCGAGATCTATCTCGGCCGGATGGTGCGCGCCCGCGTAGTCCGCGAGCTCGGCGCTGAGCTTGACGCTATCCAGGCCCTGCTCGAGCTTGAAATCTCGACCGGACCGGGAGTAGTGTCTCTCGCCGGCCTCAAACTTGCCGTTTATGTTGCCGATGTTCTCGTCGAGGTTGAGCTCCGACAGGTAGAGCTTCCCATCGGGGCCAACGACCAGGCCTCGCAGGATGGCATATTCGAGTTGTAAGCTGGCGGTGTAGAATAATAACGAGTCGTTCCTAGAGCGGGTCAGTCATTGATGTCACGAGGAAAAAAGAGACCCTTCAATTGAAGCGTAGGAATATAACTTACAGCTTCTGGAACTCGAGACTGCCGTCCTTATTCCTGATGAACAGGTCTAGGTTGACGGACGTCTCAGGTGCCCATGCGCCCTCCCTCGTCTTCAATTGCGCACGGAGGAAGGGGCCTTGAAGATGGCACGACCAATGCTCCGCACTGTTGTACCATTTATCTATGGTGACGTCGAAGGAGCCGTCGTTGTTGCCGACGTGTTCGTTGAGGTTGAGCTTAGAGAAGGTCCATGAGCCGTCATCCTTCTGCAAGATGGCGGCCAGCCAGGAGCCGCGAAGCTCGACTTGCTTAGAAGTCAGCGAGAAAGCCATCTTGGGCTGGCTCGAGGCGGTGTGTGGGTGTCAGTATAATGGAGCGATGGAGCAGCTGTAAGATAACTTGAGAGAAGAATATAAAGACTCCAGGTCAAGTATCGTGGGAATGGGCAAAAGCAAACCAGTCTTTGTTGTACCCGCAACTTCACTGTCTTGATTTGCTTCCCACAAGTTTTCTGAGCCGACACCAACGAGACATATTATAGTCTTGAATTGACTTCATAACTTTCGCCTTCACAAGCATATTCAGGGGCAGAGGGTTTATTCATCATGCCCTGCCACATGTCTGGGGCCACCTCACGGCGATGCGCTGTATTACAACTCATTCGGTATCCACTTGCCTGCCTATTGGTCGCTTCGCTGCCATAGAGGACGGATCGCGCACTGACATGGCCATATGATCTTAGAACTCAAGACGAAACCGTTTGCGGCGTTGGCGGACGTCAAACCAATAGCTGCGATAATGCATGTAGGTCTTCTGCCTGATGAACCCAAAGCCATCTTTTAGACGTTATGATGTGGCGCCCTCAGAGGAAAAGCCAGCGGTGTGATGACGGCGAGTGGATTCGACGACGATCACATGAATGGTCGGACACACAGTGCATATAATTCGACGAGGGGATCGTGGATTTTTTGACGACTTACCATTGGCTAATGATCCAAGTCTGGGTATAAAATGTCTATAATTAGTAGCTACAAAGCATAGAAAGCATAGAATCTGTATAACTTTCTGTATAAGGCTGTATAAGTAAAGGGACAAGCATCTGAGACAGCCCTGAAATATACACATACATAAAGAGAAAAAAACTGATTCGGGTGGTTCTCTCGTGCCTGTAACCGCGCAGGCCGCGTACAGGAACGGGTGGATTTCAGGGACCTCGTCCAGCGAATCGGAGTATTTCCTCTACTATGACTCCTCCAGCCTGATATACGGACGTAGTATGGGTCCCTGAGCCTGATCTCACCCAATCTGAGCGGTGAGATCGGGGGATTTAGACACCAGGGGGCGCGGATTGAATTCGATGCCCGATAAATTCCTGCAAAACTACGAAAAAAATAATCCGAATAGAGCATGTCGTACGACGCTCAAAGCTATCTATAGGAGATATGAGAGACTAGCTGACTCCTCTGTGGATTATACAGCCCCATCGCCAACCACGGCGTCAAGGTTTCCCTCGGCTTAGTAACGATCTCCTTAGTCGAAGATTCACATGCCTTCCCCATGGTTCTCAAAGGATGCATTGTTAGGGTCCTATCCACCCTGCCATTGATATGTACGATGTGAACTATTCCTTCTTCAAGATCCCCTTTGGCCCATTCTCTCGATCTCCACCACAAGACTTTGGTATCCATCATCCTTCTTACGAAAAAACATCGTTATCAACGTCTCCCAGCCAAACATCGACTTCTCCAACCCCCGTCCAGAATCCACTCAAGAACTTGCCTCCCTCCTCCCCATTACGCTCGTCATAACCAACATATGTATCACAATGGTACTGTAGGCTCCAATTCCTTCCCCCTCTAGTCCTTTCTAGCCCATTAACGGCTTTGCGCGCGCATCCCTCGGTTTCTACCCCTCCTAGAGGGGACCGAAGAGGCCTGGATCAGAAGTCGTCCTGACCGCGTTGTCGTGCTGCAGCCGGGCGTCGGCACCGTGACCGAAAAACGCGGTACGCACGCGTTATCGGGCTAGAGGAAGAGTCATACCGTGGATGATGTGTACGCCGCAAAACCCGGCGAGGCTGGCCGTACACCGTACACCGGACACGAGGTGGCGGGTTTTTCTAAACCGGGGGTTTGGTCCTTTGCAAGGCCTTGGTTTCGTTTGTTCACCGCCTCGAGCCGTGGTGCCGAGGTTGGGCAAGATGGCTTTTTCAGCCACGCGTCTAGCGTGTGCGCTATTAGATAAGTAGGAAATTTCTGCCCAGGTGCTCGCCACCATCACTAGGTACTCTGGAGCTGCGGCCGTCGGTGTATCGACGATTTCTTAGTTTCGGCTACGCACGCTGTCGGCATATCTACAGCCGGCGGTGCGGTTGTTCCACAGTACGGCTTCGGAAACCACACGGGTGCATGTGGTTGCCGTGGTAACGTTCGCGCTCATATAAAAGTGCTAAATCTTGAGTCGCTTGCCACTGGCTAAACGGATTGGACGATTAGATACGATCAGACCTATAGGTCACCCATGAAGTTCATGAAGCATCATCCACTAAGGAGTAGTCTCCCCGCGGTGTGTGTAGGTACCTAGCTGAGGGCCAGAATTGTGCCGACACTATAGGTGATCCTAGCCTCCAAACCCATTTAAGTGCATGCGGTTTCATGATTATCTGTCTGACAATTCAAAATCTGCTTCGGGTGAGACCTACAGAATTGACCATGACAAGACCTGTCTATGGCGCTTGGCAGTTAATGCATACCTATGAAGTTCGGTTTGAACCTGGTAAGTTTATGAAAAGGGGTAACATCTGTCCATCAACTCGAAAAAAAAAATCCTTAGGAAAATATGATCTTATCGCCCTCTTCCCCCCTCATGCTTTCGTCAGACAAAATAGCAGTCACAGCTGAACAGGCTCGTATAGTGTCTATACACAGTGCAATATCTATACGGCACTGTCGAATCCAGTCACTGTTATCACCAACAATATATCCTGGCAGGTTGGTGATTCCTACAAATCGAAATTAGCAGCAATATTTCTGCCTATATGCGGAAGAGTGAAATACGGTTACACTCAACGATATATCAATGTGATGTAGGTATCAATGCAACCAGCAAAAAGCTTGATTATGTCTTCGTATGGCACAGCATGGCTTCACAAGGGCGCCCCCAGACCACCCGAAGACAACGCCACGGCGTTCATTTAGGGCAATAATCAGCCAGCCTCACGCGCGTGAGAAATTATCGCCATCATACGGGTCAGCCTAACCAGGACGGCCAATACAAGTTTATCCAACTTTCTCCGTCCCGTTCAAGAGGCATTACTTATCCCAATTGCTCGAGATGAATATCGAACTCGACGGATCATCCTACAAGTATAGATTAGCTCTTTTCAGCTTGAGATTAACCATGCAGAATGAGGCTACGGAAAGACGACCTCGAAGTACAGTCCCCCAGATTGGATGATTCGTGCATATTTGGGTATCACAGCAGCGCTGAACCATCATGGGTAGGTAGAATCTATTGCCTGTGCAACTCCAACATTGGGGGCTGGTCGCTCCTGGGATGCGACCGTATAATATCAGCGCTTTCTTATACCCGCGTCTTTGCTGTTCATTTCTTTCTCTCTTTTGAGGTTTTATTTCTACTCTTCCGAAGCTCAATTCCGTAAATTTATCACTCAGATCATGGAACAAGGGCGAACATCGGAGGCCCGGTGAGGAATAAAGACATTATTCCGCAGGAAGTCAAAACTCAGCGGCTATGGCTTCCGTCCCGGCCTCATCCGGTGGTGGGTCGGCAACTACCATCACGGCAATATGCGCAGTGGCCATCGTCCTTGCCATCATCTTCGTCGGGCTCCGGTTCTACATCCGCGTATTCACCCGCGCAGGATTGGGATACGACGATTGGCTAATTTTACTGGGCGTCGTTACGGCACTGATTACTATGGTGTTACTTCTAGTGGGTACGTTGATCGATTTATTCTTCGTAGGTCGTCGTGCGCGCAGTCTGTACCTGTGCTTAGTAACGTTTTTGTAGGTAATACGATCGATCCGGATGGGCAGCAGGTCACGGAAAATACGGACCCGAATTTTCATTACACTCACGCCGACACGCTCTATGTCACATACGTATTCTCCGCCACTGTCCTGTATTTCACTACGGTCAGCACAACCAAGCTAGGGATTTTGGCCATGTACTACCGCATTTTTGCCCGAAATAACGCTTTCCGGTACCAGTTGTTTGTCTCCGGAGGACTGGTGGCATGCTGGTGGGTAATTTGCACCATCCTGGCGATAACGGAGTGCCTTCCGATAGAGAAAAATGTACAAGCCCCCCTCAATAACCCGGAGTATTGTCGCAACTTTAACGTCTTCTGGATGGCGACTGGGGTATGTGAGATCTTCATCGATACCCTTATCCTGACCTTGCCGGTGGGAGCAGTGTTGAGGATGAGTCTGTCGTTAAGACAGAAGTTTGCCGTCTCGGGGATTTTTATGCTAGGCTCATTGTAAGTGTTACTAGAGTATATACCCTTACCAGATATAATTAATACGTTAACGGCCTCCTAGTGTTATAATAACCGGAATTGTCAAGGTTGTCTTGGGATATGACCCTCCTAAGCGTTCGCCATCCTTCTCCCAGGCGGAAATATGGTCAGCTATACATACGTGTATGGCTACTATTTGCGCTTGTCTCCCTATATCCAGGCCCCTTATCCGCCGTGTTGCCAAGTCATCTTTTGTTACCAAGACCTCAACCATTCTATCTGTTCGACGACAGACCGATAGCCACCTATCCGAGCGTCGGTACATGATCGAAAACAGTAGAAACCATGATGGCAATGAGCACGGAGGCAATTTTGCCATGGAACCTTTGCGTGGTTTGCCTTCCGGGGAAATAGTTATTCTCCAGGGTCCTTTGCAGCAGCCAAGTGCAGCGCATCTGGGCTCGCTTTCCGACCAATTTGATGACTTGCTGGTACCTCAGGAAACCCCACAGGGTGGTCGACTGTCGCGTCTTCAGAGACGGTCTCCAGCAGAAATGGCGGAATCATCCATGACCGTACAGTTGGCAAGCTATCTTGAATACGGCACGGATAGCAGCGAGACGGTTCATTCGTATAGCGGCCGAGCCTAAGTTGAGTGCGCGTCAGTGTGTATAATGATACATAAAATCTTGAACTTGGCGTGTCTACCACGTGTGCATAGATTAGAGTGTGAACCATCAGCTCTTTAAACGCGTCACCAAAAATCCCACAGAAATCTCATCAAAGACAATTGGTTCGTTGCGGTCTATGTTTATCTCTATTAAATATCAATTGCCTTCTAATAACTTTTAAGGCTGAGAGGGGAGCTGCTTCGCAGACAGGGAGTCAAATATGTCTTCCCGCCTCGAAGCAAAGACCGTTCACGAAACGATGCCGAGATGACTAGCGTATTCTCAAGCATGCTTTGTGCCAATCTTCTACAGAAGCTGAAGCTGTTATAGAATCAGTGCCCAGTTCTGTAAAATATCTTATGGCTAGGTACTTGGTTGCAGAACTTACCAGCCCCTAACATGACTGTAACGTCGTGCTAATCGTTGGTCTAGGGCTCCAATTATGGAAGTCTGCATTTCCAAGAATATTTAACCCACTGGCAACATTGGGATTCCTTTCAGCCTTCTATCGAGGGTGTACTTTCCCTCTACCCATCCAGAATTCAGTTCGAGGCCGTTTCGATTCTTGCGCATCCCCGTTACTCCCGCCGCCAGCCGTTTCTCTTTTTGGAGGCCTTGGGTCATTCGGGCGGATATTAAGCCCGGCGACGCCCTTCAATCCCATCTTTCCGACTGTGCTCTTCTGTAGCGACGGTACTTCGGGTGTGCCCATGCCATCTTGGGCAAATTTGTTAGCTTCTCGCACTAGTCGATTTGAGTCCCAGCCCAGCGGTTTGACGAAACTTTTGTAGAAGCCTAGCCACGCCTGATATACCTTTTCGTGGAAATCTGCGTCTAACTCCTTGGCTATCCCTAGAAATTCCTGGCGGGCGCTGACATCTGGTTTTGCTTCCTCGAACTTGATGTTTTTCAATATCCGTCGCGGAAAGAAAAGCTCGTGCGAGGTGACAATGAAAGTGCCTCGTCCCTCGGCACCCGCACGGGCGGTTCGCCCAAGCCGGTGGACATATGATTCTTTATCTGAGGGGATGCCGACTTGGAAGACGTTGGTGACTGATGGAAAGTCCATGCCTCGGGCGATGACGTCGGTGGCAATGAGAATTTGGCTTTTCGCCTTGCGGAACTGTTCTGTTACATTGGTTCGTTTGGATTGCGACATTCGAGAATGGATGGTGACAACACTAGGTAAGCCAGGACATTTCTCAAGTACTTCTACGTAGAAATCGGCCAGGCGTGCCGTTGGCGCGAATACTATGGCTTTGAATGTATCGTGGCCGACAATTTCGCGCTCTTGACGTAATGCACCGAGGAGAACAGGCCCTAAATCGGAAAAGGTGTTGGCTACGATAAGCTGCTGGGGAACACGCTCGTGCGTGTTTAACTCGCCTTCAGCGATAGTAGAGATAGTCTTGTAGTCCTGAGATAAGGCTAATTGGGCAACCTTTTTGACGTGTTCGGGAACTGTAGCGGAGAAGAGCATGCCTTGTCTCTTCCTGGCGGTCCTGGGAGGGAGGCATTGGATGATCTTCTTGATGGGGTCGATAAAGCCCATGTCTAGAAGTCTATCGGCTTCATCTAAGACCAAGGTGTCAACGCTCTGTAGCCTGTTTTTGACCGAACTGTCTTCTGTCGTTAAATGATCATGGAGTCGACCAGGAGTGGCAATCAAAATATCACAGCCTCGTGAAATTTTTTTCTCCTCTGCGTCTTTGTTCGTGCCGCCGATCGCGATGCATACATTGAAATGTTTCAGGCGTTGTAATAAGGCGCGTGCCTCCTTGGCGATTTGCATTGCTAGCTCTCTAGTAGGTGAAATGACGAGAAGAGAGACTTGGCCATTTAGACGCGCCTCTCTATGGATCATCTTTTGGAGGGCGGGCAATAAGAACGCGATAGTCTTTCCAGTTCCAGTTTTAGCTTGCGCCAACATATCGCACTGGTCTTTTAGTAGAGGATAGATGGTGGCTGCTTGCACTGGCGTCATGTGTTCGAACTTCAGATCTTGCGAGATTGTCGCTAGCAAGACAGGATCAATGAGGCCATCCTTTGCTAGGTCGGCAAACAATGGTGTATCCGCAGGCGTGGGAATGCTTGGGAGGCTTTCTACCAAATCTCCATCTGATGTAGGAACATCTTCCTCTGCATTTGGCTCTGTCTCGACCTGTGCCTCTGCGCTTGAAGCAGCGTTACGCATTGCGTTCAAGGTTGAAAAGGCGCGGGCTTGCGGTTGGCGGTCCTTGTTTTTGCCTTTATTCTGATGAGGGCTTCTCAAGGCTAATGATTGTAAACCACCTGCATTATCAATAGATTCAGATGGCTGAAATTCTTGACCATATGGTTGCTGATGTCTTCTACCTCTGCCAGGTCTGCGGCGAGGCCTAGATGAAGTTGTATTGGGTTCTTGCATGGTGAGAATGGATGAAGTAGAGAGAAGTCTAGTTGAAAGAATAAGGGAGCGAGGAAGTTGGCTTTTTATGTTTATTATTCTCAACATTGTGTGTCGAATATTGTACAAGTTAGGAATTTTAATAAAGTGTCGGACCCTGAACTTTGTTATGAACCATTATGCACCTTCCTTCCATTACTAGGTAGGTAGAGATTTCTTTTGTCGCTAGGCGCTTTCCTTGCGACCATACACAGTACGAATAAAGTAACTAGAATAGGCCTAGTACGAGATCGTAGCCGAGATGTTTCTCCCTTTCCGAGCAAGCGAATAGATATGATTGGTCCGTGCACATCAATTCTTACCAACACTTCAACATCATCAAATCGGCCTAATTGAATCTTTGGATAGATACATCTATGCATGGCGGACATCATAGTCACACAATGCCATCAAATTACCAACTCAAACTAGATCGCAAGCAGTCACAATCAAAAGCATTATAGCAAACCACAGATGAAAGGAAAAAATAGTGACTTCGTCAGCCACCGTGTATTGCTCAGTAAACTATCTAACCCACAAGTCTCCTATGCCCATTCAGGGGCATATGACCAGTTCGAAAGTCTTCCAGTTTATCCAGCGTTCCCTCTCAATTTTTTTTCTATTTTTTGTCGTTTTTTTCCTCCACTGAACCTGCTACCACGCCGAATGTTACATTAAGAGGCGTTGTCAGAGGGGAATCCCAGGTTCTAAAAATGTTGGTCTGTTTCGTTGCATGACTTGGGTGTGATCTGGCGATTGGAATTGTTTCGAAGAGTCTTTGTAGAAGTAGTCCGTGGTGCGTTTGCGTTGATGACTTGGCTGCAACACTTCATATTCACGTGGACGAGATGATTGTCGGTGAGCGGGACTACTTCCCAGCATGCAGGTTATTCGTAACCAGATATCAGATTGCTCATCCGATGATGGCAATTTCTTAGGATCAAAGATTTTGTTGCGGGTGAAATTGGAGATACTACATGCCGTAGTATCAATGCTCCTGCAGTCGGATCGATGCAGTGCAAATAACAATTGTATAGGTTGAATAGCCCGAGTGACAGTATTACCTTGTCTGAATGTTTGCTGTCCACGGGCAAGGTCTTTGGTGAAAGTGCTCGTTGAATTTGTTTCGGGGATGGATATGGAATTCAACCAAAGAAAGTTCGTAGGGAAGAGGGGCGAGTTGGTCGGACAAAATGCTGGGAATGAGGCGACGGCGTACAACGAGTCGTCGATATGGTAAGGTTCCCCTCTCTTCGTAGTCATTCCTCGTCATCGAGTACACACCATCCATGCTTCCTGAAAGTTTGTCTGATGCCAACCACCTCGCATAGGTGGATAGAAAAACGCCCAACGCCGTATTTTGCCCCCTTCCTCGATTTCGTCCAAACGTAAAATATCCCGGTCTCATGTGATTGAATGCACAAAGAATCGCCTTCATGAGATCGAGAAACGATTTGGAAATCAAGGAACCAACGCAGAAGTCGTAAAGGGTATGTTACAAATCACAAGAAGAATCCAGAAGAAATATGTACAGTGGAAATGGGACGAAGCCCACGAGACCCCTGTTGATGCCAGAGTTCCGGCACGAGGTCTGAATGCGTCCGCATATATTCCGGACTTACTGGGGCGGCTGACCCTGGCCTCGGCCGCCACCACGATAGTTGTTGTAACCGCGGCCTCGACCTCGGTTGCCGCCGCGGTTACCCCCACGGCCCACTCCACGGTTGGACTGGCCATACTGGGGAGGTTGCGAGTCATTAAAGTGCCCACCGCGGTTGCCTTGATTACCCTGTCCTCTCCCCTGAGACGACGAGGCATTGTTCGATTGCTCGATGGCCTGTGACTGAGAGCTCGAGTTCAACGACCTAGCAGCGTACGTATTGACCGGTCGGGGGATACTCTCTGGGTTGTCGTAAACGTACAGGCTCTTGTCGATGGTAGCAGGAATCGGCTGGATCTCGGTGCCTAGATCCTTCTCAATGTTATACAAGTTGAATCGGTCATCCCAGTTGATCAGGTTAATAGCTAGACCAAGATGGCCGTATCGTCCGGAGCGACCAATACGATGCAGATAGGTTTCCGCATTCTTCGGAAAGTCGAAGTTGATGACAACGTTCACGGCCTGAATATCGATACCACGAGTCAAGAGATCAGAACAGACAAGATTACGGCAGACGCCGTTGCGGAAATCGTGAAAAACCCGGTTACGGGCGTGCTGTGCCATCCTGGCATGGCTGTAGAAACATGAATAGCCAAGCTCTGTTATCTTCTTAGCTAACAACTCCACACGATTGGTCGAGTTGCAGAAGATAATGGACTGGTTGATCTGCAACTTAGAAAAGAGCGTGTTCAAGCAGTGGACCTTCTGCTTCTCTTCGACAAAGGCATAGTACTGAGTGATACCACGCAGCGTTAATTCGTCCATGAGGTTGATCTCATAAGGTCTTTCCATGTTCTTATCCGAGAAATCCTTGACGGACAATGGGAACGTCGCCGAGAAAAGCATGATCTGGCGATCCTTAGGGTGGAACTGGAGTAGTTGTTCGATGACCGGGGTGAACTCGATAGAGAGTAACTTATCGGCTTCATCCATGATGAACATGGGACATTCGCTGAGATCGGCGACGTTCTTACCAGCTAGATCGAGGATACGACCGGGAGTGCCCACTACTATGTGGACAGGGTCCTGAAGACGGACAATATCATCACGAAGAGTAGTACCTCCGGTCGTGACCATGACGTTGACTCCGAGGTGTTTGCCGAGAGTTTTGCAGACCTGGGATGTTTGCATAGCCAATTCTCTTGTTGGAACCAATATTAAACATTGAATCTTGTTGACCTTGGGATTAATTCGTTCTAGAGCAGGTACGACAAAAGCCGCTGTCTTGCCAGTACCATTCTTCGCTCGGGCTAGGATGTCTCGTCCGGTCAGGCCTACCGGTATCGACTCTTCTTGGATTGGGGACGGTTTCTCAAAGCCAGCTTCGAAGATACCCATTAATAGGTCTCGCTTAAGATTGAAGTCCTCCCATTCCAAGCCCTTGGTGTTTGTCACGTCCTAGATAAGAGATTAGCTTGTGTCTATGTGCTCACAAATCATCCAAGTACAAACCTCTGTTTGTTGTCTGCTGTCACGGGTAGGGATATTCAAGCTCTTCTTCCAATCATCGTTCTGAGTAACATCGTTGAGGGTTGAGGCCCTTAACTTGGCTGCTAAAGAGTCCGTCATTATATCTGTGGAGTCCGCGTTGGTGGTGCGGAATCGTCTTAGATTGAGGTTCGTCTGTGTTTAAGGTGTCACGGTCTAATAATCAACTTCCTGCGCGGACCATGTACCACTGCAAGGTGACACGCAAGGGAAGAATATGATTGTGTGAAGAGACACTGGATGATGTGGTAGAGTGCGAGAGGCTCTAACGGGAACGAACTATCGTGCGTGTGGTGTTGTAAATATCGTGTTAAAGGAGGTTCCAAGGGTAGGTGTGACAGCTGTTTATCGGACGGAAAGGTGATTTGTGCGTGGATTCGTGAAATAGGTCGTGAATTAATCGAAAGTGGATTGGTCCTTTAAAAGTCAGCGGAGCTGTGGGTATTTTCAAGGTCTCGATGACGCTAAGGTACGCAGTATCATCAGCTTCGTACTCAATGGAACAGAACTCAATGAAATGAAACTCGAGCAAAATTGTAAGCGTAAATGCATGGATTCCTCATAGTTGTAAATACCGTTGGCTATAAGATTATCAAGCACCAAGGGAAGGTCTCTAGATAACCTTATATTTAGGCAAACGGTATTGACCATGTGTATGTAGAGGGGGCCGAGCTGGTATTAACTATTCAATACACAAACACAGAAACATACCTTTGCGAAATCCCAATTTCCGTAGCTCGCGAGCCTTACTCGGTCGAATGAAGGATGTGAGAGCGATTCCTGAAACACGTAATGTGCACAAGGTGAAGCTACGATTGTTTGCTTTTGGATAGACCACTAGGAGTAGCGAAAAAGATGGTATATCAAGCGGCGAAAGGATTGTTCAGTAGTCGAGGGTCGAGGGTCGAGGGTCGAGGATCGCGGATCAAGGTCGTTAGTTTCAACGGTGAAATTTATTCTCGATTTGTATTCGCGAAGGAGTTTGCGGGTTAAATCAAAATCTTTGCAGGCTCGAGAAGACAAGTTCAGATGAAAGTCGTTGCTTGCTGTTATTTGTTTTAAAGTGAGTAGTAAGGCTGCAAAGCACCTAAGATGTTTTGTGTGTAATTGTGTAATTGTTGTGGAGCGGGAGAGAGGTAGGGTTAAGTTCAGAGAAGAAGCATCTCGTGGAAGTGGGTGGTGCGCGAGGAGTTTTGGGATTCGGGAGGAAGTTGTTTTAATCTGATCGTGCTGATGGATGGATCCGATGTGTACATAGTATCCACTACAAATTGTTTTCAATGGGGTTGATGCAGGGAAGAGGTACACTATGCATTGACATTTTCATAAGCCACAGGGTCACCTGGGCACATAACGGCCGGACCGGCTTTGACCCGACAGTTAGCAGGGACCTGACGGATGACCCCGCAACGTTGAGGCTGAAGGGGACAGGGAGCTGCGACTGTAAGGTGCGATAAGGGATCTTATCTGCGCAAGAAGGTACTTATAGCCAAGTACCTAATGGTATGACCGCATGACTGCAGTAGCTCTGAGTTAGCGCTAACCTTATAGCGGATAAAATACCTACAGCTGCTTCAGTATGCTGCCGATACGTACCAAATCGGTACATCGGTCTGCCGGTCTGCGCGGGTTTGAGCTATTTCAAACGTACAACGCCGGAATGCTATTGATCTATTAACTCTCTCTTATCCATCCAGGTCCCGAGAAGCAAACCATCACGCTTTCAGTTTTTCTTTATTAAGAACCTCGAATTCCACCGACTATCGTCCTCAACCATGAACCCTTCGCTGAGGGGATTCATGAGCAATGTCCTACATCAGTAGACTATGATTTTCAGGAAGTCAACTATCGCGCTTTGCTCCAGCTCTACTCTCCCCTCCTTCCTTTCGCCGCCGCACCTTTTCAATGGCCATTGCATAACGTCATCATGTAATTCGACCACACAACGGCCTCAATGGCCTCAAAATCGAGACCATGGACATATGACCCCACGAAAACGATGCTACGCCACTGTTTCCGAGGAACCCAAGAAGCCGCATAACTCTTCTCATGAGTACCATGCTTGGCCCTCATCGTCGCATCCAACACCCTACGAGATATTTGACCAACATAGAACTGCGCCTTATAGCAAGTCTAAATTCTATGAATTAGTCAAGCTCTATCATCCAGATAGACACCATCATACATACCACCACTCTCTGTCACATACGACTAGGCTGGAGCGCTATCGGCTGATTGTCGCGGCGAACCAAATCCTCAGCGACCCAACCAAGCGTCGCGCATATGATCTATATGGCTCGGGATGGGGCGGAGTACAGAGTATGGAGAACCTCTACCGCGCCGCTGACAAGTCATGGCGGGATATGCCTGGGAACGCCAGCATGAACGCAACGTGGGAAGACTGGGAGCGATGGTACCAGGAAAGGGACGGGAAAAAGGAAGAGCAGCAGCCGGTGTACATGTCTAATTCGCTCTTTGCCAGCGTGTTGTGCATGTTCGTTATTGTCGGCAGTGTTGGCCAGGCACGACGGGCAAGCTCGAATTCCATGAATCTTGTGGAGATGAAGGATGAGCAGCATGCAGCTATTCGTCGCGATATGAGAAAGCGACAGCTCGATCAAACACGCCTCAGTAGACAGGAGAGAATCGATAACTTTCTGAGACAAAGGGAAGGATGGGAACTAGCTTCATCGCCAGACACTCGCAAACCAGTTGCATCTGAGGGAAAATAACAACTCGGCAACTAGAAACCCCCTAAAAGTTCTACCCTGATGATGCTGATGTACTTACTTGTTTGCGCTATACAAGATATGATACTCGTACAACAGGTTGTATAACCCGAAATAATCATATACTACGGTCTTATATAATATACAACATGTCTTTTATAAGTATACACCTAGAATGACCAAGGACAGAGGATGCAAGCGCGATTGATCTCAACAGCTAAGTCTAGGAACACATCTGCCACTTTACACGCTAATAAGCAATGTGTCGTAAATGAGATTAATAGCACGACCTGGACATCACTTGCTCCCAGATGTTGCAACAAGGTGGAACGTAAGCGTATGCTCCTCATCAATCTTCCCACCAACCGACTTCCCAGCCCAACTATCATCATCCGTGAAAAAGGAGATATCAATCCTCGCCGGGCCGTCCGATGCACCCAGGCTCACAGCCGCCCCAGAATGCACCTTTTCACCAGCGATACTGCTAAGCTTCCACCCACCCCCCTCCGTAGTCTGCTTCTCAAATAGTGCATCGTAGACGCCCTTGGCACTTTTCGCCGTCGTCAGCGATTCGTGGTGGACTTCGACTTTAGCCACGCCCACGGCGCCGGACGGGTGTTTCGCGTTCCCCGGAGTCTCGAACGGGACCCTCATACGGCGAGGCGTGATGTCCACGCACCAGAAAGGCACAGCGCCTAGCTCAAGCGTCTCGCCGTCCTCGCGCTTCGCAAACGCAACGCTCCACTTCAGCACCTCGCCAGCTGGCTTCGTCCTTCCTCCGCGTCTCAGGTCGCCGTACACGATCCCCGTGTTCTGCTCCCGGACCTTGCGCTGGACTTCGCGGAACAGTTTCTCCGACCTCAGCTCCCCTCCGTCTCCCGCGGCCGCTCTTTCCTTTTCCCTTTCGGCTTCGTCTTCCGCCGTCGAAGGGAGCGTGACGGCCCAGTCGATGACCGTGCCCTCTTTCTTTGAACCCCAGTGATGTGAGGCCCGGTCGGCGGGATCGATGCCAGGCACGAATGCGATGAACTCGAGGTACGCGCCGTCAGGCAGGTACACGAGGGTGTTCTCCGTGCGGCCGTCGGCGTGGCGGCCCCCAGAATGGAAGTGGAAGACGTCCGAGAACCACGATGGTGGGGCTGAGAGGAAAGAGTGGGGGACAAGGATCACGATGTGATCGACGAGCGGGGTGGTGTCTGCGGAGGATGCCATTTCGTTAACGCTGTGTAAGTTTAGATATGCTCAATTGGCGGTAGATGATTCGCAGTGGCAAGTATTTGATGCTATATTATATACAGATGTAAACGTAGCATTTATATGTCGTGCTTTATTAGGTTAAATGACGTGACTCATAGCCCGTGGGTATCGGGCTTCACTCGGAGGTAGAGATCTAGTGAGATTAAGGGTGATAAATTCGTATGTATGCACATATATAGCAGCGAAATCGAATCTAGCTTTGGTTCTTAATAGTCGGGGCTATTTCCTCTAGCACTCGCTTCATAACCTTCTCAGCTTCCTTGGGATCGATTCTCTCCTCGGCACCGAGCCTGATCATTCGACCCACCAGGAACATTAGCTTCCCTTGGGGATAGTGCTTGTAGTCTACGAACTGTTTCACAACATCTTCTTGGCCTTCGACCGCGGTACGTGCGAGTTCGATATATTCGTCTTCGTTGAGTTCCTTGAACCACAGATCCTCCTGGTTAATTACCGCGTCGATTGTAAGATAATCTTCCGGTACCCTTCGGCGGAAGACGGCCCAGAGGAGCTCCTTAGCTATTTTGGCAGTGATCTTTCGCTGATGGAGGTAGAATAAGATATCGGCAAGGTGTCTGGTAGGCACACGGTCGCATTGGCCATCTTCTGTAAACCCTAGGTCTAGCGCGTCGTCGTCAATGCGTGCTGAAGTTAGACGATCTAACTCGTGTAGGGTCCAGTTTGCCGCAAGCTGGTAACCAGACAAGTATTTAGGTGAATTTGTGTCTGATCCGAATCGTTCGGCGAGAAGATGAACGACATTCCAAAAATATTCAACGCGCCTTCCTCCATCGAGTGCCACTAGGGACTGTGCATCTTTAGTCGAGAGCTCGAATCGACGAATTAGTTCTTCAACCTCGGCATCGGGGAGTTCACCCATAGATTCACGGAGATGGTTGACTAGATCGTCGCCAATAATGATAGGGGCTAAGTCAGGGTCTGGCATGTATCTGTAGTCAACCTCGCCTTCTTTGCCACGCAATCGACGAGTCTCAGTCGAACCAATCGACCATCCACGAGTCTCGCTTGCTATGATCCCACCTGATTCAAGAACAGCGATCTGTCTATCCCGTTCGGCGATAATAGCATCCTCGACGGCCTTCAAACTGCTTAAATTTTTGATCTCAGTCCGCTGGCCAAGGGAGGCAGAAGGATCATCATTTCTTCGAACAGAAACGTTGATGTCTGCGCGTAGACCACCGGCCTCCATGCCAGAAACGCAAGCATCGGCGGCGTTTAATAGAATTTGGACCTTCCTGACCAGAGCAGCAGCAGTAGCCGGATGGTGAATATCAGGTAGAGTGATAATCTCGATCAACGGGACGCCGGTACGATTAAAGTCGACCCAGTGCACGTTGCCGGGTTGTGCCATGGTCTTAGCCGTATCCTGCTCCATCTGAATTTGTTTAATTCCAACGGAAATGCCTTCACCATCCTCCGCCGCGATTCCGTCCCGAGGTTGGAGTGCGATTTTGCCATCCCGCGCAAATGGCTCGTAATACTGCGTGATCTGATATCCCGATGGCTGGTCCCAGTGGAAATAGTGCTTCCTATCGAACCTGCTTACATTTTGTATGTTACAGTCAAGAGCCAAAGCAGCTCTCAATGCTGGAATGAGAGTTTCTTTCTGAAAGACAGGTTGACTGCCCGGAATGGCCAAATCAAAATAGGCGACGTGGGAGTTTGGGGCGTCGTTGAAAGACGTCGTAGCAGGCGAAAAGAGCTTCTTTGCAGTATTTAATTGCGCGTGTATCTCAATCCCCACGGTGAGCTCCCAGCCGTCAACCACTTGGTTATTTATATTCTTTTTCTTTTTTTTGCCTGAGGCCTTGAGCTTCTTCGCCTCGTCCTTTAACTGCTTCCTCAGAGGAACATGATGTGGCATGGGTGCAGGATCGAGGTGGGAAGAAGCGGTTTCTGCGTGGGCAGCTCGGCATTGGGAAAGCTGAACTACTATAGGAATAGTCCGAGCCTGTGCTCGGAGACAACCTCTCGCAGATAATTGGCCATAGAGCAGATATCTGCTTAGGGAAGCGACTCTAGGCCGCGGCATATCGATTTCCAAGGTTGGTAGAAATGCGCATTGTAATTGTGAATTGAAAAATAAAAAGATCCAAGATTAAAGCTCAAGAAACCCAAAAGCCCCACTCTGTATCATTATCTTATCTTGTGGGCCAGTGGGTCTCGGTAACGACCAGCAAGGTGTAGGGCAGGTGCTAGTGACGTTGGACGTTAAAAAGTTGGGACCTAAGCTCCACTGAACCAGATCTACGGATAGTGGACCGGAGTAGGTACTTTCACATTTAGTGCATTCAGTGCTTCTCCTCGTCATTTATTGCATCTTACAATCTTCATCTTCAATATCTCGAAATCAGATCATGTCAACAGCAACATCCCAATATGGAAATAAACTGCAGCTAAAAAGGATAGAGTGCCAATATGTATTGAATCAAAACGAAACTAAAGAAATTAAGGGATTATTGGATACGGTTCGTCACCATCAGCACACGCGCCATGTGGCCTAGGTCACTATCGGAATCACTTCGCGTCACTCACGCAACTTCATGAGCCAACCAATCATCTACTGTGTGATATCTGGACACTTCCATGCGGCCGACTGATAATGGGGGTCTTCTCATTCATCGTTTGGGGCATGGTTTGTCGCATCTCCTGACCAACCCGAGGATTATGATGGCCAAGCATAACCCTTTTTCGAACCCCTTACCCAGCAATCCTTCCTTTAAGACTCGAGGGGCTCCCCTCCACAGCTCTTTTTCCTTATTTAATATCAATATAGACACCTTATAGGACCACATACTCTTCTTTCATTTCATGGTGTGTGTGGACTGGCGTCGCAGAATTCCATCATGTTCAACCATCGCCATCGCGCCTCGTGTACTTTCCATCTCCGCCAGCCACATGTCCTTCGAGTAATGATTTATAGCGTTTAGCAGCTTTTTCTAGCTCGGGTTTTACTTCTTAATGCATATCAATCTCGGATATCTGTCACTCTTCTGTTCGTCTATCGTCGAGCTACTACCTAGCTATTACCTAATTAGGATATAACGTATGCCCATATACCCACGTTCTTGTTCTTCATGAACGGCTACCTGCAGCCCAACATTGCGAGGTATGCGTGTTTCACGCCGTGTTCGCACATCTTCTCTTTCCTCACCGCGGGCCCAGAAAAAGTCCATCTTGTCAAGAGTAAAAAGTTTTTTCTCAAGGGCCGCGCCTTGATCTTTGCTGATGTCGTTCCAAAGACATTATCGTTCCTCTTCCGTCCCGGCTGCCATCGATCGCGGTGCCTCTCGGCACGTCGCTTCTGAGAACGCAATGGCTGACGATCAGAACCATATCCAGCGAGAACTCCCTAACTTTCAACACCCTTTAGCTGCGAGGAGGAAAAGCATACCAAGACGTAACACCGATACCAGACCCTGGGAACCCACCTTAAAATATGACCCCAATAACCCAAACAAAGCCCATAGGAGATTCTCCAGTGTTTTAAGGGCTTCCCCTGAGCCTATACCGGATCCTACCAACCTACCTACGTCACTTCCCACTTTCGGCGAAGGGATGGGCAACAGTCAACAACCGGGGCGGGGCTTTGGCGCCGAGGATCTCAACCGGCTTAATATCGCAGGAGACAATGACAACCTCTCCAACTTAAGTACCGCGTCAGTCGCATCCACAAGCCTGGCAACTGGCGGTCCAAGTTCGCATGGTTCAAACGGCTCTGGTAGAAGTGGCATTACAGAGAGGCCTTTCCAGAACGGAGACAACATAGGGAAGGCTAAGTCGAGGCGTAAGAGGTTTCCCCAAAGACAACCCAATGCCCTTAACTTTTTAGATTCCGACTCCCCTGTTTTGACAGAGGAAAGTATTCTGAGGTCAGTGGAAGAGGCAGCTCGTCGATCGCCAACCTCTCTCCAAGGCCAATCGCCATCAATCCGCAGCGCATCCACTGCGACGACCGGCTTTAGGGACGACGCTTCAGAGAACGTTGGTGAGCATGAAACCGACCGAAGCACAAGCCCCGAGCGCGGCGTCGAGGATGGTCGTCCGAATGGTGGACCTGGGATGACATCGGGTCCGAATAGGAAACGAAGCTATGGATTCCCTGACGTCCCGCGCGGGAACTTCGAACGTCCAAATACACCACCAGCTGAACGCGCTCCACGAGACCCCAATCGAGGTCGGCCACGACCTGCTCCAGCACCAGAGAGATTGCCTTTGACGGGCTATGAGCTGCTTGCCTCGAAGCTTTCTATTTCGCCAGCAAATCAATCTGGCCCGCATCTCCGACCCATATTTCGTCGGTTTGAGATGTTGAATCACAGATTGTTGCTTTATCTACAGGATGAGATTTGCGAATTAGAAGAGCAACTCCGTCGACTTGACGCGGCGGATACGCAGAATCGGCGCATACCAGGGCCGGATTCCTTCTTCCCGGCGTCACGAAGAGCAGAGTATATGGCGGGTGGTGAGCTCTATTGGCATAAGACCGATATCCTCGGAAAGATTGGATTTAAGTTGGAACAATACAGTAAGACCTCACATTCTATAAATCGCTTCTGTTGTAGTAACTCGCTCATGTGGATGACCATCTAGACCGCCTACTATCGTCGTGTAGAGAAACGCAAGGGATGCCAGTTCCGTCGTTGGAGGATATCCATGAATATCGCAGCTACCTTGCGACTCACGCTCCTATCGCCGAGATCGAGAGCCGTTTTCTTGATATATCAGATGATCTAATATGCGTTAGCGATGAGTACCAGGAGGTAGTCGAGGACGAACCAATTCCAACTCCAATCCCACATCCAGGTTTCACTATGGCAGAGCCTCGAGCCGTGTCTCCTATTAGGTCTCGACCTGTCTCACCTTATCAACAAGACAGGCCTGTCTCACCATATCGGCAAGATCGGCAAGAAGGCAGCGTCATAACCGTCGACACGGTATACGATGACAATCAAGTCATACTATTGTCTATAGCGGTCACAGTAGCTGTTATCCTTCCCATCTTGACGTTCTTAATCATTCCAGGATACCCTGGCAGGTTGACGGTGGTTATTCTAGTCGGCCTCGGTATTCTAGGAGCTCTCTTCCAAGGGCAGATAGTGGCTATTCGCACCTGGGAGCTCCTCACCTGCGTCGGTCTTTATGGCGCTGTGATGGCCGTTATCGCGGGGATTGTGTAATCGGCATGTTTATTGTGTTCAGGCGCGAACATAACTAAGACAAGTTAATGTCTAATTTTTATATCGACCTACCTACTGTCTCTACAGACATACAGGGGATTGGGATATATATCGGATTATGTCATATGTTAGGGAAATATGGGGTTAGGAGGAAACTGGCCATGTTGACAACGCTCTTTGGAACATTTACTTGTATAAGAATTTGCAGGAATGGGCTTATGTCGTCAGATGTACGATACAGAGGGTACTGGACAAGAGTCCTTGGAACAATCGCTAATACTGTAAAATACTGATGTATACTCAGTGTCTCAGAAATTTGACCGAGACAGAAAAGGATAATGAGTCATGAATTGATATGAATTTGCTAAACGTACCGAGGTATTATTAGACATCAAGATTGATGCCTAAGACTAGAAAACGATCGAGCCTATCCATCAATAGGTAGGCTTTTTTGTAACCCATTCACATCGCAATAGGTAGCGTAATTGAATTCGTACTCCGAGGATACTCTAATTGGAAAGCTTATTTCAATCCTACCAAATGCTATTAGTCCTCGAACTAAAACCCAAGCCTTACACCAGGTAATCCCCGGATCATCTTACATAAGGCTTGTGAACGGTTCTGGGGGACAAGAGGATCAAAGCTTCTATAAAGTCCAGTTTTGACCTGCTACAAATGGCGCTTGTGACGGACTGGTCATATCATCTGCACTAGGTCGCAGGTTTTCTGACTTGTGGATTCTCGTCTTTTGGTGGTTTGGCTCAATTGGCAGGTGGGACTACCAAGCATAGGGTTTAGTCCCTACGTCCTAACAGCGCCTTTGAGGTAACCGATGAATCTACCTATGCTCATCTAGCTACCAGGGCTTGATGTAGTTAGGAAGGAATATAGGTACCTAGGTAGGCACATTAGTATACTCGAGACCGATATATAGGTACCTACTGTGCATCCCGCCTTTCGGTTTCCTACGAGATTCCAATATTCATTTCCCGGTTTGCTAGTGTCCTGGGATTAGTTGTATTGCGGATTTACTAAGCAACTACTAATTGCGCAAAGTTCTAGAGGACCATTCACGTTTAGGGTATTATTATAGAGGCATTATTTGGATAACCACTTTAACTCAGCTACAACCTATATACTCACGTGATGCCCCTATTCATCCTCTAGATCACGTGACATACGGTGTATTTCATAAACATGTGGGTACACGAGTTTACGTAAATTCGATGACCTTAATTCTGATAATTATCAACTTGAACCATCACTTTCAAAGGCATCGTAAACAAATCCTCCCGGGCCGAATTTCGCTCTAATTATGCATGGCATGGTCGACATGGCGATTACCGGATATTGCTTTCGGTATACGAGCTTGTTCGAACTGTTGTCTGCATAGGTCTCGTGTCAGTTGTGTTTTATTCTGGTGTAGAAGGTTTTTTCTTCTTCTTACAGACAACTCTCCCATTCAGGGTGAAATAGTAGGTCCCGTTCTTCCCGTTCACGCCGCATCCGATCGTATCTCCCTCGGCATATGTCTGGGGGTAACAAACCGCTTCACCTTCCTCCATGATGACTCCATCCCCGTGGAACCCAACGGTGCCCTTCAACCATCCTGGCCAACTGTCTCGGAGATCGTCAAACTCACCACATAGACCGATGCCTGCAACGGTTCCGCTGTCGGGGCCTTCATTTTTCAATATCTCTATCTCGAAATACGACAGACCCATATCTCGCGGTGGGAAGGCGTGGTCTGCACGGACATTTATTGAATCGCCCGTATTTCCTGCACAGAACCGTCTATTAGCCTCCGTCTGCTTAAGAGGATTGTGGGAGACCCAAGGTTTATTCTTTGTTCTTCTTCATACCTGTGTATCTAACTTCGAGGTCGCTTATGATTTCAAATTCTGACACACGGTTACGTTGGAACCATGCTTGTGGTGACTTCAGACATGTCGGGGAAAGGGTTTTTTTCTCTGGCAGTTTGGGTACAGGATCAACCCACCACACCGTGTCTCCCCCTAGCTGGTACAGCAAGTGGTTTAGCGTCCACCGGTCATCATCTTCGCACAACGATGCCGGTTTGTAGAGCGGCTTAAGCTTTTCCCAGCCGGCCTCTGAACCTATCTCAAGGGCGGCCCGCAACGCCTTAAATCCATCACCTAGCACGGCTAGATCGGCGCCTAGTTTGCTTAGGCATAACTTGAATAATTCTTTTCTCTTTTCACTGAAAGGGTACAAGGGAATCATCTCAAATGCGGATGGGTGGCCGTCGCCTTTTCGCAAGAACGGGTCGACTTCAAACTTGAGAAGATCCGGCACAAAAGACCACAGGCCGTCCAAGAGGGCGGCCTCTAGCAGTGTGTGCCCTTCGGATGATCGACAATTCGTGACGTCGCGGTCTTTTTCTCTCTTGAGGAGGCAATTTACGCTGTTAATTTGCCCTTCATCGTACGCTTTCCATATGGCGGTTATCCGATCCTTTGTACTCCACAACGCCTCCTTGACCTCGTCTTGCCACTCTAACAGTGCGTCTAGTAGGTCCTGTCCGTTGTCTCTCGTGGCTGCGATCTCGAGATAGCTGGGGGTATCATCAAACTTATCTGTTACGCGTATTCCAGCTCGCAGCAGTTGGTCCACAATATTGCGGGCGCCCCCATTGAGGGCGATGTGTAGCGCCGTAATCCCGTCTGAGCAGCGTGAGTTTACGTCCGCCTCTTCATCTAAAAGCTCCTTCACCGACTCGCTCCGCCCCCACTGCGTGGCGCGCATTAGGGGCGTCCACTGGTCGTTGTCGGGCGCGTTGACGTTGGCACCTTTATCGAGCAGAAACCTGGTCATTTCTACGTCATCTGCGCCCGCGTGCAGCGGTGTCCAACCAAGGTTATCGGCGATGTCGATCTCGGCCTGGTTTTCTATTAGAATCTTTACGATCTCAAGGTTACTTAAGTACGCAGCCCGGAACAGAGGTGTCTTTCCGTCGTTGTCCGGCTTATTGACGTCGGCGTGGTTCTTAACTAGGGTTTTCACGACCTCAAGGTTGCCGTTGCTCGCAGCAAAGTATAGGGGCGTCCTCCCTTCGATGTCCTGCTTGTCGACCAAGTTCCTTTTATCGATGGTCTCCTTCTTGGCCGCGGCTTCGAGGAGCACTTTGACAATCCCGATATTGCCCTGGTCGGCTGCAGCATGTAGAGGTGTAGACAGGTCCCGAGCCTCTCGTGCCCAATCCGCACCTTTCTCCAGCAGCGTGGATACGACGTGGACATTATCCTCTTCGTTAGAGGCTGCGTAATGTAGGGGGGTCTGGTCCCGCTTATTAACCCTGTTTACCTCAGCACCATTCTCGAGTAGGATGGCGACAGCATCGTCATCCCCTTTCTGCGCAGCTGCGTGTAGTGCCGTTTCTCCTGAAGGGTTGGTCGTGTGTAAGGCGGCTGGGTCCCTGCCGAGCAGGAAGCGGAGAGCGTTCACATTTCGAGCCTGGGCCGCTATCACCAACGGCGGGTTGGTCTCGAAGACGTCAGTGTTCACATCCGACTTCCGCGTCCAGATTTTCTCAAATAGATCATCAGTCCCGTACTTGATGGCGTAGTGTAAGGGCGTCTCGTGGTTGTCGTTCTTAAGGTCTAGTCTTGCCCGGTCGAGTAATATGCTGATGGTATCATCGAAGCCCTGGCAGATCGCGTGGTGCAGGGGCGTCTCGCCGTCCTCATCTTGTGGGTCTACGTCTGCGCCGCTGCTCAAGAGTAGATTCACCATGGCTGGATGTTGTACCGCTAAGTGGAGAGCGGCGTACCTGTCTCGAGTGTATGAGTTGATAAACGCACCCCTGCCAATCAGGAGCTCAGCAATGCGAACATAGCCATAATGAGCAGCTATATGTAATGGGGTCCATCGGGCTTTATCAAGGTAGTTGGGATCAGCACCTTTGTTGAGTAGGGCCCTGACCACATCTGTCCAACCCCTGCGCACAATCTCAGATAGGGGACTGTAGTCGCTGCTGCATTCCATGTCTATGTCTCTGATTTGTCGGATTAGTGCTCGTACTACTTCCACATGGCCGTTCTCCGTGGCAAAGGCTATCGGTGATCTTTCCAACGCCTGTAGATCGTTCTGTGCGCCCTCGTCAATGAGATATTCCACCATTAGCGCGTGGCCAGCGCCCGATGCATGATAAAGAGCTTCCTGGCGGGCGGTAGATATGTTCTTCGAATCAATATTGGCGAGTAGCTGCCTAACAATGGCCACGTGTCCGGAGGAAGCCGCCGCGACTAGACTCTCATCGAGTCTCGTTTGAACGAGGGAGTCGCTCGAGAACGAGAGTAGGAACTTCACGATGTCTAGGTGTCCGCTCTCCGCCGCTGCCTGAAGCGGCGATTTGCCTTTCGTGGGCCAGATGTTGATCTGCGCATCCGGCTTCTTGTTTAGGGCATTGACAAGCTTCTTGGCGACGTCTAGAAGACCGAGCCCGCAGGCTATGAGAAGAGCCGACTGAGATTTCGTGTTGAGAATTGTTGGGTCTGCGCCCTGGTCAAGTAGAACGGTTACCATTTCCTCTCCGTCATGGACGGCATAGTGGAGCGCTGTCCATCCGGTCTCATCAGTAAGGTCGAGGTCTGGGTGTTCGTTGACCAGCGTACGCACGACGCGGATGAGGCCGGCCCGGGCCGCAAGGATTAGCGGCGTGCGCCCCTGATAGTCCCGAGCGTTGATATTGATACCATCCTTATCAAGTAGTAGATTAATGGTGCGGCTTTCGCCACCGATGACCGCCTGGTGTAACGACGTACGGCCTTGTTCGTCGGTGGCTGATGCGGATGAGTATTCCAAGAGCACCTTTACAGCATCGAAGCATCCTTGCTGGGCAGCCATGTTGAGCGCCGTTATAACATTAGAATGGGTTCCAGATATGTCAAGGGGCTGCAGGAGCGTCTTTAACATCTCAACGTCGTTTCTATGCACCGCGGCTACTAGTACGTCGATGTCGACTGTGTCATGGTCATCCTCACTTACCAGAAGGCTGCGCGGGACCGGCACACCCGAATCGCTCGTGTGCTCGTCTTTCATGCTGGCAAGGATGCGCGGAAAATCTAGCTCGTTGGAAATTTGTCTGATCGTAGGATTGTCCGGCTCGAAACCTATCTGTCGGTAAATATTTCGGTGGTAGAGCTTGTACCACTTGGTGACTAGCCCCGTGTTCTTCAACATTGCCATGACATTAGAGTCGAGGGCGGCATCAGCATCTGCTAGGCGGTAGTGTACCGGCCATTGTGTCGCTGCATACCCCAAAAAGTCCAGGATCGGTGACTTTCTCGACCATGTCTCATACTTCCACGAAACCTGAGCTAAGCAGTCCGTCCACGAGACACCTAGCGCTTCGATATTGCCGAGAAGCTGCGTAAGATACTCGAGGCATAGGGTAGCTAGTTCTCCGTGAGATAACAGTCTGAAGGTTTGCTGATTCGCTTGCTGCCTTATCTCCTGCTTCGTATTTTGGTCTGCCTGCTGCTGTTTCAAGACTATTGCGGTTGTGTCCGCAACTATGAAAGAACCCTTTACTGAGGAGCTCATAGGGTAAACAACTTGGTTTTCTAGCCGAAGTATCATACTCAAATGTCGTTGGATGTCGTCCGCGATCGATACCGAGATACTCGAATGCATATGTGCAATATCGAAGCCGCGTTCCTTTATGGCTACTGCAGCGGCAAGCTCCTGGACCCGCAGCGGCCGCTGGGCCTGGAGGGTCCACGATACCGCCAGCCGGCACCAATTCAGGATTTGCGACCCTTTCTTCTCCAAATCAGCAATGCTCTGCTTGTAGATCTGCTCCTCTGTTCTCGGCCACTCCTTCAAACCTAGTTCAAGCGCTTCCGCTGTCGAAAGCGAGAACTTCTGTGACAGCTGCTTTATGTAGAGCTTAGCTGTAGTAAAGGATCCGTGGAAAGGTATTAGGCTCTTGAGGATTGTATCCTTGAAGATAGCCACATTCCCATTGCCTTGGGTAATTGCCAGATCATTCAGCTGAGTCTCTAGGAATTTATTGAGGGACGTGTCCGCCGCCTTCCCCACATCAATGATGACCCTCGGTGTCGCACAGTCAGTCAATCCGTCTGGATATTCGCTCTGGCCGAAGTCCTTTCCCTTACCACTGCTGATGTATATGTAGTTTGCTCCGATGGATGAGAGGTACAACAACAGTCTCCGAGATAGATCTGTGATATCTGGGGCTAGATCATTGATGTTACTGCTCAGGATGATGACTTTCGACTTCCGATTGTGCCGGAAAAGCTCCAAAATAAACGCCCATAACGTGTCACCATTCCACTTTGGCTCTTCGGCGTGGTCTACGTAGAAATTCCTCAGGCACCGGAAAAGGGACGGCACCTGCGAAAGCAATTGGTGCGTCAAGGATAAGAGAACCGATTCAGTTGAGAGCATAGATATTGGAGATAACCCCGCCAACACGTCCAAGACCACGGCTTTCTTGAATTGTCGCCTAATTCTTTGAGTTAAGAGCTTCATAAGAGTCGACTTTCCATGTCCCGGTGGACCTATGATGTGTATCGAATTTGTCCCTGGAGACGCATCTATGCTGAAGCCTTTGATCTGGTCATGGTACATTCCCAAATCGACAGCTTCCTCCGTCAAGTTCCCCAAGTTTGCCTCATGGATGAGCCACCTAGACGGCGCTATCAGTTGCAGGCAGTTGATAAAGTCTTCGCGCACGACATTGGAACGTACGTCCTCGTTAAACCACGAATCTGTGATGCACAGATGATTAGAACGGGAACGCCAGACAGTAACCGAAACAATGGTACATAAGAACTGTATATACCAATGTTGAGGAGTCTAGGAGGTGCTAAGCTGTCTCGGAGCAGCTCTTGCGCTTCCCTGTCATCGATGGCAAGATTTACCACGGCATCGTCTGTTGTGAGAGCAAAATTCTTAATGAGTGAGTCCCCTGACAGCGTGTCGTTACACTACGAATCTAGTCAGTCAGAGTCACCTTGAGACTCTATTAGGTCCTTGACAAGTGCCGGGTACCAGACTATTACCAGTTGGTTAACCAACAAGTCCAAACCAGCTCGGTCAAGGAAATTGGAAACGTGGTATCGCGACGCTATACAGTAGAAATCGGATGATGTAGACTCAACCAGCGTTGCTAAGACCGAGAGGATGGATGTTTTCCAGCCCTTTAGTTTGATCCCATTCGCCGAAACCATCTTATCGAGAAGACTTTCCCAGGTATCAAGCGTGGGGGCTATGTGCGGCGTTGAAATGAAGACCTTGGGTTTTAGTGTAAGAAGCGCACCGTAACTAGCAGAGTCGAACTCGGCATTGTTATTGACTTACAATATCTGAAGTGCTCACGGCAACATCGTAATATCGAGGATTAGAGTTCGCCAAAATCAGTGCCTGCCACGATTCTTCTGGTTACCACGCCACCTCTCTCACCAGCATTTTGTTTAAGAGCCTGCCTACCTGCTTGATGATAATCCCACCAAGACCATAACCAACCAACAGGACGGTCCCCCACTTTATAAAGCGGTCAGAAACAACTAATAAGATGGAATAGAAACTGATTTCTAAGCCTTACCTTGTTCCAACTCAGCGTTTTCTCCCGTATGGCATCTAAGAGACGGTATGCCTCGTTCGAGAAGCCGTTGGCCGAGAGAGCATTCTTGTTTGACGTCGGTCCAGCCTCGAAGAGCGTGAACTCGAAGACGCGGGCCTCTGGAACGAGACTAGTTAGTGATCGGAGAAGGGGCTTGTGCTCTGTATCTTTCTCAGCCTCATCATTGAACTGCATAGTATTATGGCCAGGTAGCCCGACGAAATAGATACTGCCCGAAAGTCACCAAGCTAATCCTAGGAAGAGAATCAACGAAGCCAAGACTTACTCGTATAAAAGCTCGAGGTCCTTGGCTGCCATAATGCACGATTCGTAGGGAGCTGGACGACTAGCATCAATGTAATGATGACACTGATGAGAAAGCCTAGGCTTGTTGTACTTTGGAGCAAACTAAGTGCATTTTTCTAAAATAGAGGCACACCTGTGCGGCTCATGTCCTCTACAACCACAAGCGCACGCAGACCTTCGACCGGCATAGCAGGACATGGATTTGAGAAACACCAGGGGGAGTACGGCGCCTGGGTTGATGTAGCAGTTTGGAATAGAGCTGAAAGACGTTCTGCATTAGTGTGCATAATATTGCTCGTTTTGTACCCGATACATCATGCAGAACTGCTCAATTAGGACCCGCTGCCCTTGTTCGATGCAACCTCTTACCCCCTAACCTACCGAACAAACCCCAACCCTTCGATGTTATGCCCCTTGTAAATTTGATTTTTTTTTGTCTATTGGCTCGCTCTTCATTTCCTAAATATTGCTATTGCATATCTTTCACTATTCACGTCTATTCCTTTCGCTACCTACCTTACATAGCACCGCGGATAACTCGGGAGTTGATTATGTAGCCTTGTCTTCTCTAGCTGTGTGGATCCTGGTAATAGACACGGCGTCACCCAACTGACGCAAGCTGACAGACCGAAGGTTACTCTCGTCAATCTCCGGGTCGGTGGGAGTGCCACTTGGTCCGTAGAACTGAACGCCGCGCTTGAAGATAACTGGGTCATTCCGGCGGTCTCCGATCAGCTGGTGGATAATCCAGGAGGTCTTATAACGGACGTCAGCCAGGGCATCGATTGAAAAATAGCCGCGGAAGCGAACAGTGTCTTCGTGCAGCCGTAGCAGGATGGCGGTGCGGAAGTCCCGTATGACACCTGACTTCTGACTCTCGTTCTCATATAGGCTGAGGGCCACCGCATTGCGCTTGCCATAATTGCGGCCTCGCCGAACCCGTGCCCCCGTTACTATCGCTCGTTTCGCTCGGTCCGTCGTCTCCTTTACTTCCCATTTGCCCGTGAGCGATACTTCGGCCCCAGACGCGCCCGCCGACGCGCCTCCATCAACCGAGCGTGTATCCTCCACAGTCACTGACGTCTCCTCATAGCTATACTCGCGATCCGGCCATACTGCTATCGTTTCCGGATCGTACAGCAGCGGCTCTTTCTCGTCTTCGAAGTGAATCGTCACCTGCACCTCCCGAAACCGCCGTCGCTGGTTAATACCTTGGAAGCGGAACCCAACCACTATTAACGTGGCCGCCTCGCCACCCGGAACTTCTTGGCCGTGGATGACCTTGAGTAGATCGGCTTGGATTAGAAGGCCCGTGGTTGTATCATCAGTGATGTTCTCCCGCTGAATCTCGTCGCCTTGGTTTAGCGTGTGGAAGCGCGCTTGGGTCCCCGACGGAGCGGCCGTGAATCCTACCGAGATCCCCTCTTGAACTGGCTGTTGCTCTTCTTCCATTGCGTTTTTTCTTTAAGTGATCAAGTGATCTGTCTTAGTAATGACAGTGACGGCTAAGACAAGCCACTTGTCCAACTCTACTTGTAACCGACCTATTTTCAGGTTCGTCAACTCTCTTTAATGGGGATTGATATGTTCGGTATACTTACGTATTGAGGAAAAAAACCGCCCCCACCCCCTTTCTCACCCCCCCTGCAATCCCATGACATTCGGTATGCACATCCTACCAAAAAGGAGGTAGGAGTTGTACTGGGTACCTTCACATCTACTAGTCCCACCTGTATTGCTACGGCCCCCTTTAGTATTATCGTATGAGACGTTACCGAGTAGCAAGGATAGATGCTACAATGGAATATGCCAAATCCAAAGTCCAATACTTTAGGTACCTAGGTATCGGTAAGTAGGCACTTTTAGCTGCGATTATCACCTACATGATAAACTTGGGTAGTATCGTCGCTTGGAGCTGTCGTTGTCTCCGGTCATATCCTGAAGTCACTCTCCCTATTTCGTAATGCTTATTGAGTATTATCAACATAAGGTAACTTCTATCTACGAAACACAGCAAAGACGTTGATAGCATCGTCCGTCTATGGCCCCGTTGGTGTATTGACTTGGATAGCAGCACTGCTTATCATCAACGCTTCGCGCTTCTTCATATCGTCTACTCCTTCCAAGGCGTTTTGTGTCCCTTTCTACCGGCGCAGCTTCAGTGCGGCTCTAATCTACGCTTCAAAATGTCACTAGAAAACGGGTATGGCAAAAAGGATTCTAAACAGAGGACATTAGTCGAAATTGCCGCATCATTCCAAAAAAAGGTGAGCGGCGTTAAAGGACTCGACCGCACTGATGACATCCAAGAGTTCCACACCGCAATCCGCAAGAGGCTAACGAATGAGCTGGTGCCGGAAGAAGAGATCATCGATATACTTGACCAGAAGAACGCTGATTACGGTAAACTCCTCCTTGAACCAGGCCATTCGTCACGTAATATATTTCACCAAGTTGCGGATCGCCTAAGCAACTCGACAGAAGCAGGCGAGGAAGATAAAACGGTTGCCTCACGCCTGTTCCTCCAGCACCTTGTCATCAGCTACCCGAATGTGCTCACATTACATGATGATGTGGACCTCACCCCCTTGGAGGTATTAGCCAAGAAGAAAAAGTTCATTATATTTCTTATTGCCGGCCTTGTTGTCCCCGACGAGACCTTATCGCAGTTGAGGCGCAAGTGCGACAAGGGGGTACCGAAAATTAGGCCCAATGCAGCTTTAAAACAAGATGCATCCCCTAAATGTGACATTAAACTTCACAAGATCTTGAAGACGCGTTTTCGAAAGCCTGGAGAATCTGACGACGTTTGCTTGCACCAGCTGATCGATGAAAAAAAGCTCGCTGATTCAGATAAGATCCTACGACAGACCCTCAGAGAGATATTCCTGGGTGACACGTCGAGAGATAACAGAAACACATGTCTCCATCACCTCCTCAATGACGAGACTATATTTACCGCGGAGGACGCCCCCAGAGTGGTTGAGACTTTCCAGCGTTTGATCAGACTATGTCCCGACTCGCTGATGAAAGTTTACGACCGAGACGGGCTAACTCCTCTACATAAGGCTATTCTTCTCTACAAACTAGATAACTTCGACTTTGAGCTTCTCAACACGATCATCAAAGAACTATTCATGCGATTGCCCGAGTCTCTATACAATAACGTCCAGGGAAATCCGAGGAAAGTCCACTACAATAAATCTCCCTACGCGCTACTTGAAGAGATGACACCGCCCTCTGGGTTTAACGTAAGAGGAAACAAAGCTAAGTGCCATGCCGACATCAAGCGGGTTTTGAAATATGCCTGCATCGGTGGGGGTCGCACACGCGAACAGATGAGAGAATATCTGTATGGCGAGCAAGAAAATGGTACGTTATCCAAAAATTGGCCAGCAGTTCAGCTACTTAAAGTACTGCAACTCAGCCTGGCCCCTTTTTACCAGATTGCCGAAATTAACATTACGTACCTCTGAATTAGCCCCCAAGTTATTTCTCGACCTAAACTACGTGAGTGGTGGTGTGAATAAGAAATACCTTGAGATGATGTCACAAAAAGTCAACCAAACTTTCGAGACGGTCCTTGAATATGTAAAACTGCCACAGATTCAACAAAAGCCGAAGCACCTACTTATAGCCGGGTCGGACAGCTCAGCTGTAGCGAGCAAAGCTTCGAGTGTTGTGGGAAATGAAGTTTTAGAGGAGCCCAATCCCTACTCTCAGGTATTTGACTGGCTGCATAGGAAACAAGGCGTGGAGAAGATATTTAATGTCATTGTTGACGATCTCGGAGACAGATCTCACAGCGACGAAGCCATCGTGAAAGCGCTAAAGCCCTTCGACGTTGAGGTATGGGACTGGAGGAAGTTTGACATGTGCAGCAGCACCATTCAGAAGGCTGCGCCAAAAGTGCGTCGCATCTTCCTCCACGCCAGTGGAAATAACGCAGTTCTTCGAAGCTGGTCTTGCAATAGGGGACTCGTTCAGCTTAAAAAAGTAAAGGGTGACCCTTTCCCTCTTTCTTCCCCTTTTCACCGGGCCGTAGTCCATATTGTAATACAACCATACTACTTTTACAACCCAACATCTAACCTTTTTATCCATAATCTAGCTTGAAGAAATCACGATCACCATGTATCCAGATGTAAGTACAAGCACCCTCCTCCGATCTAAAATGGCTTAGACTTACCATTCCCGCAGAAACGCGAGTCGATCGAAACACTGGGGGAATATCTGAAAGATTTCCACGAGACCTTTTCCAAGAATCGATGTGACCGCCAGCCAAAGATCACGATCTTGGGTCTCGATGATCTATCCTCATCTCCACCTCCGCTGGACAGAACAGTAAGGCCAACTAATACAGGTCAACAATCCGAGTATGTTTTGCACGGGCCCACTCTGTTAGCCCATTTTATACACCTATGCTTGAAAAGTATCTAGTTTTTTCTAACTTGTAATGCGTTAGGGATGCATGGATCACGAACCTCATGCCGTTCCAGAAAGCGCTAGAGAACTGGGCTGATGATTATGATAACGACGACAAGGAGAGCTATAATGAGGAGGACAATAATGGGGATAGTGGACCACGGGTCAAGATCGCACTAATCGATAATGGTGTCAATATTCGTCACAGGGAGGTTGGCAACATAACGGCCGGAGAGTCGTTTTACGACTCGTCCTCTCCGAATGGCTTCCGCGACTTCGTCGCCGATCCGTCAGCCCACGGAACGCAGATGGCTATTTGCATTCGCAAAGTCTGCCCCATGGCGAAGCTCTACGTCGCTCGTCTGGATGACTCTAAGGGTCAGTTTACGGTTGCGTCAGCTCTCAAGGTAAGACACGAAGCCAACTATATACGTCTTGTTGAGTGGGGCAATGCAATCAGAACGTATTGAGAAATAAACAAGGCAATGACTGACCGGAACATTTCAGGCGCTGCAGTGGGCTACCAAGATGAAGGTAGACATCATCTCCATGAGCTGGACATTCAATCAAACGAGACACCCAATTGAGATAGAAAGAGCAGCGTTCAAAGGAGCGATCGAAGAAGCATCGCGCAATAATATCCTCCTTTTCGCAGCACTTAACGATGCAGAACCCGATTCAGATGTGGCTAATTTTTACCCTGTCGGCCTGCCGGACGTCTTCAAGATCGGCTCGGCGAAAAAGTGGGGTGCCAACGCCGATTTCAATCAGGAAGGCAAGTCCGACTACCTATTCCCGGGCCAGGAAGTGGCGCTTGAGGACCCCGACGGAGAGACACTACACCCGTCCGGCAGCTCCCTGGCCACAGCGTTTGCGGCCGGCATGGCCGGATTGATCCTCTACACGATGAAGTTGCACTTAGTGAGCAAGGACACCGAAGTGCCCGAGCAGGATAGGAAGAAACGGCTGGCGGATGCCAAGACCAAGATCGGCATGACCAAGATCTTTAACATCCTAGGCGAGAATCTGCCGAAGAACATACCTAAAGACACCCCTGTGGCTTTCCAGAAGAACCACTTCCCACATACTATCAGCTCCCTTAGGGAGGAAAGGTTGAGGACTATCCGAACGTTTTTACAGCGAATCGCGCCTCCACCTATTGACATTTGAATGAGAGGAAGTTCTGAATGAAACTTGAGCCTTTCACTGGAATTACTTGTAGAAGGAGTATAATGATGTTTACCTGGCTTAAAGGCATCTTGTTTAAGTAAGGGAAGGTACTTAAAGAATATGACATTGGAAAACAGCAATGAATATTCATGGAAATACTTAGATACGCTTCAAGTATTGTTCTGATGTCATTTGAATACCCCTTTTTACCTTTCAGGGGTTATTCCTATGGTCACGTGGTAGCCCCTTTTCTCCCGCGCAGTTGCACTTTGCTCAAGCATATGTATCAGCTAGACACATAAGCGTCCGCACAATGACCAAGTAATTCTCAATGAGTTACTAACTGCACTTATTTCCTTATGTTCATTAAAACGTCCTTGATTGCCTCGGTAGGGACTAGTAATCTGGCTCCATGAAACGCTTTATATCGTGGCCAATCCCTCAAATTCAAAATACTTGGTCTACTTATTTAAGTATTAGTATCGATACTCAAAAGTCATAGATGTTTACATAGGCATATTATTGTTAGTAAGAAACACTGCCACGATCGATTGCAAACCTCGGTACATATTATTGATGTGTTGTATGGTTCGTACGTATGTTAGTAGGACAAAATAAGGTAGAAGTAACCATCGTTTAGCCTAACAGTAGGGTTCTGAAGTAATTCCTCCATGAGAAAACCAACACATGTTCAACATGAATATAAATGTATCAATTTTTCTTTGTTGTTTTAACTTGCGTTTGCTGCGCCACCAACTAATCTGGCTGCCCCGCGGACCTCCTAGAATCTCCAGGCATAGCCATAGGTAGATGGTCTCCCATATCTCTTTTGTCAGGTACCTGGAGAGTGACTAAGCCATTTGAGCAGGTAGATAAAACAAGTCACTGATGTGATGTGATAACGTGGTTGTCCACGTCCAATATCTTGATAGAATTTGGTAATCAATAGAGAGTGAGGCGACTAATAAGTTTAACGCAATGATTTATTGATGATATTATCGCTTCTCATATCACCTCATAAAGAGATCACATTTTTGAGTTGGTAAAACTTTGGGTTTACCGTTATGCATGGCTGCTCTTTATTTGATTCGCTAGCCAGCAGCGTCGGATGTGACAGCTCAGCCCGTGGTGCTGCGGCCTAATTCAGGCTGACTCTGTAGGCTTCTACAATTCTTAACTTCTATTAAATCAGCTGGAGGACAATTTCAAATCCTATTCTATTTAGTGTCTAGTGTTATTATTGTCTAGGACATCAGTATACCTTCATTTCGCCGTTTTGTCACTTCTGATCACTATGGTGCAGAGCAATGGGTCTCGGAAATGGCCGTGCGATTGCGCATCAGTTTTTGACACCCCGCAATCGTTTGGTGAGCATGTCCAGAAGACTGGCCACATGAAGCCACGATGGTGCACTTTATGCCATCGCCTTTTTGCTTCAAAGGAAAGCCTTGGCCAACACAAAAGAACTGCCGCAAAACATAAGAAGAATCCTACTGTCCCACCAAAAGTCAACGTCAATACTCCTGTTTCCGATAAGAAACCCCAGGTAGAGAAACCCAAAGTTTCTCCAAACAAGCCGGCGCAGGTTCCTAAGGCGACCAAGACACCTAAGGCAGCTAGAGGTGTGACGAACGCCACGAAGAACCCCGCTAAAAGTACTGTTGCTCTCCATAATTTCATGCTCTACAGACCTATGTAACTGACAAAACAAGATTGCACAACTATTAGTTCGAATGCCAGCCAATCCCTAAAGGTTGGACAAATGTCCATGTCAACCTATCAAGTGGCACCCTTGACAGAGCTATTGAATCCTCTCGCAAAGAACTACCCATGGGCATCAGGATGGCAAGAAGCAGATATCATCCAGACCGCAACTTTCCAATGCCATAGTGAATGTCGCTTACTGGACCAAGGCTATTACACAGGTGATCCCTCTTATAGGGGAGGTCAAAAGTTTAATATCAGAAAGTTTGTTTCGACACCGCCAAGGGTAAATGGCTCGGTGAAACGAAAAGCTATTGCGCTGGACTGTGAAATGGTCGGGATTAGGGGTGGCAATCAAGAACTTGCCCACCTTTGCGCCGTTGACCTCTTTACCGGGGAGGTCCTCATCGACACTCTTGTGCATCCTACCGAACCCGTCGAAGACTGGAGAACCCGATGGAGTGGCGTGACGCCGGCCAAAATGGCGGTTGCTAAGGCGAGCGGTAAAGCCCTGGATGGGTGGCCGGCAGCAAGAGAAAAGCTTTTTGAGTTTGCGGACGCTGAAACCATATTCGTCGGCCACGCTCTAAACCATGATTTAAGAGCATTATATATCGCCCATAAACGAGTCATTGACTCCGCTATTCTCATCGCAGAAGCTGTCTTCGGGAGGGCACAGAGGTTATTAAGTCAGTGGGGCTTGAAGAATGCGACTCAGGAGCTATTCAATATCAAGATACAGACACTTGAAAGTGGCCACGACTGCTTAGAGGACGCGCTTGCTGCGAGGGAGTTAGTACTTTGGTGTCTCAAAGAACCCGAGAAGCTATCGGAATGGGGTAAGAATGCTTTGGTCAAGTATGATGAGGAAAGACGAAAGATATACATGCGCAGACGAGCGAAAGAAAGGGCTAAGAAGGAAAAGGAGGAGAGGGAGAAGGAGAAACAACCATTCTTCGCACGGTCATCTATCGCAGCACGCAGCGATGAGGGTAGGGAGAATAATTACGGCGATTATTATGATGACGACTACGACTATGATTATTCTCAACTCCATGGGAGAGGGGACATTGGAATAGTTCCTTTTCATGATTATAATCATGGTGAGCCTCATGGTAACGACTCACTGTGAGAAGATCGAGACTACTAATTGGTATGGGATCTCTCAAAGTACATAGATCTTAGCTCAACAATTTATTAATTCTATGAGAGAGAGGTCTTATCTATCTTTGGGTAACTCACGTTTCTGTTATGGAAAGGATTATTATTTGGTAAATTTTTATTAATTTACTTTGACAAAAATCTCCCCTGACAGGATTGCGGTGAATCTCAGGGCCTACGATAGTCCGGGCTGCCGGACTATTATTTGTAAGACAACCTGCAAGGTCTTTGTTTTGCTGTGCCACAATCAGTTTCCACTCTATGAGGCACAGGGAGATTGTATCTGAAAGCTTCTCAATGCCTTCTGGACTTCCCTGATGCCAACATCAAAGTATTGGACTGTTGATTCAATTGTGATTTAGTTTCATCTGCCAGCCAAAACTTACCTACTTGGACCATAACAATGGGTATCATGATATTCAGTGACAATTAAGGCCCGTGGCAAAGAGGAGGGGAAGTAAGGGGCAGTTGTAGCTAGGTAGGTAATTACTAGACTTCTAGATCAAGGTGTAAAATGTGGTGTACTTTTGTCGACCCTAGTAATCCGGCACGGTTCCGTATTAACGTACGTATTACCAAAGGGAGACTACCCAACATGTGCCAACAACACTGGCCCCACTTAAACCTATAGGTAACTATTGAAATCTGTCTGTACTAATACGAACCTTGGAACTCATAAAGAAAATTTGCGGCTTTTCTTCTTCCCTTTATCCCAAGCAGGACCTCGCAATCTCTCACAATGTCCATCATAACCAAAATTCGAAATGCTCTCACGCAAAACTATCCGCCTCGTCCAAAATTCACCGAGGCGGATATCCCCAGCGGCTCCCAGAAAGGGAAAGTATTCATGGTAACTGGAGGCAATGCCGGCATTGGCTTCGAGTTGTGCAAACTCTTGTTTCGATCCGGTGCCACTGTGTATATGGCCTGTCGTTCTCAAGTAGGTATGATCCCCTGAACCCCCATCATCAAATACTAAACACATATCTACGCAGGAAAAAGCAAGAGTGGCAATCCAAGAGATCCAAAACCATTACGGCGAGAATGCGCATGGAATGGGCCAACTTAAGGCACTGCACCTGGACCTCAGTGACCTTCCTTCCATCAAGGAAGCGGCTCGACAATTTGCACAGCAAGAACCTAAACTTGACGTTCTCTGGAACAACGCGGGCATAGGTGGAAATGCTGCCAAGTTTGGGGAACACACCACCCAGGGACTCGAGCCGCTCATTGGCATAAATTGTGTCGGGGCATTGTTCTTCACGGAGCTTTTACTCCCGCAGCTCACTGCTTCGAGAGCCTCCGAAACCGCCGGCAGTGCCCAACAACCCACCGCTCGTGTAGTCTGGGTCACTAGCGCGCTTGCAGACACCATGTCACCGAAAAATGGAATAGACTTCGACAGCTTAGACTCGGGGATAAAAGACAGAGTCGCCAACTACGCCGCCGCTAAAGCAGGTGTCTGGATCTTGGCCCGGGAATTTGCGCGCCGACACGGGAAGGATGGAATCATCAGTCTTCCCGTAAATCCAGGCAACGTCAGAGCTGGATCGTACAATGGAACTGGTGCTTTCCTTATGTGGATATTAAATACCTTGATGTTGTACGATGTAATCTATGGGGCTTACACAGAGGCCTATGGCGGACTTTCTCCCAGCATTACATTGAAGGACAATGGTATCTATATTATGCCGTGGGGTAGGGTACGCTATGATCATGATACACCACGTCAAGACATTATCAAGGCAATGAATTCCGAGGAAGAGGGTGGGTTGGGCTACGGAAGAAAGTTATGGGATTGGTGTGAGGCGAAGTGGAAGCCTTATGTATGATGCATCTAAAGATTGAAGCGGCTACCGTCTGGAGAACGTAGTTCATCTAAACATTGTGAGGTTAAAAAGAATATCTCTTTTGTTGGTACAATACTATAATTTTCACAAAACCGGTAGCTGTACCTTGGCGGTATCACATGTCCGTTAAATCTGTAAGCGTGGAGGGTCTTACAGTGATCTTCAGAGGGCTCTAGCCAACTATAATTAAGACTTAAATGGGTGCCAGTGAAGCTCAGGGGCTGCTAGCAGCCCGTATAGAAGATTGCTAATTGTAATGGAGCTGTAGTCATGCTGCAAAATCGAGAAACTGAACCGTGAGACCTGCATATTGTGCCCCAAGAGTGGCTGTCACTTAATAGGTACCTATGTATTATTCAATATTAATTTCAATGTTATCCGTACCGGAATAGAGTTCAATACACGTCGTTAACCTTCTATTCATTTTCGTGGAATCGCTCCTGACTGCCATCGTGACGTTTATTGTTTTAGGAGCAAAAGGAAGGTATATTGACCGGCAAACTCAAGGCTAGATCATCTCTAAAACTTACGAAAATGAGCCGTCTCGAATGCCATAGTTATTACTTGCCTGACTTGGCAAAGTTTGATCAAGCACACGATCGACCCCTTAAGCCTGTCTCGCCCAATATGCTGGAATTCTAGATCACCAGTACTCCATCATCTTGGGTATAAGTACCTCCCGGTTGAAGCGCCATAACAAGCTACTGTACTGTGTGTGGAATGCAGCCCCAGTATAAAACATACTTCCACCCAAACCACCTTGTAAGGCGGTTAGTCGTTTGAAAAAGCCACCCTTGATATCTTCCGGCGCAACTTGGAGATGGAACGGCGAGTGAGACTCAAATATGAGCCACTCGGGCTTTGTCAGCGTTGCGTTCTGAGCACGCTGGATCGTGTGGATTTCTCGTTCGACATATGACTTGACCTGATCGAGAGTCAAGGTCGGGTTATTGGCGCCAAACTTGATCCACCAAACATCGTCGATAGTGCCCACGGGGCTGAGATCGTATAATGCGGGTAGGACAGGAATATTGAACGGAGTGCCGGCTGCCGCATTCCACGAGGTAAGCGTCTGGTTGAGGCCAACATTCTTGACCAGACCGGTCCAGTAGCCGTTGGCGGCTATGTAGCGAGAAAAGACCTCTTGCTCTTGGTCCGTCAAATCCCAGCCGGCCAGATTGGAAAGCTCGGGGGGAACCGCAAGTACAACTTGGGTGCAGGAAAGAAGCTTTAAACCCTCATCGCGAGTTGATACTAAGAGTTCGGCTCTACTACCTTCGGTCGTAAGGTTTTTCCGCCGGTTGCTAGAAACCACAATCGATTCAAGCAAGACGTTATCGTAGGAGATATAGTCGCCTGCTCTGCTGTAGATCTCCGAGTTGTTACCGTGGGCATGCGTGAGGTATCCATCCGTCAAGGCACGTATATCCCCAGTATTGAAATATTTGACAGCGTAAATTGTGGGCACATGAAGTAGATCTCCCATGCCTTGGGAGATTTGATAAATCGTCCGGAACGCAGCCGTCAAATTGTACTTCTCGATAAAAGCACCATAGGGCATGTATAGATCCTCCGGAACTGGATCTGGCAGATCATAACCGTGTAGAATATAATCGTATTGCGATAAGATATCTGACATCCGCTGGAAAGCATCGGTTACCGCGTCGCTGGTGTCTGTTTGAAGGAGAATATCGGTTCCATCTCGAAAATCTACGTCTGCACGCAAGGTTGCGAACATGGCCGCAGGTTGAGACGTGTTTGCCGGTTGACCTGGGACATTCCACTGTACTGCCGACATATTCAAGAGCGGCAAGTTCAGCTTCTCGAAGAAGTCGTACACAACTGAGAGGGGTTGGAATATGACAACTCCAATATCTACGAGGCTATTTGTCTCGGGATGTATATAGGTGTGTGTATCACCTCCTAAACGGTTGTTTCGTTCAACAACAACGACGGTCTTGTTCAGATCAACAAGTGAGACAGCCGCATGGACTCCGCTTGCCCCTCCGCCCACGATACAGACATCACGTTCAATGACTTCACTCCATTCTCCAAAATTGTTGTCGAAGATTCCCCAGCTGTGAAGGTCAGTTGCATGGACATGACTTAGGAGAGCGAACAATAATATGGACAACATCTTAGCTTGAAGAGTTTATGGTAAAGTAGTACAGTAGTGGATAGAAATATAAAGGAGCAACATAGCATACCTAGGACCTACATGTAAGTCTGGCACCGGACAATTACACGTAGGATATTATGAGGCTTGCCTAGATCTGCTTCTGATATCCTTGTACTAAAACTACCTTCGGCACCCCCCCTCTGAAGGATACGGCGGGCTGAAGTTAGTGTTAGGAGAGACATCTTCAGGAATATCTCGGGACACTTTGCGGCGAATTCCAGACAGGGACCCAAAATGAGGCAAAATACAACATTATATCAATTTGGAATAATACCCTGCCTCGAATAGATCTACATCTAGAGTAGGAGTAAAATGCATGTGAGAATGTGTCACCCTGTGGGGTATATGGAATGTCTTGACCCTTGAAGAATTTATTGGTTTAAGCTGGGGTGAGGGAAAGAGGATGAGGGTAGCGCCGAGAGAAGTGATGAAAATGCATTGGTCTTTTGCGCAGTATAATTTTATCAAAAATGATAGTTCTTAGATGCCCTCCTCAGCGTGTTGGTGATGTTGGCATAGTCGCCATACGGCAGCCTGTCTTTCAATGTAGGCATACGTGGTGCGGATGGATGGATGGCCGAAGCAGTTGGAGTGGCACAGCAGCAGCAGGTTGCAGTTGGTCCTCCTGCAGTTAGAGGCTTGGAGGTGTACAGGCCGTTGGGTTAGAGTCGACAAGCATTTAAAGCCAGGGGGCCTTGCCGCGGTAGCGGATAGATGCGTGCCTCCGGTATCAATGTACCACGAGTGTGAGCGACAAAAGTCTTTACACTGCATCAGTACTAGGTACCCAAAGGGCATATTCGTTTATACAATCCGTAGCATATTTATCGAAGTTATCACCCTTTCGGTTCCCCAGCCAGCTTCTTCTCGCTTGGTTCCGCAGAAATTCATATCACTGTTACCAACGTGCTTTATACTTACCTCCTAGTTTCGAATCACGCTTGCGACTCCGCGTTCATGGCCGTCGAGCCCACACCGGATGGCTCACGGATCGAACCGTACATGTCGGACACTCAAGATAGAGAGGACTCACCGTCCGGTCACCCACCGCAGTTTTGGCTTATTATTGTCGCTCTTAGTTTCCTTGCCTTCATTTCGGCAGTAGATGTCACTATCATCCCTCCGGCATTGCCAACAATTACCCAGGAGATTGGCGGCTCGAAGCAATACGTTTGGATCGCCAACTCGTTCGTCTTTGCCTCAACGGTCCCACAGCCTCTTGTCGGCCAGCTATCCAATATCTTTGGGCGCAAATATCCCGTTGTCGTGTCGATCGTTCTTTTTATCGTCGGCAGTGGCATCGCCGGTGGTGCGAAGAACGCTGCCACCCTTATCGCCGGAAGAGCTATCCAAGGTGTTGGGGCTGGCGGCATCTACGTCTTAATCGACATTGTCTGCTGCGATCTAGTGCCCCTCCGCGACCGTGGCAAATATCTCGGTATTGTCAATGCGTGGGCTGGTGTTGCTGCTGGGCTTGGTCCTGTGATCGGAGGTCTTCTGGCTCAAGCCAACAACTGGCGCTGGATTTTCTTCCTCAACATTCCGATTTGCGCATTGCCCTTGATCACTATTCTTCTCTTTATGAAGGTCAAGACCGGCGACGGGATCTCTCATAGCATTAAGAAGCTGGATTATCTGGGGAATATCATCTTTATACCCAGCATAATTTCTCTCCTTTTTGGTCTAGTTACTGGGGGTATCGACTACCCTTGGTCATCATGGCGCATCATTCTGCCACTGGTTCTAGGCATTGCCGGATGGATAACCTTTCATTTCCAACAACACTTCTTCACGTACGGCAACAATGCCAGCGTACCATCGAGACTCTTCAGCAATCGGACTTCCGTGGCGGGTTATGCCATGACCTTCCTATCTGCTGTTTGCCTCCAAACATCTGGATTTTTCCTTCCTATATATTTCCAAGCTGTGGTTGGGACCACCGTCGCGGATTCCGGTATTTACTTCCTGCCTACTACTATCGGCCTACTTTTCTTTGCCGCCATAGGTGGCGTCCTGCTTAGCAAGTTTGGGGCCTATCGACCGATCCACGCAGCATCGTTCGCCCTCTCCGTTATTGGCTACGGCCTCTTTACAATATTGGGCCAACGCACACCAAAGGTGGCGTGGGCATTCTTCCAGCTGATCTCCGCTGCAGGCCTCGGCTCTACGCTGACCACTATCCTCCCCGCGATTTTGGTAGCTCTGCCAGAATCAGACGTGGCGTCAGCAACAGCGGTGTTCTCATTTATCAAAACATTCGGCTTCACATGGGGCGTGACGATCGCATCCATCATCTTCAATGCTGTGTTCAACAACAACCTATACTCCATTTCATCTCCCGCGTTGCGAGATCAGCTTGCGGACGGTGGCGCGTATTCTTTTGCGAGCCAAGCATCAAATGTCATCGATACGGCAGACGATACTGCCTGGGGCGAGGCGAGGGGGGTATACATCATGAGCCTGAAAGCTGTCTGGTGGTTTGGCCTAGGTATTAGCGCGGCGGGCCTATTGTTGGTTGGTATGGAAAGACACTTTGAGCTAAGCACCGAGCTCAAGACAGAATACGGACTGAGTAATGATGGTCAAGCACGACCAAGTGAGCCAAATGAAGTGAAGGGCAACGGGACAGTCCATTGCGACCCTCTGCCTGCCCCTAGCTTGTGAAGCTTAGGTTGATCTTTCGTTCGATGGACTGTATCTTCATCCTCTGGACTACCTCCTTTAAGAAAATTCCGACCAATAATAACACCATCATTGCTTTACTATGTAAATAAATTTTTTTTAACTGGTCGTCATAGATACATGTATGGGGTACGGTGCAATATTGACTAACAACACCCAACACATTAACGGGATTTTTAACACTTTATAGGTAATCAACCCAACTATTCAGCGTGACAAGCTCCACAGCTTCATCTCCAAGTTTTTTCAAAGCCCAGGTCAAATGTGAATCGTGAATCAGCTTTTGGTAACTGATCCTATCAAACCGTGGGGAACTTCATTGGCAGCCGGCTACTTTACAACCCATAGAGGTTCGAAGTATTTCCTATGCCGAATTATTCAATTAAGCATAGTTATTTCGCAGTGGTATAAGCTTCGGCTTGAGGTAGCTCCCTAGTGCCCCATTAAATTGGCACGGTGCTGCAGTACTTAGCGACACCGATGGATGGGCCAGCTAGGTAGGTAGGTAGTATGGTAGTGACGGATCCCTGTCAGCCCTATATGATCCCAGTAGTACCACAGTAAGCGGAACATGATCGCAGTCCACCCTTTCAGCCTCCAGAGTCCAGATCATTGTAAATATCACCATCAAAGCTACGTAGGTATCCTTGAGTTATTGATAACGGAAAACCGGCTCAGTTCTTGGCGAAGGATTCTCAGCGTGGTGCTGATTGCGGGACGGTGGCTGTCTACGATATAACATGCTTTTTGATCGGGGTGTTGGTGTCACAAATTTATAGATACATAGGTACTTATACAGTTGGAGTAGTCTTGGCGTTCTAGCATTGATCTGGCAGACCAGCAATGAAACTTCTAATCCTTTCATACTATTGGTGGCTTTGACAAGAAGGAATCAGACTTCAGCACCGCCACACAAGACTCAGAACCTTAATGTTACGTCCAGTATGCACGCGCTAGTCAAAATGTAGTCTGAATCAACGAGCGTGTAACACGAAATGAAGAGATATATAACTTATAACTAACACGACGAGGACAATTCCATTCGATGAGATACGACATTGTAAACTTCGCCAAGAGGCCGAGCTCTGCCTCAATTGACGCCGAGTCCTACAGAAAGCTCCTTCAAATGCATCTTGATGTGAAGCGGACCATGGTATTTTTCCTTGGCAGCACCGTCGAGCGCCACGAGAACCAACGGGGCTGTTGGGCATCCTCCAGCTCGCAGTCATAATTCAATATTATTTGCGCCATGATCACTTTCATCACCGCCGTCGCATAATATCTTCCGGGACTATTCCGCGCGTTAGCCTTGCTTGGGCCACACCTAAAGCTACGTCAAGTGGGATGCATGAATGTGGCGGTTAACATACCAAGCCATTCTCCCCGTTCCCCAAACGTGCCAGGCGTGGTCTACGTCGGTAAGCTTGGACGGGCTTGGCTGTCTGAAATTCAAGTCGCCAGTAGTATCTGACTCTCCTACTGCGGTCTGGTTTGCGAACCGGAAGCCATAGAAAGTAGTCGGCTCGGGATAATGCTCGGCAGACTGCATTATAGCGCGGACGGGCGTGCAAGCCCACTCACCGGGAGATATAGTGGTGCCATCAGAGAGGGTGAAGCGCTGGAGAGCAGCTCGTCGAGTACTCACTGTGAAGGTGGTCAGATGTGACGAACAATGCAATACATGAAGGTCCTCTCGGTGCGCTCCGAGTTCTCCCAAGCATTAGGTAGGAAGGACTGACTTGACTCTACAGGCGTTAGTCGCGCAGACTCTTTGATGAAACTGTCAAGGAGCGGAAGTCCCATTCCACTTCCTTGGAATTTCTCATAATCCGCAACACATTCCTGCAGGAGTGGCTCCTTGTAACTCGGGTGAAGACAAAGGTCGTGGACTGCGAATGTTATCGTCTCAAAATCGGCCGGATTAGTATATGTCGCTTCCGAGTTAAAGCGTACACTATCATAACTTACAGTAGCCATTGCATGCACAGAGCCAAACCAAATCGCCATCAGCTCGTGAACTATACGCTCCGGGGTCCAGGGCCGTTCGCGCGGTGATGTCTCCATGATCCATTGAATACAATCGGCCTGCGATGCCGTATCAGCAGTCTGTCATTGGAAATAATAGTACTTAACTCTATGTACTTACATGTTGTGGCACAGTTTGACCAAGATGCTTCTGATCTCTTTCCCGACACCGCTCTTCTGCTGTTTCTAGCAGAGTTTGAAAGATGACTTCGTGGGATTTGAGTCGCCTTGCTATCAGGCCCCCAATCAAACTACGAGATAGTTAGTTGAGCTAGTTTCTCCCAGCTTGTGTGATATCGACATGAGGGGAATCCATACGGTGACAAGAACCCTGGGAGCAACTTGACGATCTCAGCGCACATAATAGTCTCTTCAATGTACATCAGGGCAGACTCCATGAAGTATTTGTTGTTTGCTAAACGGTACTTAGCGGGGCTTCCGGAGGAATCGATCATGGAAACTTGCTGGGAGGCAATATTAGCATGGGTCTTGTACTTACCGTGCTCCTTGCCGAAGAATGAGAGGGCATTCGAGAGAACGACAAGTTGTACTATCGACGGATAGATCGGAATTTTGAATGAACCTACGTAAGCTTTTGTGAGTGATTCAAAAAGATGACTTTGTCTTCATAAACGCTGTGAATATGGCTCACCATTCTTTTCTCCGTGCGCTAAGCCTAGTTCAAGGAACTGTTGTTGGACGACAACACTGAGCTCTGGAACTATTTGAGGCACGTTGTTTGTAAGGAGAGTGCGAAGGGCCCGGACAAAGCCAATTCCCTCAGTCCCCCTTCGGTCAAACCAGTTAAAACCATGCATTGTGTACTTGGGTTGAAGCATCTAGGACGCTTGTCAGTATAAGGTATTTAGTTAGCTAATGGATAATTTGATTACCTCCTTCGACGCAGCTTGGAGGGACAATACTGTGTCCGGAGCCGAGTCAAGTTCTTTGATATGTTTTCTTGACGACACGAACACATAGCGATTTTCTGGGGAGAATACCTCGAAGGGATTTCCATTGGCCTGTGAGGTTTTGTATCAGCGCTATGTTTCTCGCTTGGGAAGAATATAAGTTTTCGTCCACTTAGCAATATACCTTGTTGAAATTGCGCTCGATGATGTGTGTCCCGTCAAACAAGTACATCCAGGCTTCCACACGCCGACGAAGATGACTGTATATCCCATTGATTTTTGGGATATGTCGGAACTATATTCTGGTTAGTTAAGGTCAAAAGACTTAGCATACCCAAAAGGAATCAAAACTTGCCTCGGATTTTTGAACTACGGTAAAGAGGATAAGAAACCCAACGCAGACACCGCCAATAGTGGCTAACGCTGACTGGGACGAGTTAATCGAGAAGAAATCCATAGTTCCTAAGTCACTTGATAACAATATATCTCTCAAATGGATGCGTCGACTGGAGGCTAGGCTTGTTGAAATGTATGAATTTATGAGCAAAATCTATACTGAGTTTGACTGCTCTTTTCTCCTTTGCCATACTTTCCCTCATGTCATCTGCTGGCGCTTCTCCGGTCATATCAGACCTACTCACCTTTGTTGGCTTGGGCAAGTGGTGTTATCCCCCGTCATCTCGCACGCCCAGGATAGGACTATGGCCAGGGTGCCGCCTGAGACCCCTTAACCTAATGTAGTGTAACGACAACAACATCTAGAAATAGCCACTTATCTAGGTACCTCATAGTAGAGGTCGATTATCTTGTAATCATAACTAGACTACGCCGCAACATCCCATTGTCAGCCACCATGCCAGTATTAGAACGTGATAAATGATACGCTGCAGCCGATAGTTTAATCCGTCCCACATGGTTAGAAGGATGTGTTATTCTTATAGCCCATGGATGAGTCTATGCACAGTTGGATCAATAGAATAGGGGTGCATACGGGAATCAGTCGTGCCAGCATTTGTGGTCACTAACGATGCTCCAAGTTATGCCAAGGAACACCGGAGATTTTGGAGCTTCCTAGTATAGTAATATTAAACGATATATTACTTCCTACTGTAGTGTATTATTTGAGTGATAATATGGTGTAGTCGAAGAGATTTGCCCCCAGGGCATTGCACAGACAAAACAAACAAAACAATTGCAATTTATTTGACTGCCTCAAACAAACATAAATAATTCGAGAGTCCTGTTTGTTCGCCA